GAAGCGGACACCTAAAAAAATGAATAGAGAGAAAAGGAGAAAGAGAAATGTTTTTAGAGGAAAAGGCAAATAAACTGTGTATCATTGTCTCACAGACACGTTCGTTCTCAACTTCGTTACATCGACAGGTGTAGTTCGCATCACAGATCGAAATCGGTTAATGGGAGCACAATAAGAAGGATCACATTGACCGATGAAGCAAAAATTTCTTAAAAAGCAGCAGACATCGCTATTGATAATGATATGTTGCTTTCAACAGCTTAAGTTTGGATAAATGGGAATGCAGACTGGGAAATAAATTGAGCATTCTATGTGTTCAAAGTTTGTCTGGCTGGATTGAGTTTCACATTTTTAATCTCGTTAAGGATTGCGCTGAAAGCTTTTCTACGTCGTCACTTTAACTTACGCTTGTTGGAAAAAATTCTGCATTTTCCCCTGCTATGTCCTCAATTTCTTTTTAAATACTACTATTTTGATGACGACGACAACGCAAAAGAACGGCAAAATAAATAAAAAAAACACTTTTTACCTGCGTTCCGTGTTTTGAAATGAATACTTTAGTCTAATTACATGAAAAAGTGAAAAAAATCTTATAGTTGATTATAAAAAATATTTGAAATATAGGAAATTATTCCCAGGATTACATTGAAGACATGGTGTCGCGAGGGTGTGACGGTGAGACTTGAATCCAACTACAGTACCTGATTGCTTCTGAATGGATTTGATGTGATCTGATTTCCAGATGATGCTAAATTTGATAAGAAAACCATTTCCTTATCGCTATCGAAACGTGTTGGAACATACAGGTAAAACAGAGGTTCTTTTGATAGGGTCTTAGTACTGTTAGACAACATACACCCTTCAAAAAAGGAGTTTTACCAAACCAAAAAAGGATCTTCCCTCCGATACACGGGACGATCCTTTTTTGGTTTAGTAAAATGAAGGTCCCGAAGAGAACCTTACAGGGAAAACTGAGAACAAAGGTTCCGCAGCAAAGGTTTAGTACGAAACTTTTTTCTTCAAAAGACAGAAGGTTCCGTATCATAGGTACCGTGCGGAACCATCTGTAACTATATTAAAAAAGGTTTCGTGAAAATCCATAGCTGCGAAACCTTCGTTTTATTAGTCGTTCTCTTGATTTAGCGGCAGACTCTTTTATAGTTATCGTCCTATAGGTTCCGTATTCAGGCACTATAGAATAAATCGTTCAAAACTATCTTTCGAACGTCCACACACCTTCACCCACCCTTTCATCGTGACACGAGGGTGAGAATAGGTTCTAGCCATTCCAATAGATCCGTTGCGATCAACTCTAAACGAGAAAGACGACAGAATGTGGTTTATTAAATATTATCAATTACCTAGTTGAATGCCGGACTATTGAGAATTTTCCGTCGATAGATTTGCATGGATATTAGCGACGTCTAGTAGAAAAAACAAGAAATGAATATAAAATGAAAAATGCATGGATATTTACAGGGTCTCGTTTGACGGTCTATTGAAAACTGGACGTCGGCTGGTGTAAAGGGCTATGATTTTCATTGTGCCTTCTCCTTTTGCTAACTGAACCAACGTCAGATATCAATGGTTTGGTAGAGGGTTCGCCGAACAGAAACAATGATTATGAGGTCATTGATTGTTTTGCGGAACTTATACCGAACTACTGACCAGTACAAAGGTATATTTGTATATACGAGTAAATTGTGCGAAACCTTGAGGCACTATACGAAACTAGGGATAGTTCGGTACAAATACTGGCAAACCTTCACTCATCCGACGGAGTCGATAATTCCCTCGACTGTAAGGAGGGTCATATGAAAAAAATAGTTTGTCTGTTTGTTTGTTTGTGTCAGGGTCAAAGGTCAAATTAAAACTAAAAAATATTTTTCTGAGGGTGTGAGCGTGGGTGGGGAGGTTGGGTGAAACGATGAGTTAGTTGATGAGTGTGTGTGGGGGTGTTGGGGAAGTCATTGGTGGGTGTGGGACCATGGATGGAGGTCCTCGATGGTTCGATTGATGTGTCTGTGGATGTGGCTGATTGGAACTGCGAGCCAGAGGCTCTGTCCCTTGCATTGTGGATTTTGGTTTGGTTTGGCGTTTGGTTCGTGTTGATGTGTTTGTATTGAAAGATGGAATTGAGGTGGTGTTCGCATGGCGAGGAGGTTTGTTGTCATGCTGTTTGAGTGGCTGCGATGTTCCAGCTTTTATTCTACTGTACCTAATTTCAGGAGTATTTATAGAGCTACAAGGAAACGTGTGTATTACCGTAGCTAAATGCACTGAAGGCGAAAAATTGAGATATCGAAAGACAACTCAGTTAAATTGGTGTGTGTCAAATGTAGTCCGGATCTCTTGCGGTAAAGCTATGGAACCTATGAGAATTGTGGAAAGACGAAGAAATAAAACGTCAGCAAGTAATTGATGAGCATTTATTGGTGTTTGATGTGAATTTACATTAATGTTAAGATTATTTTCAGGTGGTTGAGCGTTTGTTCCATTTGGATTCATAGATCGGAGTTGGGGTTGGTTGCTCCGGGAGTTGCCTGTTTCTGGATGGAATAGTGACTGACCTCGTGGTAGTGAAGGTGATGGGCTTAATTATGTAGATGAGGGTGAGGATACCTGGAAAGAAATATTCACGTATAAGAGACTGAAATTGATGTATGACGTTCTATATCTCTGACTCTTGCGTATGCTTCGTAGTGCATTTGATGTGTTGTGTATGGTTATGATGCTGTTCGATTGAAGTGGTCCTAGTGCTTATTGTATTGCGTCATCGTTTCTTTCTTCTTATTGCACGTTCGATTGATGGTATATAATTGAGGTTTTTATATTCTTGTCCAAAACGAGTAGGAAAAATTCAGTATTTTGTTTTCGAAAGTTACTAAATATATCTGCGCAAAAGATTTGGGTTGTTTTTTCGCGTATGAAATTGTTCGGATCAATTTGTTTCACAATTGGGACACGAAAAAAAAATCTGTCCTCCACAGTCGAGGGTCAAGTGAGTCGGCACGACGACGAGCGCTACTTGTTGGTATATACGCACAAAAGACAAATTAACAAAACATTTCCTTGCCATGATCAATAAAAACAGCAATTATTCCGTAGCACGGTCTGTTTTTACCTTTCTCGTGTCAAGCATAAGCAAATGCCGAAGTATTCGATAAAAAAGCCGGGTATTGATACGAAATGTCTAATTAAGCTGATAGTTCGATAAGTAATGAATATTTCTCTTTTTCGCATGTTAATCTAGCCAAAACAACAAGCAGCGCTCATCTGTTGGATTCGCTGACTCTTTTCTGAAAGAATTAGAAGACTTTTAGATAGAACTCCAACATATATTTCACTCTAATTTGCTTCGAATTAAAGCCACTTTTATGCACATGCTTTTCGTTTAATCCTTTTCTACTTTATTCATGTCAAACTACTATCAATTCATTTGTCCAAAGATATAAGCAAAGGGAACACTGTTTCTAAATATTTATTAATCGACACTCTTCCCACGATTTACAATCAAAAACGAATTTACTTACACTTATTTGAGCCCTTCTAAACCACTCAAAGTAATACACCGTCTGACAAATGTCGTTTTGGGCGGTCACAGTGGCACAAAGATGGCGAGTTTTCAACAGGAAATAGAACGAAATGGTTTGGTTCAGTTTGATGGGGATTTTAAGCTAGATGAAAGAATGAAAGTTGGACATGTAACGGATAGCCGCGAGTGGCCGACCGACTAGATGTCAATTGGAAGAGTAATATTTTAAACAACAAGTTTTAGCGATTTTCATATAGTTTTAAGATTTCTTAGACAGAACTCAGGACGAACATTCCGGCCTCCGAATACAATCGAAACCGAAGGGAAGGCAGCCCTTTTCCGGCTCATTCCGACTGTTCTCACCGTATCCGAAAGGTTCAGGGCGGAAAGCCATAGCAATGTTGAAGCAGTGTTCCAGACCGGAATGCCCCGAAAATTCGATTAAAAATAACCTCACAGAAAACAGCCGGGTCAGGAAATAACCCTACGGAAACAAAAAATATTGCAATCGCCAAAAAAATTCTCCCATATTTCCTGAAAAATCCCTCCTCTTCCCGCAGCACACCCAGTATCCAACCGTTTCCATAAACCAAGAATCGCCCATAACTGGCAAGCACCCATCTGATCCGCCGAAACGTAACCAACCGTGAACAAACATAAAACTACAAATCTCATCCTTTCCAACTTTTTCCCGCTATTATTACCAAACATCCTATCAAAACTCGCCCAAAAACTACACACCATAGACATCCCACATTCGCAGATTAGCAATCCAGATTGCAATTCACTTGTATTGACGCTGGGCTTGTTTCAAATGCGAGGAAGATTGTTACGAGTTCGTGTGTTTGCTGTTAGTAGAATGGATTCTGACAGCGTTGTTTTTTGGGTTTTTGGTAGTATGCGATTATGGGTTTTATTGCAGCTCGATAGGTGTGTTTAGTGATTTTGTCGGATTGGCTCGGTTTTTTTAGCTTCCGAGAGGTTATGGTTCGTTGGAATGTTACCGAAGTTGTTGATAGGATTCCCTACTTTCCCGCTTGGGTAGTGCCGGAACCGAGCGGATTTTTCGACCTGGGATACTTTGAGTTTGTAAAATCTAGAATTGGTCAACTTCTTTCATTATGTTTGATTCTAAACCAACTCTCCATTCGAAGAATACATGTATGCTTGCTTTCATGTTTTATTCTATATAACTTTCTATTCGTCTCTTTTTTCACCATTCTGCCATGCAAATTCTATGATGAATATTAAAACTGAAACTGTACATCTCCAATCGAATTCTCAAAAGTATATTTTTGAAACATACCCATTCTACAAACAGTTTCATCGCTAACCAATAAGTCATCGCAATTTTTTCCTTTTTACCCTGTTGCTCGATCTAGATGAAGATGCCGTTCGTATCATGGTCATATAATTTCCGTTTTTTGCGAGAGAGGATGTGATTATTTCTCTCTCATTCATACCTGCAACCAGTGGTGTAGCCAAGAGAGTGGGAGGCAAATGGACAATTGCCCACTTCATTTTGAAGTTTGACCATTGTATTTTTTGACTGCTAAGCCTTTGCCCATCTAACTTTTGCTCTATCAGAGTTTTTATCTGTTTTGGATTTTTTAGTAAACCTTCTCCGTGTTAGAAGTTCCTTTCTTTTCGACAAGTTTTTGAAAAATTTTAGCAGTTTTTTAATCGAAATATCATTAGAAATCAAGGTCTTTCGGTACAAAAATCAGCTCGTTTCATTGAATTCGACGCCAGAAAGATCACAGTATCATTTTAAAAACCGAGACTATGGTCTTTTATATTTCAAATTGAAATTTGAGAAAAAAATGACCGTCTTAAATATAACTCCGACGATGACTAAGGGGACTAACGAATAAAAATATTTTATACTTCATATATAGAAAACATAATATTTGCCATGAATCAAATAATTACTTTGACTGTATGTATACACCCTCAACTAGCCACTGTTCACATCACCCTCCAGATAGGGAACTGGGGTGTGATTCTATAATATTGGAAATCTCTGTAGATCGACAATAAGCGCCATCTTTTTTTTTCACAAAGATTACGTATGTTGTTTATCTCTCAGCCAACCGAATTGAGGGTGAATTACAAAACTTACAATGTCATCAAAAATATCATTATAACAAGAAACGTGGTCAAAAATGACGCAGAGATAATGACAAATTGTTTTGACATTGAAGGAATATAAAAGAAGTCGTATAAGTAACAACCACGTTTTCATAGAGCAAAATTCTTAAAAATAGGATCACTGTTTATAAAACACTCTTCTATACTTTTTTTAAATAATAGATAACTAAGATAAAAATGACCTATTTTCTAATTGCTGGTTCAATAACACTGACATTACTGGTTTTACTCATACTCACCATTGCTTATTATACGTGAGTACTCTTCGCAACTTAATTATTAATTCGAAGTAAAATGTAATGACTCAAATTTCAGTTATAATTTGCGCAAGAATAATATATTTCGTCGTCTTGGAATGCCTGGTCCAGAACCCATTCCATTCATTGGCGAGGCTTATAATATTATACGCAAGGTAATAAACTTTCTTATTTTATCTTATTATATTTACAGCTCAAAGTTCTTTTTTTTTAAGGGTCTTATTCAAAATGACATAGATCTAATTCAAAAATACGGCAAAATTGTTGGGTAAATGAGAATTTATACAGACATAGTAGATCATGTCGTAGACTCTATTTTATTCTATATAATTTTAGAATTGTTGGAGGAAAAGCTCCAAATATTCTTCTCTCTGATCCAGATCTTCTTCGAAATGTTCTCATTAAAGATTCAAACATGTTTATCAATCGAAGAGTAGAATATCAAAATCATTTTCTGTTTTTTTTTCATTTTCCTTCATAGGCTTTTGAAGGTATATCAGGTCCTTTGGAACACGGTCTTCTAGCATTGAAAGATGAACTGTGGAAAAATGCGCGATCTATTGTTTCACCAACATTTTCTACAGCAAAACTTAAAGCAGTAAATATCACTATATACAATGATTTGTTTTTCAATGAATTCTCCACTTCAGATGTATAGTCTTATGAATGAAATTAGTGATACGTATTGTGAACGTTTTCTTGAATACGCTGATAAACAAGAAATAATTGATATGAAAGCGTATGTTTATCTCTTGCTTAATGTAGTTCATGTAAGTTTAACTTTTGTATAATAATAGACTAAACAGCCAATTTACTCTTGATAATATTGCTTCTTGTCTATTTGGAATTGAGACAAATTCTTTGCAGAATGAAAATATTACTTTGGTCAATTATTTAAAAAAATTTTTTAATCGAGGTCTCTCCAATACAATTCTCTTTGTATATTGTAAGTATTTTTCAACGAAAATGATCATTCTTACTTTTTCTTTATTTCTTAAATAGTTATTTCACCGCGATTGGCCACGTATTTTGGAAAGAAAGGCTATTCAATGTTTCCTAAAGATGCTGTTGATTATACAACTAATCTTCTCAATCAAATATTAGCACAACGTCGACAACATTTAGAAAGGCGAAATGATTTTATTCAAATGATGATTGATCATGAAGAAGAAATTAATCATGAAGTGAATCAACAAACACATAAAAAAGAAGAACAACAACAATGGGGAACACTTAAAAAAAGTAGACATGAAGTCTATTATTTATCTGTTAATTTAGTATTTGATTTTAGCTTTGAATGATAAAGAAATACTTAGTCAAGCAGTTGTATTTTTGCTGGCTGGTTATGAAACAACAAGTATATTAATGACATGCTTTTTCTATATCATGACAACAGAACCAGCCATTCAAGAAAAGGTTTATGAGGAAATTCGACAAGAAATTGGAGATGTAAGTTAGACTCATACTAGCCAACAATGATGTTTATTAGTGTTTTGTAGGATGAAGTTACCCATGAAAAACTTAATCAACTTCCTTATTTAGATATGGTTATTAGTGAAACACTTCGTAGATATCCACCAGGAATCAGGTTAGTGTGCGCTGTTAATGTCTCTCTTCATTAATAGTTTTATGTTTTCTACAATAGATTTGATCGTATTGCGGCATATGATTATCAACTGGGTGATTATCAGATACCAAAAGGTACTATTGTCAACGTATCGGTTTATCCTATTCATCATGATCCCGATGTTTGGCCTGATCCAGAAAAATTCATTCCTGAAAGGCAAATTTTCAAATCATTAGCTATTGTTGTGTATATTGATATTGTTTTGATAGATTTTTGCCAGCTGAGAAAGCTAAACGTCATCCGATGACATATCTTCCTTTTGGTGATGGACCTCGGTACGAAAAGAATCTATATTATAGATATAGAGATTCATTTTTTTTGTAGAAATTGTATTGGAATGCGATTTGCATTATTAGAAGCTAAAGTTGGAATAGTTAAAGCACTTCGTGCTGTAGAATTTCAAAAATGTGAAAAAACAGCAGTAAGTGAGGATTTTCTTAGTATTATCATTGTATCATTAATTTGATCTATATAGGTTCCACTAGAATTGGGAAAGTTTGAAATCATAAATAGCAAAATTGGCGTTTGGGTACGCGTTGTTCGTCGATCACAATAGATCGTATATGCATACTTGTCGTTTTTCACTATTATTTTTTTATTACAAACCCATTTTATATAAGTAAATAAATTCTGTTACATAAGCTAAAGGTTATCAAGGAAAATGTCACTGAATTCCTTATACAGGGTGTTGTATAGCCTTTTTCCAGAGGGTACCGACGTAATTCGAAAGTAGGTACTTAATGAACTTCATACCAAATGAAAGCCCGTAAAAAACTGAATCTAGAACTATAGCTAACAATTCAATAGACGCAGATACTCAATCCAAGTTATAAATGTACAAGATTGCGGTTACTTTCCTGCGAAGAAAATAAAGCGTCAAGTAAATGTGGCTGCGTTGAGAATACGATTTCAATAGACTTTCGAAAAGTTCTTTTTCATTTTAAAGTCCATGACGAACATTTTCAAGGTGTTCTAGCAAAACGACTGAAAAATTTCGATTAACACTGCGTTTGCTAATAATTAGACTTTCCACTTTGTCCATCAGAAGTGACCCAACATTTTCTGCTGCATTCAGATCTGGAGAACTGCCTGATCATTCTGTTCGGTCAGAGAATTTGATTCGAGAGTTTTTGAACAATTACTGACGAGGGAACATACCGAGGTGTTCAAGCGGTTTATATTCCATCTTTTAGCCACAGATAGACCTCAATGAGGTATGAAAAACCTCAAAAGGATTCATCCCCTCGTGCCTTCTTTTTCAAAATATCGAACTTCGAAAATACACGCGAACGCATGGCAGAATTGAAGAAAAATCGTTTTCTCGAGATTAGCGGAGTGTCAGGGTGAGAAACTTTTTAATTTCGCTCATCATTTAGGCTGTCTACTGCGAGCCGGCAGTAAGATCAATCTGATCCATATCAATCTGATTCACTGTTCATTACTCTAAAACATGCATGAAGGTTCTCATTTTCTCTGGTTTTAAGTTAAACAAGATTAATCATTGATGAGCGACGGAGAATGATTAACTATGGCAGTTGTGATTTTTTCTTTACCACATACCATCATGCACTAGTGACAAATTCGTTATACTCATTTTTTTCTGTTCTTCCAGTGCCACTCTTCCTATGTTTCTTTTCACGTGTAGTCTGTGATATCCGGTACAGCTCTTCTCGATTCCGGCACAGTTTTCGCCGATTCCAGCAAGTTCCCTCATTAAGTATATTGTGAAGAAAAGATTGACAACAAAATAACAAGAATCACAAGTTTTAATACAGTTGTCTCTGTACAAGGGATGTTAAATCTTCTGACACTAACAAAATAAAATGTGTTTATTTCGCTGGAAAATATATAACTTGTATTCACTTGAGTGTCAATTTTTCGGAGAAAATCGCATTCAATCTTCTATATATGTAGTTTACCTGATTCACTGTCTCTTCGCTTTAATAACCAATATTAAAAAGACGTGCAACTACATTCATAGAACGCATCAGTCAAAGGTACCGGATGTTTTCTTCACAATTAAATTATTTCGGGAAGCTCAAAAGAAAATTAAAAAAATCTTACAGGAGACCATTCTAGTCATTAGCTGAAAGCATAACTATAGTTTTCTCAACATATCGTCAAGCAAATAAAAAATATATATTCGGCGAAAATCAAGGAAGAGAGAAAATGGAGACATAAAAGGACATTCATCACTAGTAGATGCTTTTGTTCTCATCTTGAGTTACATAGTATTCATTTGGTTAAACAAGTGGAAGTCTGATAAAATATGACTTGGATACGAATATTAGTCTTATTTTTTATTCTTATTTTGGACCAAGTAATTACACAGAATACAAATGCAGTTATAATGTCGATTATCGATGGATGGCAATTTCAATGTGCCACAACAACTTGTCAACCCTATGCTACTATTACTTCATCCTCTATTCTTCAATGTGAAAGTAGTTGTTTACGACAAATTCAATGCAAAGCTATTAGTTTCCGTCAATCAATCACTATCTGTCAATTGTTTAATGACAACATAAATCAAAACAACAGTTTGCAAGTTTTTGTGGGAACTGTTACTATGACAGTCATCTCTGACATAAGAACGGCGTCTGGTAAGTATCGATTCAATATATCATAATATTTATGAACTAGGAAGGACGAGGGCGAGAATGAAATTGTGGGCAACGAAGAAATATCGATGCACTACTTCATATCCGCAGTCTCTTTTGAAGATTCCTCATAATATAGTCATAAATAGTTGACGCTTATACTTGAGATGAACTTTGCTGACAAGACTTAGGAATAGTTGGACGAACACTTCTGAGATCAATGTAATCCGTTGAGAGTTGAGAGAATCTCTGATAGATGGTGTGAACAGATTCTTAGCATTGAACATAATTCGATTTCTTTCATTTGAATAATTTGTTTTTTTTCCTACATAAAAGTACCAACCTCAACAATCTTGTCATCATCAACCTCATCAACATCGTCCACATCCTCCACCTCAACATCAACATCATCATCAACTTCATCGTCAACCTCGACATCGACATCGACTTCAACTTCAACAACATCAACAACAACACCAGGTAGCGATATTTAACAGATTAAAATGAATTTTTAAAGAAACAAAAGTAAAAAAGACGAGATGGAGAACGAGTATACCAGAGAATGTAACATAATATATTGAAAATATTCTGTTGTCAGTAATAAATACTATAGGTAGCGTATTTTTTGTTCGGTTGAGACTATTTATTTCAAAAATAGCAGAAAAATCAATATATACATAGATAGATATATAGGTGTGTTCAACCATGGAATATCCCCGCATGTTATTTTTCGCAGTGAAAAATTAGACAAATGCAATTTTTGTACCATTTATAGTGCATATATGACCCTAATCATTGGTTTAATTTAAGTGTTATATGCCATCAAAGCTAAAGATTACCAAGTGCATATTTATAATAATCAGGAAAAACCACTTGGGCTATCCCGCGGTTCTTAAAAAATATCGCGATATTATGTCAATTTCATTATAAAAGTATAATTGAGCATTCCTAGTTTTGAGGTCATGTAAGGATTAAAATACAACAAATGATTGGGATCACATGTGTACCCAGGACGATGGTTCGTGAAGCAGGATTCCATAAATTTCCGACAAAACCCCTGAGCAAACTCGCCATTTCTGAGCGGAACTCGGCCGGAAAATGCCAGGAATTCGATGGACAAATGCGGTAACCGTTTCCGGCTACCGGTTTTGACATGTTCCTGTTGGTTTCGGCCCAAACCAAATAAATCCGGTCACCGGATCCGCTCATCGGAAATACTGCTTCCATGAAATCTTCGCAATACCACGGAACCGGCTGGTTCCGTGCCGGATTGCTCGACCTGGGTACTATAAGTGGTACAAAATCCACATTTGTCTCATTTTTTCCCCGTAAAATCCTCCTTTCAGTCGAGGGAATAAAAGCTTATACGAAATCGTCATTTATATTCGAAGTCGAAGTAGTCAGCTACTCATACTAATATGAGATTTTATGCTGATAATAGAATTAGAAGAATAATCGAGGATCACCATTTTTTCAGTTCAATATGCATAAAAAATGTAAACATCTTGGTAAAAAATTATTGTTAAGTAGTTTATATTTACCTTTTACCTGCGATACGATTAGGAAAAGTCTAACATAAAACAAAATCAAAGGCAAATTTCTTCTCTACTAGCATTCATGCTGAACTTTCATTCAGAAAAGGGTCTTATTCATTAAAACTCTACTCTTTTCTTTTCACATTTGTTTTTCTTTAGGATGGCAAATAACTGGAAATATGAACGTCGCACGACAACAACATACAGCAACAATGTTATCAAATGGAAAAGTATTAGTCGCTGGTGGGCTGAATGGTACCGCTGGCTATCTGAATAGCGCTGAATTATATGATCCATCAACGGATAATTGGACAATGATTTCATATATGAATGCTGCACGATATCAACATACAGCATCAATATTATCAGATGGCAGAGTTTTGGTCATTGGTGGAGCTAATAGTGCCTCTCTCAACACCGTCGAATTCTACAATTCATCGACTGGCAATTGGTTAACGGCTGCAAATATGAATTATGCACGATATGGTCATACAGTAACAATATTATCGGATGGGAAAATACTAGTCGCCGGTGGATATAATGGTGGTTCTCTCAATAGTGCCGAGCTGTACGATTTATCGACTGGTATTTGGTCAGTAACTGGAAATATGAATGCTGCACGATATTATCATAGAGCATCCCTTTTATCCAATGGAAAAGTATTAGTCACTGGTGGACGGATTAGTGGTGGTACTTCTATTAATAGTGCCGAATTGTACGATTCTTCAACTGGTAATTGGACAATGATTGGCAGTATGAATGTTTCCCGAAGATATCACACTTCATCAGTATTATCAAATGGAAAAGTGTTAATCGCTGGTGGATATAACGATGCTACACCTCTCAACATTGCTGAGTTATATGACCCGACTACTAGTAATTGGACTATCACCGGATATATGAATGTCGCACGGCAAAATCATGCAGTATCAATATTATCAAGTGGAAAAGTATTAGTCATTGGAGGGGTTAGTAATAGTACTTATCCTCCCAGTGCTGAATTTTACGATCCATTAACTGGTAATTGGACAAATATTGCAAACATAAATGTTGGACGACAACAACATACAGCATCGATCTTATCCAATGGAAAAGTATTGATCACTGGCGGACAGAATGGCTTTTCCCTTAAAAGTGCTGAAGTATACTAATGACAAAACTGAAAAAAGAGACTTCTACTGAAATGTATTTAAAATCCTTATTTTAAAACTGAAAAGTACCAAAAAAAAATAAACGATAAAATAAAAAATTTAAATACATTAATGGATTTTTTTGAAGATAATCCGTGAACAAATATTAATCGAATGAGTAAAGATCAGTGCATTGTAGATAAAACATTATTATGTAAAAATATTGAAGCTAATCGTACAGAAGCGTTTGACTTGCGATGAATCGTGTGGATTGATTTAGTACAACATTGTTTTAAATGGGAATGAAATGAAAGATTTACCTAACTAATGAAACCTGTTTGCTCTCCTCGCAAGCGTGAGAATATGGACTAATACGGAAGGAAAATGCTAGCTTTACTTTGAAAATCGCATGGCAACTTTTATATTTCAAAGACATATTGTATATTTTGGAATCGGTAAATGTATAGATTTATGTGTGATTGAATAAGTACCAAATCTTTGTTAAATATATGGTAAACGAGTTAATTCTATTCCATTTATAATCTTATCAAGAGATTCATATTTTCTTTTGCCTCTTCATCAGAAGCATCGTCTCACAACTAGCAGATATTTAGAAAAGAACGTTGCTAAACAAAATTTGCGCATCTTATTACTCGTATCTTGTCTCGACTTTGATCAATAGTCAATCTATTCAAAATATTGTTTTAAATATCATGCATTAGACTAAATTAAAGATGGTACTACACGGAAATATTGGGTGAACGCGTGTCGATGTTTTTACTTTAACACGTTCGCACAAAATGGATGAATGAAGTTTGTCAGATGACAGTATAATGCCAGGTGCATTTTCAACTTTCTTCATAAGGAGCGCCATAACTGTAGTTTCTTGAGGATACGGATAATAGTGACGTTGTCTTCGTCATTGAGAATTTCAAGAATGCCTTAATCAAGCAGGTATCATCTTATCCTCCATTCATGTTGGATAAATCATGATAATGAGCTACCTGTATTTATATATATATATATATAGACACATAAAAAGAGCATGCGCAGTATAAAAACACAATGAAATTCGTCATTTATTATTGTTCTTTATTTACTTGAAAAACTAAATGATGATGTGGCGAGTAGTAGTATTTCTGTTCCTCGACATGCCTAAGTGCTGATTATACGAAACTATCTTGCATCATTGTTTTGCGTGCAATTTTACTTGATAAGTTCTATGTACGTAACAACTCATAGGTCAAATAAGCTTTATAATAAAAAGTTCTAACTTATCCACATCAACTATCTACGCATATAATAGTACCATATAGAAGTTTTATATCAATTGTTCCTAGTCAGGCAAAGACATAACTGCGGACTGAACTTGATCGGCATTGGAGACGCGAGTTCGAGACTTTTTCAATGTAATATACCAAATTTGAATTAAATGACAAGACATGCATACAATTAGTGCCAAAACAATGACCCATGCCTACAAGAAATCAACTATCGAGTGAGTGTGCATTGAAGAACAAAACTCACTCTCCATGATCGAAGTATATCTGCTGTTAAATGAACAAGTCCATATTGAATACAAGTTATCGCTCCTGCTACTGTCCACATAATACCAGTCAATCTACCAATGTATTCCGACGGAAAACTAAGAAAAAAACCAAAATTTTAGGACGTGCTTCAAAGGATTAGAATTCATTTTACAGAAAGCTTACAATGTAGAAATGACAGCTTGTGATCCAGCTACAATAACTGAACGAGCAATATAGTTAAACACCAATGCAGGAACAATAACTGCCGAATTGACGAACATACAAATGATACATAATAGTATATTCAAAATCCATGCTAATGTTTGCACAATCGCAGCATTCAATAGTTTTTGTTTTGGACCTAAAGATAAACACTTTTGAAATTTATTTCTAAATTTCACTGTATACTTTGTTCTGCTCGAAATGCGAGAAAAAGGCCAACCATTGGACAAAGAATTATTTGAGATAACGATGCCATATTGAATGCAAATGTATACTGATCACCTAGAATTGATTTATTAAATTATATCCATAGTAGTTATCAAAAGTGAAGAAATTATCGAAAAAAGTAAATAGTTACTGATTGTTTTATCATTCTGACTAATGTAGTAAACCCATGGATACCACGTGACTGACAGAAGGATATTTGGCATCAATAGAATACTTAAATAAAGAACGACCAAAATATACAACGAATTCAGTAGATATTTCCAAAATCCAACGCGTTGGTAGATGTTTGTATACCATTTGCTTTTATTATTTGCATCTAATGCATTTCCAAAACAATGTCTTTACGGGCCATAAAGCAACAACTTTGACTTACTGATGGTTGATATGGTTTGAGTTTGTTCTAGTTTTGTATCCATGGTGTATCCAAGGTTTAATATTGGAAATTTCCAGTCAAGAAATAAAAACGACGAGATAAACATGAGAGCTCCGAATGACATCCAGACATAAGATAATTGAGATAACGTTATTTTACCATTATCAATTAAAACCTTGGTAGATTCGATCCGAATAGAATTCAATATAAGTCAATGCAATTTACTTGAAAAATCGAATACCAAATCGATGCTGATAAACTCGATCCAACTAAGAGAGTTAGTAAAACTGCTCGTCCCTTCGAAAAGTAAGTACATGCTGCATAGCTTGTTATCTGTACGGTGATTCCAGACAATGCTGTGAATAGGGTGTGAACAAATAGCAAAGAATCTCGATGTAAAAAACAAAGAAACGCAAAATATTCGAAAAGAAATTTTGGTCATGAACTTATCAGGTTTGACAAGAGCTAATGCTAACCATCCCACAACATGGAAGATTCTGAAGAAAAACGTGTAGGAAAATGTCAACGAAAAGATGAATTACATGGCGATTAGTTTGACGAAGCGACCACCGAATTTGTCAATCAAAATCCCAACGAACATCGATGGTAAATTAAAGAATATTATACCTAAAGTCAATGCATTCTGAGAGAAAAATTTACTCTAAAAATAAACAAGAGAATTCGATTAGTTTTACTTGGTATTGCTGCGCTTGGCCACTGCAATCGTCATTCGTGGAATTCAAGACCGTGGATAACTCACAATATTTACCATAAATACCATACTTAGGCAAAACTTTGAAAAGTGCTGAAAAGCCAAATATATTCGCGCTGATAAGATTTACTTCAACTAATAACCAAATAATGCCAAACCATTTGCGCCATGGATTTGCATCAGTTGAATTTGTCTAATAAGAAAAAAGCAACTTGACCGTGATGTTTTCACTCCTAACACAAATGTATACCATTTTAGTTTGCACAGCTCTCAACATCTAACAAGAAAGAAATGTATTTCATAAAATAAGTATTTACCTTTAAACAGTATTTTTGTCGATGAAAGTAAATTAAAATTACGTCATAGGCTTCTCTATGAAAACTTCTAACAGAGTTCATAATTTCTTTCTTGATATGTATGAATCCCCGCAGAGATTGCCTTTCTCCAGGTAAAACTCGTTGGCACGCAAAAATTATTAGAAAAAAGGTCATTTTAGTCTCTTATTTCCAACAGTACTCTCGTCCATAATATCATATGTTTCGGATCTTTTTATTTCAAAGTAATTTCAATATCTGACTACAGTTTAAAAAACAAACATTGGGTATTTGTTGAATCGTCTGTAGTGCTTGTTTGAAATGAAAAGCTTTTGCCGGTGTACCAACAATAAACGTATGCAGTCCTAAACAAACAGCTTTTGCTTTTGTTGTTTCTTCCGATGCTAATTCATAAATATAATCGATTAATGTTTGGGCATATTGCTCACCGGTATAACCTTGACACATGCATAAGGATATGTCATTTGTCTCCATTGAATAGGGTAGAATGAATAATCCTTTGTCGTCGTCAGGTGATGATTTTAGTTCATATATAATATCGTCATTTGTGGCGTCCAAAGACAAGCGAATACCGTTGTCAACTGAAAATGTTCAAGGTAATTTTATCATTCGATTTTGATGTCAAGGATGAGTTTATCTCTACCTAAGATTTTCGCTGAGTCTTCCGGTGCAGCGAATCCAGGCGTCAGCCATGCGTGTGGCCTTTGCTCATGACCTACAGCTTGTTGAATTTGATTTAAGGATTGTTTGACTTGCTCTTCGAATGATATGTGTTTTACAGCAGATAAAGAATTTGTAAGACCATGACCTATGATATCGATATTTTCATTGTGTGTTGCGTGTACTCTGATTTCTTCGAATACGTCCGGTTCTTGATCAATTAAATATGAATTCATAGCAATACTAACTGGTATTTGCAAATTGGAAAATGTATTCAGAAGTCGAGATGTTCCTTGTCGATTGCCATAATCACGCCACCCGCTATTGGCAATATCGGGCGTGAGATTACTTAAATGTGGCTGAATGCAAGGACCACCATGACCTTTTATGAAGACTTCCGCATTGATTATTGGAATAACAGCTACTTTGCAGTCATTTGGCCAACGCTCCAGAGAAATCTCTTCTCGAACATTAAACATAGTTGAACTAAAAGTATGAAGACACAAAATAATTCCAGCAAGTATGAAAACGATAATGGTGTTTTCTTCCAATAAAAAATAAATTTACATAAAAAAGGATCGAAAAGAAAAAGGCAAATTTAAAACGGGCACTCTCTTTCGTTCTGTATGTTCTATATATGTTGCTTTTATTAATATACTGGTAGGTATGACGAAAGGTCAGCATGTTCTTTGTTATTCCTGTGTTAGTTTTTTTTTTTTTTTTTTTTTTTTTTTTTTTTGGCTGCTTAACAGTTTTGCGAAAGGGGGCCAAAAAGAGAGTGGTAGNCGATGACATATCTTCCTTTTGGTGATGGACCTCGGTACGAAAAGAATCTATATTATAGATATAGAGATTCATTTTTTTTGTAGAAATTGTATTGGAATGCGATTTGCATTATTAGAAGCTAAAGTTGGAATAGTTAAAGCACTTCGTGCTGTAGAATTTCAAAAATGTGAAAAAACAGCAGTAAGTGAGAATTTTCTTAGTATTATCATTGTATCATTAATTTGATCTCTATAGGTTCCACTAGAATTAGGAAAGTTTGAAATCATAAATAGCAAAATTGGTGTTTGGCTACGTGTTGTTCGTCGATCACAATAGATCGTATCTACATACTTGTCGTTTTTCACTATTATTTTTTATTACAAATCCATTTTATAGAAGGAAATAAATTCTGTTACATAAGCTAAAGGTTATCAGGGAAAATATCATTGAATTCCTTATACAGGGTGTTGCATAGCCTTTTTCCAGAGGGTACCGACGTAATTCGAAAGTAGGTACTTAATGAATTTCATACCAAATGAAAGCCCGTGAAAAACGGGGTTTAGTGATGGTAAGTACGAAGACTTCGGGAAAGTTTCATACGTCAAATCCCGGAAAGTTCCGATTTTACATGCATGAAAGTTATGAGAAAACTAGTTTATCAAATGATGATCGAATGAAATGTATTACAAAATAGCTTTTCTTCGTAGTTTGATGAGTGTGACCAGTAGTCTGTATGACGATCATTCGCTTTTTTTACAGCACGGAATCGAGATGTATATGAATATAGAAGAGTTTCAAATAATTCAGTATCTTCTTCCATGCTTGCTAGAACATTTGCGATGTGCATTTTGAACATTTCTTCAGAATATCGATGATGTTCACTTTCCGATGCCATTTGTTTTTCAAGTTCATCTTTAATTATTGACCCGATATGTTCTGCCGCGTTGGGATCAGGTGAATTTCCTGGCCAGATATCATTACCCCAAAATTTGACATCGTTGTCTTGGAGTAAATGTTGAGTTTTATTTGCTCGCATACACGGCGCTTTATCGTGAACAAATATGACTTCATCAGGATCAATAACATTTTCTTCATTTTTTAAAAAAGGAATCACATTTTGAATTAAAACATTATCACGAAAATATTCACCTGTCCAAGATTCCCCCTTTATCTTTGATGATCCATAGTAATCTTTTGTAAGTGAACGTTACAAAAAACTCCAACACATGATTGATTTCGTACCATTTCACGATATCTTTTGTCTTCAGTAATGTCCTCGATATTTTTCGCCCAGATTCTATCATTTTGATAATTTGGTCGACGGACAGTCCAAATATAAAACTCATCAGATGGTGCCAGATGAAGAAAGTCTTCCACAGTCCAATCTTTTACCCAATCACATAGCCATAATCGATCTGATATATGAGCTTCAGATTTTAACGGTTTTGGAATAACATGAAATGGTTTTAATCCTTCTCTGTGACGGTAATTATTAATTGTTCTTCCGATGGCATATTCTTATTGCTTTTTTGCAATCTCCTTCGACACAACAGGACCGCTTTTTCTTTGTTGACCACTTGCTTGACGAATGATGTCTCGACTAGCTTTCGATAATTTAGGCTTAGCACCAACATTGGAATAATCAGCAAAGCATTAGTCATATGGTTTTCCCCACCACTCTGAGACAAATCGAGTTGTGCGATGAATTTTGTCCGCAATCCATTGTCTATTTATAAATGTTGCACCAGCATCACGAGCTTCACGAAAAGCGATGCACTTAATTCTGTCAACCATCCTCTGTTGTTCGGTATCGTAAGTACCAGCCATTTCAAATAATAAAAGTGCGATGATTTAACGAGAGTGAATTTTGTTATGATATATATCGACAAGAAAACTATCTTTTATATCACGCGACACACTTCCGAAGTTTTTCTCGGCTGAGCACCTCTATGCAGAACGAAAAGAGAAAAGTTTTGATGGAAGAACTGAAATTACAAATAGTCAACAAAAGAACGCAAGAGAATCATCTTGTTTTCTGAATTTTAGTTATGTTTTCTTATCGTTAGCATAACCCTCTACCACTTTTCTATAAGCCTCTCCATTTTCAATACGTTGAAAACTAATAACAATGATTTACAATGACTTTTTATGGACCAAAACTTAGTCTCTTCAAGAGTTTGACGCATGAAAGTTTCCCAAAATCTTCGTATTTACCATCACTAAACCCCGTTTTTCACGGGCTTTCATTTGGTATAAAATTCATCATGTATTCTATTCGGGATTACATCGTTACCCCCTTGAATAATATTCTTTCCGACCCTGTATTTTTTTCCTTTCTCTCTCCCTCAATCAAACAAGCATGTGTGAATATAACCGTGCTCCATTATCATACAGAACGGTCAATTCTTTCATTTTGTCGTTCGTTCGTCCGTCTGTTCATTTTCGCTCATCGTTCTCGTTCGCTTTCTTTTTCTCATCATGTACGAGGTCATCTGTTAATCAGCTGTGCGTTATGTACTACGCTCATGTTGTCATACAACACACTCGGGTCTGTTTCTCTTCTGTGTTGTTNCCACTAGACGTTAATAGGCGGAACGGCAGGTAACGGAAAAAAGCTGATGATCTGTATCGGTTCCGTTAGTGTGTGTGTGGTTGTCCTACTTCGGAATTGGAGGAATGAATGACGTGATTCGAGGTCTTCGTGGTATGTTTATTGATAAACGACGAGAGAAGAAAAACAAGAAAACGACCTATGTCGATCACAGTTCAACGACAACTGCCTCTGTCTGGTCTTACAAGTTCAAAGAGCGGTCAGACAGGCGGCATAGAGAGAAAAACCAGAGAGAAAGAGAAAAGAGATCTATATATCATGGCATTGAACCGCACATAGGACATATAGATCTGAACAAGAAGAAAAGAAAGAAAAAAAAGATAGCGATAACAATGTACTATCTGTTATCGCTAACATGAGTTCAAAGAAATTTGTCTTTTATAATATTAAAACTTGAGTCAATAGACGTATCGTGAGAGTAATATATTAGCTGTAGCATCGAGAGCATTAGATTCAGAATCATCTTCTGAATCACAGTTTGTATACGCTACAGTAACAACACCTCGACTAGGTGCCATCCAAAACACAGTATCTTGACCAAAAATATCGCCACCATGAGTTAACGATTGTCCAGGTGTAGCCCAACTTCGATTGTATGCATTTATACCTAGACCATATCCTTCAATACCCATATAAGGATGTTTCAGTTTTGCAGCTGTTTCTGCACTTAAATAGTTTGTTTTATTATTGTTGATATGTGCATATAAGAATTTCGCCCAGTCGGACAATGTAGATGCAATATATCCACCTGGACCTGCTGCCGCTTGATCATGATAGAGAAAAGAAGCAGTATCTGCAGGGCGTGGAATAGGTACTGTCTGATTTATACGTAAATTATGGCCAACTGGTGCTTTAGGAGGAATTATATCATCGTATACTCGACCGATACTACTATTAACCATTTGAAGTGGATCAAAAATATGTTGTTTTACAAGTGATTCCCAATCTTGATTTGTAACAAATTCCATCATTGCTGCAGCAACTGCATAACCTTGATTAGAATATAAAAATTCTCCAGGTATCACTTCTGGAACATCTTTCATCACAGTTTCTGCAACCCATCGACGTATTTGACGAATTGTACCATTTTGAGCTAACAACTCAGAATAATGACGTGCATAAAATGTTGTACTTTGTTGAATACCAGCACGATGTGAAAGTAATTGCTCTAATGTCGCACTACGAAAAGCACAATTAAATGAAGTATAATTTGGAAAACATGTATGTATAGGTGTTGTCCACGATATAAGACCACGATCAACTAAACGTCCTGCTACAGTTGCTGTCATCCATTTAGAACATGAACCAATATTAATACGATCAGTTACAAGTAGAGATGATGGATTTCCTTGTCGACGAAATCCTGCTTCTCCTTGACCAACGATTTCACCATTTTTCATTGCCAATCCAGATAAACCAGGCATATGAAATTGCAAACGTATACGTTCAAAATCAGCATTCAGATTATCAATAGTAGCACTTGCAGAATATTGCCCATGAAGACACGAATACATAATACAAGTGAAGAATAAGATCTTCTTAAAAGATATTTGCTGTCCACTCATCCTTCTCTCTCTATACAAAAAGAAATTTGATAGATCATATTGAAAATAATAGAATGATCCTAGTTATACACGTAGGATTGTTGTAAGATTCTAATTACATAGAATTAAATATAAACAACTTACTTTAATATGTAATATTAAATTGTCGTTTTTTGTATATGGCAAAAAGTAAAAGAATATTTTGTTGTGAATATCAATATGTATTCTCTCTATTTATATAACAATTGTACATCATCAGAGATTCTTACGAAATCACAAATTGACAAAAGTCATTTTCTTCAATATCATTCATGACAATATTACCTCAAGCGTAGCTAATGAATGTTTTGTATAATGACTAATAACAGAATACCCAACATAAAATATTGCACTTGACTCATGAGTATAAAAATGAAGTTTCAATTACGTACATATCTATGATAGTATCATTTTCAATTTACAATATACAGTTTTGCTATAAATACATTTCAAATTTCTTTCAAAATGATTTTAAAAAGTTACTTAACTTTTATCGAATTTATCGATGTCAGCTTAGTAATAAAATGGTTTAGATGAATTATGGTATAATTTGAATCCATTTCAATTTGTTGAACAAAAGGTTGACTTTTTCTTTTCAGGATGATTATCGAGTATGTCATTCTGTAAATCTATTATATATTGTGAGAGTTCTGTTTTATATATTTTACGAAAAACTTTAGACTGATGAGGTTTTTTTCAATATTTTCCAACATTGCATGGACTTTCAAGTAAGTGTAACTCGGAGAATCATCGAAATACAAAACTTATTCCAGTGTAATTCCATTTCTTTATGGGCAATATTTTGAAAATAAATTTAATCATTATTACAGCAGTTTTAAACTTCTTCATTTGATATTTAATTTTAAATTTTAATTAATAATATTAATAAATAACTATTTATTTGAATGATAATAATTTATTTAATAAATAGTATTAATTTACAGAAAAGAAAAATTGACAAAATTAGTCGACGTTTCTAGGATTAACGCCTCATTATCAAGACCAATTCTTATGTGTCAAAATAACCATCCATTGAGATGTGGCAAAAAGAGAGGAGAAAATCTTGCTGTATGAATGTTCCGAAAAATTTAGATAGATATGCAAACAAGGGTGAAGTCCAAAACTATATATCTTATAGGATTAAACAACGACCAATGATGATTGATCTAACGTTGGTTTTATCTTGACCTTAGGTTTATATGTTTGTAGACCTTCGGGAAAAATTCTTCATTCTACTGAAAGGAGGGTATACGCATAATTTGAGCTAAAGTTCGTTCGTTCGTCCGTTCACGCACTTTACAGTGATGAAATAAAAATCTATATTGCTGACGCCTAAGGGTTGACCGAAGGGTAATCAGGGTCGAGGATCACGAATCCGAGGTTAGTTTCTCGAAATTCTAATTACCTCATTAGCTAATTACAGCGTGTCCCGAAAGTCCGCCGAAAAANGAAGTGTAAAATATTTTCATTCGTTAGTCCCCTTAGTCCTCGTTGGAGTTATATTTACGACGGTCATTTTTTTCTCAACTTTCAATTTGAAATATAAAAGACCATAGACTCGTTTTTTATACCATATTGTGATCTTTTTGACGTCGAGTTCAATGAAACTAGCTGATTTTTGTACCGAAAAAACCTGGATTTCTGATGATATTTCGATAAAAAACTGCTAAAATTTTTCAAAAACTTTTCGAAAAGAAAGGAACTTCTAACACGGAGGAGGTTTACTAAAAATCCAAAAACAGATAAAAACTCTGATAGAGTAAAAGTTAAATGGGCAAAGGCTTAGCAGTCAAAAATTACAATGGTCAAACTTCAAAATGAAGTGGGCAATTGTCCATTTGCCTCCTCCCCTCTTGGCCACACCACTGCTTGCAGGTGTGAATCAGAGAAAAATAATCACATCCTCTCTCGCAAAAAACGGAAATTATATGACCATGATACGAACGGCATCTTCATCTAGATCGAGCAACAGGGTAAAAAGGAAAAAATTGCGATGACTTATTGATTAGCGATGAAACTGTTTGTAGAATGGATATGTTTCAAAAATATACTCTTGAGAATTCGATTGGAGATGTGCAATTTCAGTTTTAATATTCACCATAGAATTTGCATGGTAGAATGGTGAAAAAAGAGACGAATAGAAAGTTATACAGAATAAAACATAAGAGTAAGCATACATAAATTCTTCGAACGGAGAGTTGGTTTAGAATCAAACATAATGAAAGAAGTTGACCAATTCTAGATTTTACAAACTCAAAGTATGCTCAGTACACGAGAGTACATCAGAGTGCATGAATAATAATTGTGTTATACAGGGTGTCCCAAAAGTCCGCCGAAAAAGTAAATTTGTGTGATTCTTTTGTTAAAACAAACCAACTAATTGCATATCATACGGTAGACATCACCGTGAAGTTTCTATTGATAGGAATAAAATTGGTAAATAACGTCGAAAGATATCACTTTTGGCTAAAATACAGAAAGTACCGTCTTTCAAATTTCGCCGAAAAACTCCTTATTTTTTATTTTTTGATCATTTTCACTTTTAGGGTATTTTTAGAGTTTTTTTAACTTTTAGTGCCGTTTTATTGTTATTTTCTCAAATATCCTCATAAAGAGAGATCAAGTCTTGAAGTCCACTGATACATAACAAAAAATATATCACTAAAACGGCACTAAAAGTTAAAAAACTCTAAAAATACCCTAAAAGTGAAAATGATCAAAAAATAAACAATAAGGAGTTTTTCAGCGAAATTTGAAAGACGGTACTTTCTGTATTTTAGCCAAAAGTGATATCTTTCGACGTTATTTACCAATTTTATTCGTATCAATAGAAACTTCACGGTGATGTCTACCGTATGATATGCAATTAGTTGGTTTGTTTTCACACATAAAAGAATCACACGAATTTACTTTTTCGGCGGACTTTTGGGACACCCTGTAAATATGTGAATAGAGGATTATTTTCTAAAGTCTATTTGATTGTTTCCTAGTTAACTCGAATTGTTCAACATTAATATTTAATGTCGAATACTACCGAAGCAGTCAATCAACTGCTGGACTCGTCGGTCTCTTATTGAATGTACTGATATTTACTCAACCAATTTTAAATCGTGGACCGTGTTCATTTTATTTTCTTCTATCAACAGTCTTTAATTTATTTGTGGTGTTGATCATTTTACCAGTACGTATTGTCTCAAATAGTTTCAATCTTGATCTAGCTAATTATAATTCTGATTTATGTAAAGCGGAATTTTACTCATTTTATATTGTACGTGTCGCCTCTGTCTGGTTAATTTTATTGGCATGCATCGATAGATATCTACATAGTTCATCGAATATCAAGTTACGTCGATTGAGTTCGATAAAAATAGCTCGCCTATCGTCTTGTATACTCATTATGGTAATGATTATCATATATAGTCATATACCAGTTTATTTTGAAATAGCAAAAGTAGTTGCACAATCCGGTAGAATAGCATCAATCTTCAATGCAAGAAAAGGTACATACCGTAGTTTTAGCGCATCTTGGCATATGACCTTCTATTCACTATGTCCGTCATTTTTAATGCTACTGTTCGGCGCTATTACAACGAAGAATATTCGTCATAGTCGTCGTACAGATACACAACTTTTACGTGTGTTAACTGTTTGTCATTATTCTTTCTACGATGCCATCGAGTGTTGTACGACTTTATTCATCATTTACAGAAACCACGAGCGAAACTGCATTTCAAATCGCTCAAGAAACTTTAGTCACCCAAACATTCAATACGTTGTCATATTTTGCTCATTCAACTAGTTTCTGTCTATATACATTAACTGGTAGTCTATTTCGAAAAGAACTCATCCGAATTGTAGGACAATGTTTCCGTCCTTGTCAAAATCTGATTAAAATATTCTCAAGTAGTAGAGATGAATTATCAACTAATCGCATATAATAATAGCACAGTCCTATATTTTGTGTTATTGGTCAAAATTGGCAGTACTAAATCGAAGTTGTGATGTTTTCTTATGTACCTTAACAGTGTATAAGAATATTAATATCCAACTATCACCATCTTTTGTTCTTTTCTTCTACACTAAATATCGTTCAGAGCACAATGAAAAAATGACTATATATTATCACTCTTTGTAGAAATCGGAAGAAATAATGTTCTAGAATTGTAGTGAACTGATTTAATTTTTGCTAGTGGAAGAAAATGTTTTGTTATTTTAAAACCGAACTGGCAAGTATAAGCAAAATGATAAAGCAATCATTAATAAATAAAATCATACTGTCCTTTGGACGTCAAATGAAATGAAGAATATGTTATGTGCGACTAATTTTTCTATATTCTCTATATGGACCTCAACACTCTCGCCAGTCGATTATTGAATTTTAAATGAAATCGAAGCCAATGACTGTGCAGTATTGATTTCTTTTGTCAGAACAGAAAGTGCAAATTTAATTGTTTTGTAAACTACAGAACAAATCCATTAACGGTTGCCTTCAACAGGTGACTTTATACTTTCCTTTTGTTACTTTTCGTGTTTGTCTCACTTTATTATATTGAATCGTTACTAGACGAATGGCAAAACACTGCTGGATAGATTCTTGCCGAAGACGAGCAGAAGCGTTCTGTGCTCATTGCTCAGAAGAATTGTGTCATCATCATTTCATGGAACATAAAGACTGGTTACAAGAACAACTTTTGCCAATGATTAAACAAGTAAACATTATATACAGTCGATTTCAACGATGTGACATGGATCAAGCTATCTTTACACTCAATTGCTTATCCGACGCACGTCATGAACTCAATCAATGGCGTAGTGCATGCGTTCGACATATCGATGACGTTTATGATCGAGCATTGCAAGAGATTACAACTACTTTGGAAAAACGTAAGCAGGAGACTGTAGAACAAAACAAGCAAAATCTTGATTCTCTCAGTAAAATACGTCGACAATTAGAAAGATTATTGAACTCGGGCAAACTTGCATATGAAAAATTACGAATAATGAAGATACAACTGAACGACCTGAAACGAAAAGAAACAGAACACAACAATCAGCCAGACATTCGTATTGTCACGGACAAAATCGACGTGAATCGATTTGTTGATATCATCTATAGTCGCAAGCAGCAGTCCGAAGAAGAATTGTATAGAGAAGCTACGACTCGTGTAGAAATTTCTAAAAGGTAACATTGTAATACCTATTGTTTACTGTCGCAACTCAGTTCATATTGGTTTTGAATTTTTTAGAAATGCACCTCAAGTAAATCCATCCGACGATTCCGATGAAGAGCAACGTCGAAAACGACGAGTCACCAGAACATACACTTTGAAGTAAACACTTTCCTTCTCGATCAATCTGTTGAATATAGTTTATTTCTTTAGGACATCAGTTCCGCCACCTAAAGTATCTAATGCTCGGATAACACGGAAGTTGACACAAGTGAAGCGTCATGGATACCAAGAACGGGTCGCTTATGCTAATGAACATACCAGAAAGAAAATTGTTGCTGAAGAATGAAATATTTTTGCGTTTATTGAATAAAAAAACACATGCTTCTGTATATCATTTAAATCTTTGGATACATTTCAATGAACTTATGTTTGAGCTTGTTGTAATCATTGATCATAATTTTGTAAAGATTTGCGAACGTTGAATGTGGTTTGATGTAAGCATCGAAAGAATATCGCATCAAGCCGAGAATAAACAGATAGTAAAGAACAACACCATAATCTGCCTCGCGCATAACATTTTCGATGGAATCTCTTCCTGATTCGTCGAAGTCATGAATATAACTCAGTTTCTTTGTTTCTTCGAGATAGTAAATCAGGAACTCTCTTCGTTGATCTATTTTTGGAATAGCATGACCGGTGAGCTTGTTATCTTCATTCCATTGAAACACAAAATTGGAGAAATGACCACCAATGTCGAAAGCTCTTTCGCAGTAGCATGAATATTCAAAGTCACATAGAACTACTCGAAGTTCACCTTCAATTTCAGTTTTCCGGAGTAAGTAGTTCATGAAGTTCGAGTCGCCATGACTCATCACTATACGAGACTTGATTTTATCTTTCAGAAGCAAAGCCCATTCGAGCTCGTCAACAATATTCCAATCGAGAAAGTCATCGACATCTTGAAGGTTGTGGATCTTGTCTTTTACGAAATCTTTTATATCTTCCCAATGTGACTTTGTTCGTGAAATCGGCACTTTCTCAATGAACTCTTGAGTCTTCTTGAGCACATTAAACCCTCTCTTATCGAGTGGCAGATTCATCGAATGAAATTTTGCTAGAGACTTCGCGATTTCTCTCACCATATTTGACTCCAAGGCGAGTAACGGTGTCATTTTAATCGTTTCGATGTATTCAACGACCATAGAGTTACCAGACAGACAATACAATTTAGGTCCGCAGCCGTTGTTAGAAGCACCGTTGGTGATAATAATTTCTTCTATATCATTAGTTGAACAAAAGCGTTGAATCGAATCTCGCATGACATTTCCTCCGGCAACTTTTATGATAACTTGATGTGGTTCGCTGCTACCGTTCTTGTTACATGTCGTTCGAGAAACCAACCAAATGGTGTTGGAATATCCTCCTGAGAGTTTCGTAACATTGACATCGTCCATTCTGAGTAGCGACCATTCATTCAGGAAGACTTGTGTGACTAAATTCAGGGCTCGCTCAGGAGACATTGTATTGTCGATATCACCCATATCGTATCGCTTCTAAACAAAGGTGAAATATATTTGATGAGAAGAAATGTATTGCGAAACTTTTCTATTCTTTTCATATCTACATGAAAAAGATGTCACTGTCGATCAGAAAAGTTCATTTTGAAGATCAAATAGGTTTAATGGAATTCTTCTCAATTCAAAATAAGATGAAATGAACTGAATTTCAATTTATTGGAAAGTGTCAAATGCCGATCACCTTTCCATCCATCCATATGTTGAATTTTTTACAAACATCTTCAGTCTTATCGACATTCGGCTCAAGACGATATTTATATGCTATTTCGTTTCAAAGCTTTTCTTGTAATTGCACGAAAAACTTTCCCTAATAAATTTTATTTACTAATCATTGAAAGTATCTAAATGAAAATGACGTAGTTGAGATATGAAGGGCAGCTTTTATTCTAGTATAATCTTCTGTCATTTTCTTAAGGGTAGGAAATTTGCTTAATGAAAAAAGATTGAAAAAGATCTTAGTGTGGCCATACGCAGTTTTATCTGATAACTTCGGTGAATAGACATTTTGTTTTATTAAAGGATTTACTAAAATTTGTTCAGACATCTTCAAAGATTAGATAGAATGGAACATTGCGAAGTAATCGATACAACGTACTCAGATATCCATAACAGTGAAGAACTATTTCGATTCGTGAGAATTCAGATTTGTTCAACTGGCTGTTTTATTCGTCTGTTATCTTTGAACATGAATATATTTACGGCGCATTTTCTCGAAAAATTAAAAAAAAACTAGAAATATACTAATTATTGAACGGTTATTACCTGTCTCATAAATGATCACACTGCTACTGCATTTGCCAGGTAATCGTATCTTTTCAGCGAAAAACAAACTTAATCAGAGATAGAAGTATTCGAGTCCGTTCGTTTCATACCGACACCCACATACTCAAAATATACGACGTAGTTTCATTTGTCAGCATACATCGATGTTTGAATACTGTATATAATCAACTTCCTACGCGTTCTCCGTCTTAAAATAAGAACCACGTAAAAGGTAATATACACCTAAACTCCTCTCCCTCTTTCGTTTTATTGCGTCTATTTTTTTCTTTTTATGTTTATTCTGGCAACGTATCAAACGCTTTACGTTAATTTCAGGAACCAATTTTCTAAAAATAATTCTAGGAACTAACTATCAATTGATGTACGCATAATTAATCCAAAAATAAAAATACAAATGCGAAATTCAATTTTCCGATTCGTTCTATATAAATGAGATCGTAATACCATGAAAGACATACACAACATATCTTCCTGCTATCATACACATACATTCATTCGAATTATCAAACATGGCTAAAAATGCAACAGCAATGATGGCTATTGGCGTCGTTCTCATGATGATTGTTTTTCAGAGCAGCATCGTGAATGGTCAAGTTATATGGTTATGTCCTGTTGGTTCTACCAATTGTAACAATGGTTTTTGTTGTCCGTCATCGACTCCTGTCTGTGGAGGTATAGGTAGATGCTGTCCTTCGAATTATCCCATTTATTACAATAATCGATGTTATGGTATCGTTGGAAAATCGAGTATCAGCGATACAAAGGTAGACGCGGTTGTAGCAATCCCCGGTTCGTCTTAAAAAAACAGTGATGCTTGATTTTTAATTGTCTATTCCACAGTACTTTTCTTTTCTTTCAATAAAAATAAGAGAATAAAGATTCTCAACATGAAATCAGTTCTATAAATGAATGAGTAAATAGATGACGATATACTCGATTACTTTTATCTTCATCTACGTATGTCTAATATCGATCAAATTCAGTTCCAGTCTATTCACATACGTATATAGATATTTCTTCTCACTCTCGTGATCGTAGGTCACCATACACTCCGCAGGCTGATGAGAATTTACATGCGTTTATTTTAAGAAAAGAAAAATCCTCTTTCGAGCCATTCGAATATTGAAATGAGCTTGTCCTTCGTTTTCTGTTGATTATATGATGAGTTCTAAATTGGGATTTTTTTCACGGATTTTACCGAGATCTTTCTTTCCGATGGTAGTTATTGGATTGAAGCGAAGATTTAATACAACGAGTGTCTAATTTGTAAATAGAATAATCACGTATTAGAGATATAAAAAAAGTTATAATTACTTGATTGTTTTCCAGAGCAATGCTCATATACAATGCTCCTTCATCAGTTATTTCATTATGACTAAGATATAATTCTCTTAATGTCTAGACGAAATATGAAAAGAATCTCTAAGAAGAAAATTTCATAATATTACTGTATTTTTTAATAAAACACCAAGAAAACATCGTACTCCTTGGTAACTGATTTGATTCTTCCCAATCTCAAGTGTAGTCAATGTCTGATGAAAAAGTACGAAATATAATAACGAAATCAATCAACAAATATACCTGATTTTTCTGTAAACTTTTGGCTAAATATTGTGCACCTTGATCACCAATATCATTTTCCCATAGATCCAGAAATGTTAATGTCTTGATTAAATTCAAACAATTATAAAAACAAATAAGAGAAACACTTTGGTTTTACTTCATTTTCTTGCAAAGCAACAGCAAGATGTTGTACTCCTTGCAATCCAATATGATTTCCATGCAGATTTAATATAGTCAATGCCTGTGAAACATAATTTACCTAAGAAATATTGAAGCCCGACAAGAATTACTTGGTTTTGTCGTAATGCATTAGCCAGATATTCGGCTCCTTGTGAACCAATTTGATTATTGTGCAGGAATAATGTTGTGATAGTCTAAATATTAAACAAAATACAAATCATAAATCGAGAAAGAAAAGCATTTTACTCGATTATCTTCGAGAGTATTCGAAAGATATTGAATTTTCTGCAAGGTCATTTGATCATACCTAAGATCCAAAATAGTGAAAGAACGATGATACTTAGCCAGAATTGTATTGAAATGTTTCGAAACATTTTTCATTGAATATAATAATGAATAATTAGTAAGATTATCGAATATTCGGTAAACCAGTTCGATTGGTAAGGTGAAAAATGTTTTGTCACTCATGATGAAGAAAATAAAAATATGCGTCTTTTGACAGTCTTCAACACGTAGAAGAAATGACGTAGCAAAAGGAATGATTCACAAACGTGTGTTTGATTAATTACGTCACAGTTCGTTGATGTAACTCATACGAACCAACAAATACACTACGACAGCATATATATTTGCGAATTTTAGCGTCTTTTTTGACATAAATTTATTGAATCAGAGAAACTATACAAATAAGTGATCGAAATCGTATGTTTATGCATTCACTGAACCGATTGTATTCAAAGCAACTGTTCTTTGTGGGCGAACTCTCTTGAATTTTGCTTGAATCTCTGGTAGACCAACCAATGCTAAAAATGGCGATGCAAAACTGGAAAAATACGGTAAATAATGGATAATAATATCGATAAATTGTTGAGCAAATGCTGGATCGTAGAAATCTTGTCCTAAAATGATCACGACCCATGGTACCCATATAATTAAACTTAGCAAACTAATCGCCAACAATTGTAAAATCATTCGTCGATTCTTTTTCAAAATATTCGGTACTAAAACTGTTCCTAATGCATTGTGTCTGCGAATCACTACACGAATTATAATCAATAGATTAAAAATCAAAATAATAAAAGGTGGAACCATGACATCCACAATTGTATCATAAATATTTGGGAGAAAATCACTAAAATAGCATGCTCCTCCGCATACAAATACATTTAAGTCATACTGATGATTTGCTTCACATGGAATGAACAATACCAGATATGAATTAATGCCAATTGTGTATAGACAAACCATCGTCATTGGAATGTAATGAAACAAGATTTTGTGATTTGTTATGAGATGTTTATGAAATACTAAGAAATAACGTTCGATGGAGGCAAACATTGTTAAAAACAATGGAAGTCCTTCAGATGTATAATTCCAAAGTATCCAAAATGGACAAAGATTTGAAGCTTGAAAGTATCCTGATGATAAGAAGCGAAATGTAAATGGCAATTCAGTTGTAATTATGAGAAAATCACAGATTAAAATACATAAAATCACATGATGATTTATTCGATTAAACAGTAAAGTTTTGCGTAATCGAATGAAATAATAGAAAATGAGAAGAAAATAAATTAGCGATGGAATGAAAAATATTGCTAACAATGAAATTGTTATTGCACGTTGTTGAAAACCTAATTGAGATGAATTTTCTTCCAATGTTAATGTTATGTTCAATGTTTGATTATTCATATTTATTCCAACACGTTACTTTGGTGTTTGTTGGTAATAATTTAATATTTTCTACGAGACGAGAAGAAGAAAAATGTATCAATTCATCTTTTCTGAAGCAAACTTGTTAAGACTCTTTTCTTTTTTTTTTAATTATGTAAAACAAAAAGATGTTGAGCTTCCGGCAACCTTCCTGTATTTTGTGCTTTCTTATTAATTGAAGAAATGAGAAAAATTCTAAACCATTGTGACAAGAATATATTTTGTTTGCCGTTAGTTATATTAAAATGGAATCTACAAGCGAAACATGAAGGTCAAGGGAATACGGACGACAATATGAGACTAATTTGTGATCTTTTACGATATTTTTCATTATTAATTTTTCTATACTATGAAACTGAAAATATCAATACAAACTTTGTCTTTCTTATCTCGTCTTAGATGTGTCATGTAGATGAAATATCATTCTAAGTACTTGTAGTTGGTTCTTTTTTGAATAGTAAAATAAATTAGAACCTCGTTTATATGTACTATTGCTCTATGAGTTTGGACTTCTTTTATTTACCTCATTAACATTTACCGGTGAAGAAGTAAATGTCAATTGTTATTAGTTGTTTTCATATTTATTTTGTGATTTTCGTAATACGGAAGTGCCGATCGCCAGTAGTTGTAACAAAAAAAAGACACACGGACATCATGAGTAAACAACTGTTACACTTTCGCTCTGTCATCTCACATAACTTATTTCGAATAACATACAATGTAAGACAAAAAAAGGTGAGGTATGTTGTACCCATCTATTTTATCTATTGTCCTGGATTAAAATGAATGCGTTATCGTTAATCTATTGATAAATATTTGATTCAACATGATGACGTGAAAGAGAATTGAAATAAGATATGAGTAATAAAAAAAGAAAGAGAGTTTGATATTTTTTTATATATACAGTGTTGATGTTGTTGTGAAACATTATCTACAGTCATGATATTCGTGGTTCTTGTTCTTCAATTATTGTTGTGTTCGTTCGCCGAAACTAAACCAAAATTAACGCAGGATGAATTTTTCAATTATGTTGATTATCCAACTGTCAGTGTTTCTCCAACGGGTGAGTATTTATTCTATGAAGAGATGAGACCATCATGGGAAACGAATTCCTTTGTACGAAAGTTATGGTTGTATGATATTCGTCAACAACAAAAACGATTGATTACCGCAGATTCAACAGACTTTTTCTTTCCCATGTGGTCGCCAAGTGGAAAATGGATCACATTTTTTGTCAATAATCATTTGATGGCAAATACCTCTCGACGTTCATTAGAAAGATCAGAAACAGCCGACCAGTACATGTACTTCTATTCAGTCAGCACAAACAAAATCATTCCCGTTCAGATCCAGAACATTCAACCATCAGTTGCAACATGGTCAAACAGCGATACAGTTCTCTACATTGTAGGACCAGGATTATCATCCAGAGAAGAAGATGATGCATATCGAAAAGAATGGAAAGATGTAATTAATTATCGGCAAACTAAACCGGGAGAAGGAAGTACTATCTATGAAATCAAAATTGATACAACGGATTCACTTATATCCGCAGAGTTAAGTATTGTGTACAATGCATCTTTGCTAATCAATGAACTTTTGTATGTTTCGTATGAAGAACAACTTGTTTTCACATCCAAAAGTAGAGTCTACGAAGATTTGGATAACTTCGAGATTTATTCGATTCATTTGAATCAACCATCATCGTCATTCTTGAGACTAACTTCTCTGGAGGGAATTGAGCAAAATTTACAATTATCGAATGATGGAAAACATATTTTATTCCGTCTATGGGCTTTGAGTTCAGGTCGAATTCAAACGACGCAACGACGACTCTATTCTTTGGATTTAATCACACTACAGATTGGTCGACTGGGTGCAAATTTCAATGGAGTTATTACAGAATTTACAATTAAACCTGACGGCGGAGTGTATTTTATCGGACAATTGGGACTCAATGTTCAAGTTTATACTCAAGAATCGCTGACAGATGATGTAATGTATCGACAAGGATGGAATGGAACGTATGAACGGTTTTCTTCGCCATCGAATCGAACAGGTGGACCGATTGCATTCGCTTTTTCGTCACTTGAACGACCCAAAGAAATTTATCTAGCGGAAAGTATTGATCGACTTGGATTTGCCAAAACAATTACAGATGAAAACCGATTATTTACACAGCGTGACTTGCCACACGCAACAGCATATCATTGGAGAAATACCGAAGACAATCGCGAAATAGAAGGAATTCTACATTATCCACCAGGAAAGTTAACTGAGAAAAATTTACCTCTGCTAGTTCTTATTCACGGTGGTCCGAATGCGGCAAGTGTTAATGAACTTCAAGCTACATGGAATTGGGCCACCATGGCTGCGACGGAAGGTTGGCTCGTTCTTGAACCGAATTATCGCGGATCGACTGGTTATGGTGACGAATTTCTTGATGAGCTTCGTCATCGTTTACTCTCACTGCCTGGCCAAGACATTCTCATGGGAGTCGATCAGTTGATTAAAGATGGAATTGCTGATTCACAAAGACTTGCTGTCGGAGGTTATAGTTACGGCGGATTTCTAACGAATTGGCTCATCACTCAAACGACACGTTTCAATGCTGCATTATCGGGCGCTGGAGGTGCTGAACATGCTTCAGGTTGGGGAACGATGGATTTACCGGTACTTCTGAGTTATTTACATGGTGGTTTTCCTTGGCAAGTACCAAATGTCTACAGTAGTGAGTCTCCCATTTACCATATGAGTAAAGTACGCACACCAACACATATTGTTGTCGGAGAAAATGATGTGAGAGTTGATGCAGATCAAAGTTTTATATTGGAACGGTGCCTTCATTATCTTGGAGTGCCTGTACAGTTGTTGATTTTACCAAAGGAAGGTCATGCAATTGCAAATTATCCTTGGAGTGGGAGAATTAAAGTTCGGGAAGAACTTAAATGGTTGCATCAATACGGAAATCAAACATTACCGAAAGAATCTGCAGCCAATATCATATCTTTCTCTTTTACGTTATTATCATTGGTTATTTGCACGTTTTGTTTTTCATTTCAGAACTGAAATTATCTTTTGAAACCAATTAACAAATAAAGTGTCTTTTCTATTCAGAAGCCGTCGGAACACTAAGCGTATTCGTTAAAATAATTAGTGCTTTAAATGTGCCAAGCTCTTCCAGTTGTGTATAACCTGTTGGTAGTACATCAAATTGCAGTCCATACTCCTGTCAGGTTTTCATGACGATAGTTCCATTCAATAGCCAATCTAAAAGTTGGATCTAGGTGTGCGATATAGTTGAATGTATCATAAGTACACGAAAGAATCTCAGTTCTCCTATTTTAATATTTCAGTGCAGCTGTAGCGAACATGGCATAGACCAGAACAAAATAGTTAAGATATAAAGAGATATAACAAGAACAATATAAAAACGCTTATATCTTGAGAACGTCATACGAGAGTGATATTTCGTATATTCATGAGAACGGAGAGGTGAAAGTGAACAATTACAAAAAATACGTTATAAAAAACAAATTGATTAAGAATTGTCTACAAACAAATATCCTCCGCACCATTAGGCTCTAATATACAATTCTTAGAGATGTTCGCTTTAGTGTTAATTTTTGGTTTATCCAATTGTGGCATAGGCGTTTCTTGTTTGGAAGCAGTTGCTTCAGATGAATACTTTGACCAGGCTCGAATGATTGCGCCATATTTCCAGAAAATGAATGGTAGCGGTAAACAGAGAAGGGCTAGAAAACCAGCGATCGAGGCTGCCCATTGAATACCAAGATTTTGAAACATTCTGGCAGTGAATAGAGCTAGGGATAAAGAAAGAAGTAGAACGGCTAGTCCAGGAAAACTTACGAAAGGCAGCACCAAACAATGAGCGAAGAATGGAGTTAGCGGCCATTACAGTTGCTGCATATATAGTGTAAGTATCGATCATATAGTTTATGAGAGCCACGAAGACGAGCACTATTCCAAATCCAAATGGTATGACTGCCAGAATGGGAACTATAAAGTGTATCGACGAATAATTGGTCCAGGCAAACCAAAATAGTCCTATCGGTAGGCCGAATGCACCAACAATTGCTGGTGGAAGACGTGTTTCTGGTGGTACTAAACTACCAGCATATGCTTTTGTTACTTCGGTATATCGTCGTTTATCCCAGATACAATACAAAGTACCAAGAACTATGCCTACTGCCATGCCAAGAAATGGAAGACCATCGATACCAGGTGCCCATCCTTTCTGTTCATGATAGAGTATTGGAAAAGCACCAATCAGCATGTACATGATACCGTAGATGACAGCCATGTAGATGGCGAAGAACAGAACAATTGGTTCACGAAAAAGAAATATCCAAGGTCGAGAGAATGAAATCTTTAGAAGATAAGGAAGTGTGATTCGAGCTTTTTCTTCGAATTTCGAGCGATAGAAATAGCCTGTGACGTTGCACAACTTTTCAGCGCGCCAGTGTAGAAGAACAGGTGCATAGGTCTCCGGTAAACCAACTATTCCGATGACAGTTAACACACCTGTAATAATAGCCATAATGCCTTGGATCCATCTCCATCCGATCGCGGCACCAACGAAGCCACCTAGATTGATTACATAAATGTTCTTGATCTTCATTTCTACAGGTGTCAATCGAACCGTAACTTACCGATAATAGATCCGAAAACAGGTCCTAGGAACGGAGCAGCTGCAAAAATTGTCAAAGGAAGACCTCGCCGATTGGTCGGATAAAGGTCAGCGATCGTACCGCTACTCTAATAATAATCTACGTAGCTGTTGATTTGAGAAAAAAATACGACAACATACATTAGCGAATGCAGATGAACCGAATGCACCGGCAAAGAATCGAAGAATAATGTGTGTCCACATATTCACCGATGCTGCCGATCCAGCATTGAACGCAGTCATAGTCGCAAAAGTGATGATAAAGACAATACGTCTTCCAAACACTTCAGAACATGGCGCCCAAATAAGAGGACCTAAGACGAATCGAGGCTATAAAAAGTGATTCAAAGGAAAGAACCACTCACCCAGTGCAAAACCAAGCACATTAACAGAGATACCAAGAGTAATGACTTCACGAGAAGGTTGAAAATCTTGGCTGAGACCATCGAATTCGCCAACGTACACAGATGAACAGAAAAGAACAATTGTAGCGGCCACCGAGACAAAGACGGTCAACATCCATCTGTACACTGTATTCCACGTTTGAGGATTTTCAGGATCTTCCAATATCCATTCAATCTTATAAGGTTCTTCAGTTGTTCCTTGTCCTTGATACTGTTGAGAAAGAATTTTCTCGAAGGGAGTTACATAACGACGATACGTAGTTTGAGTGAGACTAAATTTGGATGTATTGATTTGGATGGAATAGTTCTTTTTCCCAGCTGTATGCATTGACGACAGGATATCGAGTAGAATATGTAGATTAAATCTGAAATTAGAAGGAGAGTCTAGTTTTTCATGAAAAATGACAAAAAAGCTCTCTAATATAGGCGTAATAAGAACTGATCGTAAGAGCTAAAATTCGAGAAACATCAAATAGTAAAAAAGTTCGTCGCTTTCTACCTCATTATTGTCAGTTGTATCTTTGATATGTGTATAGTCTTGTCAAACTTGAATTTATCTTTTCTCGATCCCTGATAAAAGTACTTTAACATATCCGTGGATATTAACCGATGTACTTTTATTCGATCTTATTCGAAGTGTACACCATTTATGATATTTAAAGGGCAATATCTCCACCCATTTGGGTGTAACCTTCTGCACTTGAAACGCTAAGCCCATATCAAATATATCATTTGATACTTTTCTTTTATGCGTTTTTGATGACTCGCCAAGACGCTGACGCCCTTTATATAGTCGAACATTTCAGTATCGCACGCCATATTTGTCCTCTCTGTTTAGTTCGAAGTTTGTCTACTAGATGACTAGGTGAACAGATTTTTGACAGTATCGAAAGAATTCTTGTTTTGCATATTTCGTGTTCGTATCGATAACAGATCTTATGAATTAGATATACAATCTTTCTTATTCACGACAATCAAGCATCGCATCGCCAGTGCCAGGATGGATAGTAACACACAAGAGAACGAAAATGAATCGTTGACGATGAACAATTTAAATCCGTACATTTTTGGCGTCACAGATTCTGTGCGAGGTCCAACCGTGACGAGAGCAGTTGAAATCGAGCAGCAGCTGAAGAATGTATCTCAGTAGACAAAAGGAAACTGTCATGCATTATCCTAAACTATTTTAGGACGTCAACCGATTTCCATTCTATCGTGTTATTCGAGCCAACATCGGCGATCCACATGCCAGTGCTAATCAATCGCCAATCACATACATTCGTCAAGTTTGTATTCACTTCATATGTTTCTTCGGCCGTAAAATGATTATTTGCTTTGAAGTTCGTTGTTGGATGCACTTATCCTCCTTTGATGAACATGTCTGACTTTCCATCAGACATCAAACATCGAGTCGAACGTCTACTAGATTCTTGCGGTGGCAAAAGTCTCGGTTCGTACACAGAAAGTCAGGGTATTCGTACTGTTCGAGAAGATATTGCTAATTATATCGCACGTCGCGACGGTTATCCAGCTAATCCCAGTGATATTTATCTTTGCAATGGAGCAACCGAAGGTATCAGATTGGTGTTGAAACTTCTCATGAACAACGATCGAAACAAACCATCCGGCATTGTAAGTAAACACTGGCATGTTCTATCAAAGATTTGACGTGACATATCTAGATGATTCCTGTTCCACAGTATTCATTGTACAGTGATACGCTGTCTTTATATGGCGCTTATCAGATTGGGTACTATCTTGATGAAGACAATAATTGGGCGTTGAATTTAGATGAGCTAGAAAGATCGTTCGACGAAGCGAAAGAACACTGTGTGCCTCGGGGTATTGTCATTATCAATCCTGGAAATCCTACGGGTGAGAAAGGAGATATTTTAGCTTGTTGTTCATTACTGTTCACGTCTAGGTCAAATACTTACGGCAGAAAACATTAGAATGGTGATTAAATTTGGTAGGAAACAAATTGTCTTCCTTTCATCTAGAATATTCCTAAAGTATGTGTTCGTTACTCTCCTTTAGCCTACAAGCATAAACTTTTTATTGTGGCTGATGAAGTCTATCAAGAAAATATTTACCTTCCTAATTTCAAATTTTGTTCATTTAAAAAAGCATTGATGGATCTTGGTTCACCTTACAATCAAATGCAAATGGGTATAACCATTGATTGCAATATATATTCAGGCTATCTCTCTTTTTAGCTTCGTTTCATTCAGCATCCAAAGGATGGCACGGCGAGTATGTTATTATTGAGTATTTATGTCGACACTATTCTCTTGTGACAGGTGTGGTTCGCGTGGTGGCTATTACGAATTGATCAATCTGACTGAGGATGTTCGAATACAAGTAAATAAACTTGTATCTGCTGGTATTTGCTCGACAGCATGGGGTCAAGTAGTGATGAATGCCATCATTAATCCACCAAGGAAAGGCGAACCTTCCTATGAACTTTACGAGAAAGAGCGATCCGACGTTTTTAATCGTCTCAAGCAGAAAGCCAATTTAATCACTGATCTATTCAATTCTGTCGAAGGTGTTCGTTGCAATAGAGTTATGGGGTTAGTTCAAATTCTACTAATATCTAACTACTGCTACTGTTGCTGCTGTTTAGAGCCATGTATGCTTTTCCTCGTATCGATCTACCGGAGAAAACAGTTGAACACGCCAAATCTATAAATATGACACCAGATACTTTCTACTGTTTTCAATTGCTGGAAAAGACCGGAATTTGCGTGGTGCCTGGTAGTGGCTTCAAGCAACGACCAAATACCTATCACTTTCGCATAACTATTTTATCACCAGTCGATGAAATCAAACAAATTGTAGAACGATTTCGCACATTTCACGAATCTTTTTTGCGTGAATGGCAATAAACGTTCGTTATTATTTATCGGTTAATTTATGCTACTAGATCAAGCACGTACGAGGACAGATGCCCATAATTTTCGATATGTATGGGAGCAAATATAATATCTCAAGTTTAATAAAAAAAATAAATATCAATGCAAAAATAGATACGTCCATCGACAATCGACGATGTCGGTATCATATTTATGATATATTCTCATGGTTTGATAGTGTACGCTACTAATGCGGACCAAGATGACTTCCCAGCATCGAAACTTGTATTGATCGTGATCTTCAGAATTTCATCCTTGTAGTCACTTCGGTGTTCTTTTGTAGAGTATTCGACGACGGTTCGTAGAGATAACACTTCTTCTCTGTGAAAATTTCGTACGTGACCGGAAATGTAATGGGTTTAGAGATCCTTGGGACATTCATAGCACCCTGCTGTATTCAGTTTATATTCAACACTTCCTTTCGGTGCAAATAAGCATCTCCATACATTGCTTTCATGATCGTACTGTACTGAGTTTCCACCTTCAACTTTTACGCCATTCTGTTATTTAATTCGGCAAATGAGTTGTACAGTGTTTGGACAGCGAAATATTTATTGGGCTGCAAAAAAGAGCGTTCGTGTCAATTGGTTCTACTACTTCCAAGTTGTACTCGAAGAAGGATTCCCAACATTTAGAGCGTAGGAGGAATTTTTCCATTGTCAGCGGCTTTGCCAATAGCTGCCGATTTGTATCTTCAAGTAAATGCGAGTAGACCAACTGTTCGGGACGAACGAGAAAGTAATACGGATCAAGTTTCTTCTCCGAGATTTTTCCATTAATACATTCTTCACCTCATGTGGAATCGACGAGGCACCAAAACGAGTCAATTTCTACAGCGTTTCAGGTGTGATTTGCATCGCTAAACTTGCCCTGCTTATCGCCTCATAGTCATGTCCTTTTGCGTAGCCGCTAATTTTGACACAGATGCAGGAAAAGGGAAGAGAACCCTGCACATACTGCTTTCCTGCTCCAGAATACATCAATTACCGTTTGAGAAGGTATTCTGTTTTTAAAGTATGAGTCGACATCGTAGGAAATGTTCTGAGAGATCCACCAGAAAATAATCCACATTTGATCAAGCAAAGGCTTTTTGTCACAGCAGACTGACAGTGAAGAAAGAAATTCTGTATTGAATGCCTCAGGTGTTGAGATACGAGGCTTAATTTTACTTCTATTGTCGTCGGCAACACTAACGCGATTGCCAAGGCGAATGCAATGCTAAAGAGACAGCATAGTGTACCATTATTCTTCAGAAAACGAGCATTCAATATTTTATTAGAAAACTGTTTTACACGTAGTTTCATTGAAAAGCTTTTTGCGCATCATCGAAATCTACTAAATGTTAGAAATGTGAAGGTTTAAACGTCTAATTCTTTGTCATCAAGAATAAAATCGTTTTCCTTTCATTAGACGTTATTGTTGAATAACCCATCGCTATCTATACTTGAAGATGATGAAATCGCATAATTTAAACGTTCGTACATGACTTCGTTTGATGAGTAAGGAGGTAATTCAATAGTAAAGAAAGATGCATGTGATCCTAAAACAAACAGCGTCATTTAAGTGACTGTTAAAGCAAATATCATCATACGTACGTGGAAGGGTTCTATCAATCTGTTGTTCTTCAGAAACATGGAGTTTCGCAATAGTAAATTTCGGTTGAAAATCTTCGTCATGAATCGGTAAAGTACTTCTTTCCCAGACGAATCTTAAGAACAAATTTTTCTGATCGCCAGTAAATGATTCTGTCAAAACTTTCCAAAACAGTTCAATCGTTGGTGAATCAGGTTCATATCCAGCAGTATAGCAAGTATTTCGTTTCAGAAGTTCGATATCTATTCTATCTTTTCCGCAAACTGCCTCTTCGAGTTCATTCGCAGTAAACAAACTCAAATAATAATAGGGAATGACGCTGTGCAATCCTTCTCGAATGCAACTGATCTGCCGATCAAATTCATGTAGACGATAATGCCGATAACAAGAACAGAAATGATCAAAATTTGCCATGGTTATTGAAATATTCGAGCCGCCAGGAATGAGTTCGTACGTTTGTTCAGACGAACTAATAATATCAAATCGTAACCCATTCGTTGCACTAATGAACAAAGATTCTACATCTTTTTCACCATTGTGCGCTTTAATTTGCTCGACATTTTTCTCCACTTCGTTAAGAAATGTAAAACTTTGGTTATCAACGGCTTCGATGTCTTTCATTGAAATCTTTTTCTTCAATAAATATTTCCATACTAAAGTTGGAAATTTGATATTTAAATAATGTTTCTTTCGTATGGCCATGCCCAATAACTGACCAACAAATCGGTACTGTTTTTGCAGGTTTTTTGGTATTGGTTGATGTGGTGGGAAAACATTCGGAATCCAACAGTCTCGATTGGATCCTCGATTTCTACGTCCATTCGAGCATAAGATAAATAACGGTAATCGAGTAGAACATATATCTGAACAAATACGCATTATCGAATCATGGTAATGTCCACTGGTATTTGTGCTATGCATGTCGAGATATTGTGAGCACCAGAGTTGTTTATTGAGTCGTCGGAAAAGAATATGAGCATTGCTATGCAATTGTTGATAAGCTTGATAAAACATTGAACTTTTACTGTTTTCCTTCGCCGTGCTGGCTTGGACCGTGTCGAAATAAACAGATTGAAGTGTACTGATACTGTCAGTCGATGTTTGTTCTAAGGACACGTTAAACAAGTGAAATTTAGTCGATATCAACAGATAAGACTTAATTGATAGGATATAATCGGTTAGAATACTTTGGCCTTCCGATTGATTGAAATCCAGTGTAAAGAGACTTTTCTTGATGATTTTATTCAGCACATAGACGTATGTTGTTCGAGCGCGAATCGCATCCGCTGGAATACGTGATAAGACGAAATAATTCTTATAAAAAACAGGATTCGGTTCAGATTCTCTTGGAAGTGTTGCAAGAAAATCAAAGAAGGAATTATCTTTAACTAAAGTATATCCATTCATAAAACGGATGAGTTCCTGATTAGCGATGAGACTAAAACAGTTGTGTGATCGAATCATATCCTCATCACTTGGTGTCGAATCTTCTCGAAAGAGTTGTTCCCATTGTATGAAGAAAAACTCTGGTAAAGATTTTCCATCAGTCCAAGCGATAATTAAATCAATCGAATCAAATAGCCGTTGCGTATCTCCCGGAAGTTTGGATTGATATATTTCGATATAATTGTCTTCTTTCGAACTTTGCTTCTTTTGTCGAGCTAACAATACAAATAGCAAGTCTCGCAATGCAAATTCAAATTTGCTCTTCGCATTTGTGCTTATTACGATCTTATCAGATGATAATTCAATCAATAAATGCAGAACGAATTGTTGGATGTTCGGAGTTATTTGTATGCATTTGCTTGTTTGCAGCAAACTACGAAAGACAGTAGAAAAATAATTGTAGAAAATAATTGACTTACGCGGTGAATATATGAAGAATATTTATTTTCGATTGATGTTCTGGAATGAGTAAGAAGAGACGGAAAAGTAGCTGGAGAAATGATGGAGGAAATAGGAACCGAATAATCGACTCGATTTTATCTACTCTTACAGCTGATTTATCCGTTAGTATTTCTAGGAAATGTTCGAGCGTTTTCCAAAGGAACTTCACATTCTGTTCTGGTGATGGTTTGAGTGTACATGCAATCGATTGCATCTTGACAAATCTTTCTAAATGATAAAGCAACGGTGCCTGTTTCTGCAAGTCATTCACATCAATATACTGAGGTAAATGTTTGATTTCGTGTTTGAGAATCGAATTGACGATTGGACGTACTCGAGTAGCTTTTTGCTTGTAAGGATCAGCGATGTGATCCAATAGTTTCAATAGTTCGATCAGGAATGTGTAATCACCGAATTTCTCTATGGGAAATAAAGTTAATTGACCTGTGGACCAAACTTGAAACATGTTTAGAATAGTTTCACGGGCATAAACAGTAATTAAACCGTGTTCACAAGCGATGTGATTCTCGAGAAGTTGTTCTGATGAAAGATCTTCATGTGAATAGTGTACAGATTCCTGATTTGCTGTTAATTCATTCACATCAAATAATTTATAAAACTTGCTCTTATCGTTGATCATTGTCGAGTCGTGTCTCATCCATGTATTGATGTTATTACCAATATGTAAGTTTTCGACAGATTTCGAAAACCAATTGTCTTTGAAATCCATTTGTACATTTGGACTTGGAGTCAAATCTTCGAGTTGTGAGAGAATATTCAAATAACGTTTCTGCTCATTTTCACAATCTCTTTTCATGAACTGTGTTTTCTGCTGATGTAAAAGGGAATGAATGGTTGAAATATCAGCCATTGGATTCGCTGCGATAACCGATTGAATCCAAGATGGTTTGTAACCCATACCGACGAAAGTTGCTTGAATATTTAGAATAAGTGATGTCGTAGTGATTGCCGATTGTAATTGATCGATTGGCATCGAACGATTTAGGTAAGTCAACGATTTGAAGGATATTCGAAGAGTATCATCGCTTGTTGTGTTTTTTGTTGGATTCAACTCTCGAAATAGAAAGATTCGCCTTGATTGTACGTGAAACTGATATTTCGTCACTTCAGTAAGTATTTCTAAACGATTGTTTAGATAGACTTGAAAGGAATCATTTTGAAGAGAAATCAATACACGAAAGTATTCGTTTGGGATAATTGAAGAATCACTTTCGCTCTTCGTTCCATCATTTTCAACACAAATTTTTCCTCGATCATTAATGAAAATCCAAAAACGACTGTTTATATATATTAGTGCCAACTCCTCGCCAATGTTTGGCCAACAAGGAACGCTCAATTCGACTGCTAAAATATATTTAGACCATTCATAAAGTGATTTATTGAAAATCAGATGAGTTTTATTTCCAAAGAGCTCCACAGTCGAATAATCTTCATCATCATTTGATTTGAAATATTTTTCTTCATCGTTATCTGCCTGTCTTTGCCTCTCTATCCATAACTCCTTTGTATACGATTCAGTGAATGGAATGAGTATCTCATCGGGAAATTCTCGTTGATTTTTGTGAAATGAGATAGTGGCAACTTGTTTTCGAGATTCGAGCAAGTGTCTGTAATCATGAGCGACATAAGAGAGACTGTAGGTAAATAAACAACGAATGTCTTCTTCGGAGAGAGTATATTTCCATACTGCAACATTGTTTATTTTTCCTGCAACACCCGGCAGAATACAGAGGTTGAAGTTCGTGATCGTTTCATATTGAAATGTATGAGAAAATGTTCGAGACGTATGATTAATACGAACTTTTATATGCATGTCTTGCGGTGAGAAAATTACGACACAGCGACATTTTTTAGGTGTTACATCCCATTTGATTTCTAATAAATCGAAAGTGAACAATACAAAATTCGACTGTTGATCTTGTGGTATGATTTGAAAATCGAAACTGATTGTCGTTGATGATGTTTCGTTATTATCTATTGATAGTTGAAAACCATTACTATTATCTGATAAGATTAAATACTGATTATCGACAGAAAAACTTGTTTGCAGATGACATTGATGAACAAAGTCTCGCAGAGTGTTTCTCGATGTTCTTAGAAAATAGTCGTGAGAATCATCGCCAACAAGATAAGCACTAAACGGATAACTCACAAGAGTTTTTTCCATATTAATAGACACTGGAAGTAAGAGAGGTTTGTAACCATGTGGTAATGGACAATCATCCATATCTTCTGGGCTAACGATGATTTCACACCGCGTTGAAGAATAATTTTGTAAACTAATAGCTGGAAAATAAGTTGTGCTCGATCCGTTGGGTAACAGATTGCATTTAACATTCGTTAATGGAATGAATGAATCATGTTCGAATGCTGTACCTACGAACGTTCCATTGATCCAGTATTTGATTTTCGTGTTTGTTCCATCGATCTCAATTCCACAACCACAGATATCATTGTCTTTCCAATGATAATCGTGGAATTGGCCACAGTATCCTCCGTTATTGAAAAAAACAGCTCGAGATCCATCATACGACCAAGAATATTGATCATCACCAACTCCATGATCACCGCGCGGTTCAAATCCATATGTCGCCCATCCTATTTGAATGAGTTGGGCGACTAGTAGTCGAACACAATAATACCATTTTCCTTCACTTAGTTGTAGATTATCGACAATGTACGTTGGAAAGGTTGCTTCTGTGTTCTCCTTTGTCGGAGCTATTCGTCCGCGAAATCGGTGCTTCATTCCACATAATTCTATCGCACTCGGGTCAGAACAATGACGAGGCATTGCAGCGATAGGTAATCGTTCATCACCAATCCGACCTCGTCTGAGAAATTCCAATTCTCCGTCGGATGTGTATGGTCTCCATCCATTATAAGCAATAAAAGTATCGATTTCATTCCGTGTTTCCTTGGATTTGCTTTGTGCATTGAAACCGAGAGAATATTGTTCCAGATGCTTTCTATCGTACGAACGTAAACGGTGTGGTTTTCGATGACTTTCTCCTTCTGATGAACTAGGGAGAGCTAACTTTGCGAGAATAGCTGCATACGGCTTTGCCATAAATACGTGGATTAGACTTGTATCATTCAGTAGAGAATATAAAACTGAAATCGACTGACGTTTCAGTTGTAGCAATAACAACGAATCCGTGTCAGATGGAACCGTTTCGATAAAATGTCCTAAACTATCGAGAATCGAATCGACTTCATTTGATGGACTTGTTGGTGGTGGAACATCGATTTGTAGCCTAAGTTGATCAATCGAAACTAATTCGGTTTCATTCGTTAATAAATATTGAACTAAATACTTTTGTTCTGCTTCATTTATTTCCACAATTAATCCCAATGATGATTCATTATGAAAGATTTTCTTAGTTTGGCAGGTTACAATCGAACCTAATCGATAAGGTTCGATATATCCACCCATAATGTTCAATGCTGCTAGTAATTGATTCTGATTCAACGTGTCAATTGAGTTCAAATCTAAATTTAATTTGATCACATTGAAGACCAATTCTCTTGCTGCCAATTGCAAATGACAATTAGTTGACATTATCGTCCGATACATCGCAATGAATTCGGCTATGATATCTTGTGAAATCATCTTTTCACCGATTGAATTCAAAGTATTGGAGAGAAATTGCTCGTCATCACTGACGATATACGGAACAATATGTCGCAGAATTTTGATCAGTAATAAACGCGTGACATTGGATTGATTGTGTTGATAGATTTCGATGAATTCATGAAGATATTCAATAGTCGCACAGATTGGTGCGACATGTTTGGAAACATAAAACGATTGAAGTAGAAGAACTAAATATTGATTTAAACACAAATTCATATCATTTGGTTGGAGAAACCAACCGATCGAAATGTTTTGCAAAGAATTTTTTGAAGAGATTTGCTCCGCGAATTTTAAAGCTTTTAGTTCATTGAAGATTAAAGTATTAAACACAAAGTTTTGCTGTTGCTGTTGAACGGTTTCATTGGAAATCTCTCTTGATTTCTCCATATCAACATTTTCACAGAGATTCAAAACAAACATTCGAAACCAATTGAATGTCGTGAATTGCAATGTAAGCGATGTTTTTTTGTTCGGATAGTCAACACAGCTGACAAAACAATGAAAAAATGATTCGACGATCCCATGATTGGACAAATGATAAATATCAGTTGGTTCGTAAGAAAAGCTTAATAAATAGAGAATATTCAAGATGAGACTGTCAAATTGAAAGATAAAAGTCAAAGCAAATCTGATAATCGAATGGTACGTCCGACTGATCTCATCTTTTAGTCGAGTATTCGCGACGAATATATTAGCAATGTAAGACCATTCTAAGCTACTGCTTCGCATATACGGTAAACAGATGAGTAATGTCGCTCGGGATCGATCGTTATCTCCTCGATTGAGAACCTTCTGTAGAAACATGTCGATAAATCGATATGTGATTAATCTTAACAAAGCTCGTTGATGTTGACGACGAAGACATTTATCCAGTTCGTCGATTTCTGCTTGTTGCTCTGCGATAGTGGTCGATCGTTTGGAATACTCACCATAAATGAAATCAGCGATCGCATCATGCAATCGGCTTTGATAGATATGCTGCTGCTGTGTCGCTTGATCTTTTTCCAACTCAATCTTAACAACGGAGACATCTTCTCCGACAGTCAACAATAGAAATAGCGCTTTCATTCGAATTTGTCGGCAAAGTTCATCACAATTACCACCTTGACTTTTGGTAATGATGAATACCGTTTGAATTTCATTGGCGTATTCGTAAATAGATATATGTTCGCTGAATAGACAACTTTGATCGATTCGATAAAATTTCAAATAAACAGCAAATAGTGCAGCACGCGCATCATCGACTTGCTGTTCGATCGATTTTGGAAGTGAATGGTGTTCACCTTCCGTCTGCATTTTCATAGCCGAGAGCAACCGTGCTCCATCACCAGTATTATTATAAACCGACATTAAAAATTCTTTATCGTTCGTGATTGAATCTTCGAATTGATGTGGGTTATAGAGAGCCAACGAAGAAGTTAATAAATCGCTGTTTTCATCGATGGTGCATCCACCGGTAAAGATAGGGAGTTGTAATTTCTTTTGATGCTTTTTTTCAAAAGAATCTTCCGTTGTACCAACGATTAATGAGTGACTGATTTGTCCGATTAGACAGCAAAGAAAATCATTATCTAAGTTGTTTAAATAATAGTCCGCTAATAAGGGTAAAACTGCTGTGAAAATTGGGTAGATGAATTCGCAAGGAAAGATTTCTTTCGTTGTCACCATAGTATTCAAATCAATCAAAATCGAACTGAGCAATTGACCAGCAACAATATGTTGATCAAGACATTTTCGAAGAATGTAAGTAAAGTATTGAACAATGACAGAGAGTAGACCGTTACTGGGACCTTGATTCTTACAGAATTCTATTAAATCGTATAGTAATCGTTGCTGTAATGATAACAGAATTTCCTCGACGGGTTTTTCTTTGTTTTCGAAATAAAGATCGATCAACCAATGTAAAAAGTCCAATGTCGTCGACTCTTTCATCTCAGTATTCAAAAACTCGATCCAATCGAATAATGTTTTCGATTGGTTTAATTCCACTAGAATTTGAGCGATCAAGGTTGAATGTTCGTTCTTCATAATATACTTTTGAAATAAAATTAACTTTTGATCAAATGACAGATTTTGTAGATTGATAACATTAATCAATGCCTTCGATGCTTGTTCGCTGATCATTGACAGTTCTTTGTTGTGATTGCAGATCAATTGGAATAATAAGTCAAACCATTTATTTAATTCAGTGTTGGATGTGTATGTTGACATATGATCACGACATTCCGAGAGGATTTGTAGATGTGTCGTAAACAATCGCAAACATACAGTTAAAATCTGAATGATAACTTGATTCGATTGAGTTGATAGTAAGACTGAAAGTTGTTCGATATTGCCGAACAAATCGCGAAATGTATCCGAATGGAATTCCAACGAAATCGAACTCAGTTTCGATTGCTTGATAGGCGAATGAATTTCGTTCTCGATGTCAATATGAGACAAAATAATAGATGAAATGAATTGACCTGTCAGTGAATGTTCACTTAACGTTGATAGCTGATCATTTGGGTATGAATTTATGGATTTCAAGTAAGTCAACGAAGCGAATTCGACATTTGATGATTGTTTCGATTCAGCGAGCGTGGTGGTCAGTACATCATTCATCTGCATGATTAGACGTTTTATCTTATAAATATCCGTTATGTTAAAGATAAGTTTGTTCATTAAGGATAAAATGTCTTTGAAAGATCGTTTGGCCATAGAAACAATGAGGAGAATTTTAGTGGATTGTTTAGAAATAAGAATATCTGATGTTAAAGATAATTGGTATATGTAGTTTGTCAGTGGTTCGAATGATTTGAGTAAAAGAGTATTTCGAGATGAGAAATATCTTATGGGTAGTTGTTCGCATAACTGATCTGCTAATGTTAAGATTTGGTGAATAATTGCTGGATCGTTTTTTTCGGCCGACTTGAACAAAACTAAGAGAATCGATATCAATGACTGAATAGTGAAATATGATAGTTGTTCAGCTTGACACTTCTCTTTCTGTGCTTGGCTATTTTCAATGGCGGAAATAGCTGATAGCTCGGTGCATGTATATGTATTAGTATTCGCATCTTCTTGCAGTTTATCCATCAAAGCTTGTTCAAATTGTTGTTTATGTATCTGCCGGTATTCCATTTCCTCTCGAAATCGCTCATTTCTGAATGCGAACGCTGGAATAACATCGTTTATAAGGATATCATCGATTTCTGTAGTAATATTTTTCCAGTGGATGGATTTGACCAGTGCCAAGAGATAGTACCGAATTTGTTCTCGAAATTCGATCGTGTTGGATGACGATTGGGAAGGAAAAAAGAAACTAATATCATCCTTGTTAAAACTGGATGCAATCGTTTCAGAGGTGATTGTAGGAGTTTCGACTGTACTCAGACGAATTGTAAACAATGGATGATCCATTTTCGTCGAAACTAACGAAAAATAGGAAGATGGCTCGTGCGCAACTTGTTAACCGTACTCAAAATTGCACAAATGAGTAAATTTTTATTTTCTTGATTTGCCATGCAACATGAAACGAGTCGATTTTGTACGGCACACTGTGCACATGTACAGGTGAAATTTGTTTTTATTCATCGTCGATAGTATAACGTGTCTGCGTGTAATGTTGCTTACTGCTTTTGCTTATTCTCCTAGCAATGAGTCAGTCATTCAACTCCCCAGAATAGAATGAAGAAACATGTGCGAATGCCTGTGCTTTATATCACAATAATACAAATTATTAAAAAAAGTAGAAAATCGTCGCTCATGAATGTATCAAGGAGATAAGTTAGCAATACAATGGAAGTGTCTTGGATAGAGTATCAACATATAGGGTGCCGTTACCAAGGGTAGGAATAAGGCAAGCCCCATTTTCGCTATTTTCGTTCCATGCATACACAAGTGCTGTTTGTGCTTCAACAGTGTCATTGTATTGACAAGTAAAATTGATTGCTGTTCGAAAAAATTGTTGTAATTCTTCGCTGGTAGGTTGAAAGTAATGTTCTGGCCCTTCGTATAGCCATGGTACAGGATTTTCAAAACGTGGTCGAGCGTCCCAACCAGTAGGAACGATTGGCACAAGTTTTGCTTTGGCGTCATGAGCAGACTGCCACCATCTAAAGGCATATACATTCGTTTAGAAATACTCGCAAATTATCGATCATTTACTGTTGAGCAACATGGACAAGGTCACTGAATGGCGAGCCCTGAAATCATGTTAAGGATATTAGTGTATATACTATGATAAATCACTATATCGACCTCTTTTGTTCCACCTGGTAGTGCATACATGGAAATGGCATCGAATCCAAGAAGGCTAGCATGCGATTGTGCAGTTGGAACCAAGAAATCCATCAGAACCAAGTAGGGATTTTTCAATCCTACAATAGTGAAAGCAGTATTTCATTTCTTCCATCAGAGAAACGTTTTCTATTCACCTCTGTTTATGACCATTTGTCGAAATTTGTCGAAGACTTTTCTACTTCCAGACCATCCACCTCCACAAAGATTGGCTTCCGTCTCGGTAAATTGAAACAGATACAGAAGTGGTCGACCATCTAGGACAGTTAGAAACTGAGGATGGACCATGAGCTCGATATAGCTCTCTTGAAAAGCTACGTCGCACGGCGAGGAACCCAACAGAAGAAGAGTAAAATTTATCAAAGAGTTATATTGACTCGAAAGATACTGCTGTAAGCCATATGCAGGATTTCGAGGACAATAGTGTGGTGCGATCTGTAAATATTCCAAACAATATGTCGAGTTCGTAGCACAATTCGGTCCATATGTACAATATGTATCGAAAGCCCAATAATCAAGGCCAGCATGCTTTGCGTAAAGTATCTCTTGATCCATGACACTCTGTAGATCTCCATTGTACGACGTATTTGTGGGTGACAGAACCTTTGCAAAAAATGGTAATCGATAATGGTATTTTTCGGGACTCAAACATCGGTGCGAGTAAAACGAGATGGGATCGAATTGTGCATCGACCAAGTTCCAAGCATCCCAGCGAATTGCTCCAATCGTTGGATGAACTTTTCCGCTGACATTGGAAGCAGTAAAAATCAACACAAATGTGAATACGATCCACAAGAGTCCACAGTAATACATCATATAAAATTCTTTTCTTCTAATTATATTTAAAACTAGTGAATGCAGTGCAAACTGTCGCTCTTATCGCAATTTTATAGGTGGAAAAATAAAACAAAAAGAACCGAAGCTGTACATACCTCTGAAAGATACGTGAGAAGTAAACTACCGTTCTTATCTTTCTCAATAAGACACGTTGAAGTTAAACACAATGCAATGTAGCAAACGGATTTTGAGGTTTGCAATAAGCGAAGATATATACGCAAACAAAAGAATATACCTCAGAATAGCTACGCTCGTTATCTAATGTATATATCTCACTCTCTCTCTCGCTTACCATTTCATATCATTTGTACTTTTTCTTTATGCTGTAAATAGTATAAGAAGATAACTTTTGATATTTTCTCTTTCTTACTTTGAAATGCTGAAACGATGCTTTATAGTGCTGGTCTATTTGACTTTGACTATTTCTGATGTTTCCTCCAAAAATATCGGATGGAACGCAGCTATTGCCAAAGCCAAAGTATTTGTCGCTCAAATGACATTGGAAGAAAAGTGCAATTTAACGGCAGGCGTGCCTAGTCCTTGTGCAGGATATGTTCCTCCTGTTCCTCGTCTCGGCTTCAATGGAATGTGCCTTCAAGATGCGCCATCGGGTGTGGGGGATGGTGTCGGATTTGTCACTTCTTTTCCGGGTGGAATCCATACAGCTGCTATGTGGGATCAAGACTTAATGTTCAAGAGAGGCTCGGTCATAGGACAAGAATTTCGTGAGAAAGGCGTGCATGTTGCTTTGGGTCCAATGATCAATATCGATCGAAATGCTTTACACGGTAGAAATTGGGAAGGATTCGGTTCGGATCCGTATCTATCCGGAATGAACGCTTATCAATACGTACTTGGCTTGCAGGATCAGGGTGTGGTGGCCACGCCAAAACACTACATTGGAAACGAACAGGAAACAAATCGAGTATCGGATAGTTATTCAGCCAATATTGATGATAAAACCATTCATGAAATCTACTTGTGGCCGTTTGCTGACGCTGTGTATGCTGGTGCTGGGTCAGTCATGTGTGCGTATAACCGAGTAAATCAAACGCATGCTTGTCAGAACAACAAGACTCTGAACGGATTGCTGAAGGATGAACTCGCTTATAACGGTAATGTGATGTCCGACTGGGGTGCCACACATGCAGGTCTTGAATCGGCGCTAGGTGGGTTGGATTTAGAAATGCCAGGCGGATCCGGTTTTATGGGTTATGCGCTTGTTGCTAAAGTGCGCGATGGATCGCTTCCTGAAGCGAGAGTAGACGATATGGTCACACGTATATTTGCGCCTTACTTTCTACTAGAACAAGATCAAGGTTTTCCCAAACTCGATTGGAACCGTGATGTAACACATGATCATTACAAGGTGAACCGAGAATTAGCTAGGGCAGGCATGATTTTATTGAAAAATCTAAGAAATACATTACCGTTGAATACCAGTGTGGATAGACTGTTGACGATTTTTGGCGCAGCAGCGACACAATATGATGGCGGATTGAATCCGGGTGGAGGACCGTCTGGACAAGGCTATGATGGTGCGATATATCAGGGCGGTGGGTCAGGTAAGAGTGAGATATTATTAGTTATAACTTTTTCTTGTCATTCTGTTTTGTGCCAGGTTTCGTTAAACCGACTTATGGCGTGGATCCACTCAGTGCTCTACTAGCCAAAGCACGTGATTCGAACTTTCAAATCCAATTTGTAACCAGACAGACCGACTTTGGTACTGTCAGTTCACTTGCCTCTGCACCGCTTTGCCTCGTCTTCATCAGTGCTTGGTCAAGTGAGGGATCTGATCGGCAGAATCTGAACGCTTGGAATCAAGGAGACAAACTTGTTCAGACTGTGGCAGCAAAATGCGCATCAACCATTGTTCTAGTAAACAGCGTATCTCAGCTTAATTTAGAAGCTTGGATTGAGTGGGACAACATAAGCGCAGTTATTTGGACAGGAATACCAGGAGCCGAATATGGAAATGCCTTGGTCGATGTTCTCTTTGGTGACTACAATCCCGGAGGAAAACTTGTCTTTACCATAGCAAAGAATGATTCGGACTATGGAACAAATATTACCCAAACACCCGATTCAAACTATACTGAAGGTGTCTTTCTCGACTATCGTCATTTTGATGCTGCAATGATAGCACCGCGATTCCACTTCGGCTTTGGTCTCTCCTACACGACTTTCTCTCTTACCGATCTTCGAATTGCTAAAGTTACCGATCAAACTCCCGGCAATACTTCCGATTTGTATGTCCCTGCTTATATAGTCTCTCTCTACATTACAAACACCGGTAATGTTCGTGGTTCGGAAGTGGTTCAATTGTACCTGGGCTTTCCTAATGAAGCAGCCGAGCCACCAAAAGTGTTACGCGGATTTTCACGAGTTTATCTGGAACCAGGCGAGACTGTTCCCGTTACGTTAACACTGAGACAAAAAGATATTTCATATTGGAATGTAATTATGCAACAATTTACGGTGGCTAAAGGTGCCTATAAGGTTTATGTCGGCACTTCAGGAAATTGGGATGATTTAAAACTACAAGGAGCATTCACCGTATAAAATAACATTCAAGTGTCACGCATTTCGAATTTAATTTTTTTTTCGATTTATAGAATCGATTCTTCTACGTCATAATTTATCATCATGTGATTTTTTGGATTTAGAGTAAAAATGTAGAGACGTATCACCCGTAGTTTTATTATCAAAACAATAGGTAAGAATGGTAGAAGAAATAAGAGTCGAACAAATTACATTCAGTAGAATCAAAGATGCATGACTGTCTACTGCATAGAACATTGACGTGTATTCAAGAGAAGATATGCATTACCAGATTGAATATTCATATTGATCACATCTTGACATGTGTTAATACCGAAATAATTCGTATTCAGTTCGGTAGAATTAATAATTTGAGTTTGAAAATCTCCATTATCACTTCCTATTAGAACGTAAAGTTCATCCGATAGTGGTGTACCAATAACGATGTCTAAATAACCGTCGTCGTTTAAGTGAAGTGCGGTCACTGTACTCATTGATAAATACGATTCCATAATAGTTTTCTCTTTACTTTGAAAAGTGCCATTGCTATTTCGATACGATACGTAAACGGTGTTAATTCTACTATTAAAAAAGACCATATCCGGCTGCCCATCATTATTGAAATCGCCGACTAACATATTAGAGTCGCTGATACCAAACACCGTGAAAAACCATTTCTGTAATTGGAATCTTCCATTCTGATCTCCAAAAAAGATTTGTATGTGCAGAGCGTCGATATCCAGCACGATGAGATCCAAATAACTATCATTGTTCAAATCCACAACATTCAATCGGCTTGGATTACCAAAGATTGTCAATGGCAATGCTAATCGCGACGAAAATGTTCCATTATCATCTCCAAAAAAAATAAAAACTCGACTACGGTATCCTAGCACAACGATAATATCCAACTTAGAATCTTTGTTGAGATCATTTACGTTGAGGTCAAAACTAGAACCAATGAGATTCTCAAGACTGTTGGAATCAATTTCAAAACCGTTCATAGCTAACGATTGCATATGTTGTGTTTGAAACGTTCCATTACCGTTAGAGTATAGAAGATTAACATTGTACTGTTGATCAGTTTTACTTCCAAGAATTAGATCGATTTGTTCATCGCCATTGATGTCGCCAACACGGATTTGAAGTATTTGTGAATTATCTTCAAGCGAAAATGAGATCGCTCTTTCAAACGAGCCATTCGAGTGTCCCAGTAACACATTCACCTGCCGTGAATTTTCACAGCAGAAAATTAAATCAGTTCGATTATCACCGTTGATATCAGTAAGGATTTTTGGATCTGAAATTGAATCTGAACATGGAGTATCGATTGACACTTGTATAATTGCCAATGTATAGATGGATCCTAAACAGACAAGTCGATTTCATCGAATTTTCAGTTTTGTTGATCTAGTGTTTCGCACGGATCATCTCTTTGTTTTATCAACTTACCTGTAGAAATCGAAGATGTTGAAATTGCTGTGCTCAACGTTGTACTCAAGCTATCAACTGTTGGTGCATTGGTCGTCCAATCTATGAAACAAATCTTCAAAATGCATAACTATTAGATAAAGAATCTTTGTCTTACCTTGTCGAGAATAATAAATCGAAAAAGTAATAACGCCTACTAATGTGCACACTAGTAATACACCTATAGATATCACCGTGAAGAATGATTGACTGTATGTCATAGTACCACTTCTGCAAATAAAAGACATTGATGGATAAAAAAAAGGGGAGACAACTGGTTTACTGAGATGTTGAATTCATTGGTTGAATATCAGTATTTGCTGTCATACGGAGTGGTTCTTTAATAAGAGTACCCGGCGAAACAACAGATGTGGTTTGTTTTCGTTCAAGATAGATTTTTGAAAGAATTCGAATGAGTTTCGGGCAAATGAATTTGAGAACAATTGATAAACCACCTTGAAGGCCAAGTATTAGAGTGATTATGTAGAAAACATTAAATTTCTCCACACTGATATAATAGCAGATAGAAGGTAAACATTGTTGATAATACAATGGGTAGTTTATATCTGTTGACCAGCTTTCAATGAATAAGTCTTCGACAAATTCACTTATGGTTGTATTTTGCGGGAAACGAGTCAGAGTTGCCGTTGCAAGAGGAGTCAAAGAATGTTTATAGTTAGTGTAGTTTTGAATGAGATCCAAACATAATTGATCATAAAAACATTCGAGAGTCGAAGCAAAAAATGATTCACTTGGAGTGCATCCCATTTTCATACCTTTAATTAGAACTATTTTCAACGAGTCTTGTTCGATGAAATTCGCTTGAGTCACACATGTTGGAGACAAACCACAGGAGCAATTATCGTCGTAGATCTTAGCTTCCGTCTGTACACATATCCAATACGGAGTATATCTGACTAACGAAGAATAATATTGAAAGTTAGTTCCATAACTTGTCATTAAAGCATTTCCATGGAAAATGCTTTGTTTAGCAAACATAAGATTAGAAAAAAGAATCGGCGCATTGGACTTTGTTTGTTCAACTAAAGCACTAAGACGATTTTGAAAAGTGTTTTGAGGCAGGATTTCCACTGTGATTAATAATGATGTTAGAAATTCATTGATAGCATTCGTAACTGATGTTTGGGAAAGCTGACACAATCCTTGCAGATATTGTAGATGAGCGGAGAGAAATCGACGATAATCTCTTTCTTCATAGATAGTCAAATTGGAAACGAGACCGTCTAACAAGGCCATCCTCCACGTCTCGGATACAAATTGACTTGAACATACCTGAAAATAGGCATATATTTCAAACTTAGCAGCAGGAAAACTTTTCCTTTTTGGATTTAGGTATTGTAGGTCACGTGAGACTTATTATACATTTCAGTTTAATTAAATTCTTTTCTGAATTTCTGATGAACATTTCTCTTACCGAGTGGAATATTGGCTGAATGCTGACGAATTGAGCGTAAGGCGATGCTATTTGCGAGCATGAACATTGTAGCTTATCACCATACATTTCTGTCAAGTGATTATAAAAACTAAAAGATGGTTCATTAAAGCTTTGTGTCACAGCGCGCGGTTGAACGATGGTGTAGGAGATGAAAATAGTGAGACTTGTGATGAATAAAATAATATAGAGACGAGTCGCCCATTGGCCGTTGCGTTTCAATGTCACTCGATCGCAGTTACCTCCAAAATCACGTGCTTTGAAGATGTTCAATTCAGTCATAGTAGCGTATAAACTATTAATCACGTTTTGCACAATTGTTCTCAATCGATCGATCAGCCTTCGATGAACTAAAACAAAATTACCAACGTCGTTCAAATGTGCTTAACCGGTTACTTACCTCGTTCGACTTGCCGTGGTTTTTTGACAAACAGATTGAGAACTTTCCAAGTGAATCGAACAAAATGAGGAGTTAGAAATCGTAATGAAACCACGACACCGCCAATCATTGACACTAAGATTACAATGATTTCTAGAAATGTTTGTTGGCGAACTCGTTCGGAATAAGAACAGTAGATTGGTGAGCAGGATTGATAAAAATTTTCATACGACAAAGAAGGATTCCATGTTTCGAGCATTAGCTCCTTGATTATGACTGAGATCGTTGTGTTCGGCGAATAACGAGTCTGTGTCGGATTGTAAATGAGAGGGTGTATGTCCAATGTTAATGGGCCCATGAGTTCATAATTGAACTTAATTTTTAACAAATGACTTAATATAAATGCGAAGCAATCAGAATTTGCATCTGCATAAAAACATTGCAGTGTTGAAAGTAGAAGAGAATCCATGCTAAGGCAGCCCCGGTTCCAACCGAGGATGTCAAGAATCATATTCACAGTAATATTTGTGTCATAATTGAGCACCGAGTCATAGAATGCAGTGGGTGCTTTACAATTCGGATTCATAGCACAAAAGCATGTAAACAGTGTTGAATTGGCCTCCTGAATTCCGTGTAAAAGGATCTGCATCTAAAAAATTCATCAATTTTATTCGGAATCCTAATGTAGAATGAAATGATTTAACCAAATGGAACATACGTATGCTGTTTGACTATTGGTTGTCTGATTTGTGACTACAGTTGCGACCATATCAGTTATGTCAGTATTCCAATTAGCTACAAACGAACCCGTATAAAGTTGATCTGCTCGCATAACAAGCTGCAATAAATTTTTGATCAAATCGAAGTTATAAAGTGTTGATTGATAAAATTGATTCAGACTTGTATTCAACTGTTTATTAAAGGCGACTTCGTTCATTACAGTAGAAGTGACGAACGCTTGTGAGTAAAATCTGTTTAGGGCATCGTCGATTGTCTTATTAGCGAGGGAACAAAGATCAGACAGCACTTGGAATTGAGGTGGTGCCTGAGCACGCCAGTCATTGTCGGATGACGGCAAACTATATCTTAGTAGCATAGTCCAATCGCTTCCGATGAGACCACTTGAACAGATTTGGTGAAAAACAGGAGAAAATGAAACAAACGATTCGTACAGTATAGTTTTATTTGTGCAAGGACATCGAAGTGCTGTTGAGTATTTGCTCTCTAATGACCTGTAAGTTACTATCGAAGGACTTGATACCGTAATTGTCACTATTTCACTTTTTAATGATGTGTACAAGCATAATGTGCACACTGAACCTGTGAACATCAAATTAGAAACGTCAGCATAAGTTCACAAGGTAGGAGCCTTACCAAACAGTAAAACCAAATAAATACGAGTGATACACATTTGCTGTTTGATACTATTTTCCGTTCGATCGTTAACGTTCTTGAATAGATTCAATCTTTTGATTGATTGTCCCATTTTGCTCATATTTATATTCGGTCGATCTACAACAAGAAACAAACACAATTTCTATCGATATAGTTCGTTCTTTGATCTACTTGGATAAACTTTGAATTTGAATACAATGTCGATCGAACACGATGCAACCAAACGTAGTATTAGGATAAGAGCACCATAAAGACTAATGAAGAGTGTAATTGCATGAGATAACGCGGTTCGATCTATTGTCGTATATGTGCAGATTGATGGAGAGCACTTGTGGAAATACGCCGAATAGTTTATATTTGAAGACCAATTTGAAACGAAAAGATTTTCAAAGTAGTTCAGAACCGAAATGTTTTTAAATGGTGAAGACAAAATGGAATTATTCCAGATAGGATTTGTCTAAAGAAGAAGAAAGAAAGATGAACAAAAAAGTGAAATTATACTTTCCACAGACTTGATTTAGATTAGGAAATGAATTTAACAATAATTGCAAACATTGCCCGTCGTATAAACAATCTAATGTACTTGCAAGAAGCCCTTCGAGAGGAGTGCATCCCATAGAAAATCCTTTCACACGTGTAGCAACGCGTAGTGGATTCAGAATTCCTACATTGTTGTCAATTACTGAATGTACTAATGGTAAATAGAGAGTAGCTGGAATTATTATGTTTGATCGATCGCATAATTGGTCAACACCATCTGCACCTGTTCTTGCTGAATATCCTCCGGTTTTGGTAATAATTCCGTTTGTATCATCGAGTATGACAAGTACCCAATTGGTGCCAAGAGCGGAAACGAAACCAATTCCTTGGCTAGTTGTTCTCCAATAGTCCATGAATGAAATAATTCGATTAGCTGCACTGCTCTTTTGGAATTCGATAATACCATTGATTTCTAATCGAACTTGTATTTCAGAAAGAAGTTCGATCGTTACAAGTTCAAGATTTCTAACAGCAGTTTGAATCTGAGACGCCATCTCTCGAGAGAGCGAACAAAATCTCGATAGAAGTTCAAACTAAACAGGAAAGTACGTTCTCGCTGGTCGTTCTTTCAAGGTGAAGCTTTGACTAACCTGTGAATAGGCGACCATTCGAAAATCCGATGTTGGATAAGAACTTGCATTTGAAAAATATAATCCTTCAATCCATTCTTTACTTACGAAAGCACTTGAACAGATTGGATACATTGTCATATTAGTAGAAACAAAATCTTTGTAAGATATCACCGTTGTCGAGCATGGGCAAGAAAGGGTTTGACCATGTCCAGCACGCAGTTTATCAAAGTTATCAGGTGTTATTTCTGAGATACCAATCGTATTCGATTTCATTCTTATTAATGTTGCATAGAACAACACATAAAAACAAACTAGAAGACAATATGATTAGAGTAACTACATATAGTGTAAAACAATTCGGAAAGGAGAGCAAAACATCGTCACACTCTGAATATGACTTTTACCTGCAAGTAAACCAACGTACAACCACGTCTTATACTTTTGTTGCTTGAGACGAACAGCCGGATCTTGACTATGACTATCGTCGTCGTGATAATCATTTTCATTCAACATAAAAAGATTGTAATTGGATATTTTCTTATGCATCCAATTGAAAATCATTATTAAATGTTGTGTCGCCGTCGGTAAATGCTTTCTTCTAAAATGAAATTGTTTCAGTGAAAGTATACAATCTATTTGAAAATTATAAAACAAACATAAGAAACTGTTGTGTAGCGAGGAGGAACGAACTTGAATATCATAGAGAGCACGCAATCTGCGCACAAAAAAAGAACTAATATATCATTATACTTATGTAATTGTATATCAACTAATCTTCCACAGGTTAGTTAAAGCTACTTGAAAATTTTCCATGGAACTGTAACTGTCTATGTAAATCTTTAATGTAGAATAAACGCTTCAGTGCGTCTGGTGTAAGAAAAAAACTGGTCATTAACTGCGCCTAGAAGCATCCAATGCTTCAATTCTGTCGTGTTTGGCACGTTTGCAGAAGAAAATTTTTCACATGGGCGTAGTGAATAATACTCATTGACATTTCTCATGAAATACAATCGTTTCATGTAGTTAGCTGTCAGCTGGGAAATAAGGTAATCAATTCATAGAAAGGAGAGTGATATGCTGCGTTCATTTAAATATTTCTAACGCTATTTCGTAATGAGTTTCTATTTCATTAAGACAAGGTATAGGCTATTACGTACAAAAAAAAAGAATCATGATTTAGCAAATAGGTTTCTTTTTTTTGTTATTTATTAACCCTTTGGGGACGGGGTATTTTTTCAAAAACTAAGCGTTTTATTAGAGTCTAGATATATGTTTATTCAATAAAAATTATCATCAAAAGTGTTTTAGAGTGTGATAAGCTTGAAAACAGTCAGATATGCATAACCCAACATCACATGCTTCACATTGATATCTTGTATATTTNAAAAGAATCATGATTTAGCAAATAGGTTTCTTTTTTTTGTTATTTATTAACCCTTTGGGGACGGGGTATTTTTTCAAAAACTAAGCGTTTTATTAGAGTCTAGATATATGTTTATTCAATAAAAATTATCATCAAAAGTGTTTTAGAGTGTGATAAGCTTGAAAACAGTCAGATATGCATAACCCAACATCACATGCTTCACATTGATATCTTGTATATTTGGTTGTTTTTTCCCGTTGTACTGTATGAGAGCATACATAACATCTCCTTTGAGCAGCTACTTTTGAGGCAGTTGATACTACAAGCGATGGAAAATGTCTAGCTGATAACCGGAGTTGTGGATCAGTTGGTAGTCTTCCAAGAGAAAGTTGTTTCTGATCACCATATTTCGATCCAATATTTTTTATCAATTGAAGACGAAATTCTTTCAGTTGTAAATTCTTTAAATTTTGAGTTTTATATAAATAAAAAGCATTAATTGAAGCCATATCAACGATATGGAAAAAGAATTTTTTATACCATTTGAGCATTTTTCTAATGCATTCGGTAAAACTTGATTGCATATCAACTAAATCGATTGCACCCATATTCTCATTATAATCTTGAACACAAATAGGTTTCATAATTTTGCTTCCTGTCTTGTGATCAAGTCTATCAATCGTAATCATTTGTGAATCATGAACAGTTGATAACATGTAAACTTCACGTTTATCCATCCATTTTAAAGCTAACATAGATTCACAATGCATATGTATTTCTTGTCCTCTATTTAACTTTTTTGTCAAAGAGGGCATACTCTTCCTCTTTTTCTTTACTGTTCCTACTGCTCCTGTACCTTGATAATAAAGTTCTAAAAATAATTTTGGACTTGTATACCAGTTATCTGTGTATAATACATGTCCTTTTTGAAGATAAGGTTTCAACAGTGTCATTACAATTGATCCCGATACTCCCAAATCATCAATTCTTTCAATTTCTGTATCAGCACCTGTATAGATAATAAAATCTAATATGTAGTTTGTTTCACAATCGCAGAGAATGAATAACTTGATACCAAATCGATGCCGCTTTGATGGTATGTATTGTCTAAATGATAAATTACCTTTCCACGGTAAAATACTTTCGTCGATGCATAATTTTTGGAAAGGTTTGAAGAATTGTTGAAATTTTACTTGCATATGACGAATAATTGGTAACATCTTATAAAGTTTACCTGTTTTCTTCTCGTCGTTATTGACGAAATGAAGCATTCGTAGAATTGAAAGATATCGATCTCTTGGAAATAATTCTCTAAATATTGGAGTTGTAATAATAGGATCAGTTGACCCATAATCTTTGAGTCTATTTTTTTGGACAACACCCATTAACATAGTTGTTGCAATAAAAACATATATTTCTTGGAAGTTTGTTGCATACCATTTTCCTTTGTGACTTTTTTCTGATGATGGTGATGAGTTCTGTTTTTGGTATCTGTTAGTCTCTTCGGCAATGTATTCCATAATTTCTTTATCGAAAAATAATTCAAAATAATCAATTGGATCATTTCCTAATCTTGAAATACTTCTTATTCCACCATTTGAATTATCAAAATAAAATGTTTTAGGAACAAATATTCCATGTTTCCAATTGAAGAATTCTGTTTTTTTCTTTTTTGATGGAGGTTCTTCTTTTTCACCAAGATCTGGTATTGAATCATTAGAATGTGTTATTGAATCATCCGGATCTGATGTTGAATCATCCGGATCTGATGTTGAGTAATCAGAATCGGTAAAAACTTCAGATTCTAAATCTGAATCTGAATCAGCTACAACTTCCGAATTATCTTCATCAGATGAAATGGTTGTTTTCGACATAATCGACAGAGTTCACAAGAACTATAAAACAAGTTCTATTTATCCGTATAAAAGTTGAGAAAATACTTATCTTGGAGTGATAATAATAAAAGGAAAACAGAAGGAATGAAAAGAAAAGAAAAAAGTCATGATATATAAGAGAAAACAAAGCCGTCGTATATACGTATATATGTATACACATATAAAAAATAGGAAAAATATGAACGTAGATGTATTAGAGAAATTCGAATAAATGGTATATGAGAAAGTAAAGGAATAATTTATTGTGTAACATGATAAGCTATTGAATACACTGCATATGTTTCTGTACTTTACGGATACTGGTAATTTACAGTATTAACATAATAAAAGTACTTAACAGACTATTCCTACTCACTGTTGATTGATTCGAAACGTATATCTTCCTCAAATGCTGAGAAATACTTCATGTGGTATATATACCACACCCGTCCCCAAAGGGTTAATGTGTTTAATGCAATCAAGTGAGGAAAAACAGAAAAGAAATAATTTGTTGAGTAAGACCTCGTCCGAATAGGAAACTTTAACAGAACTTCGAGGAACACGNAATAAAAGTACTTAACAGACTATTCCTACTCACTGTTGATTGATTCGAAACGTATATCTTCCTCAAATGCTGAGAAATACTTCATGTGGTATATATACCACACCCGTCCCCAAAGGGTTAATGTGTTTAATGCAATCAAGTGAGGAAAAACAGAAAAGAAATAATTTGTTGAGTAAGACCTCGTCCGAATAGGAAACTTTAACAGAACTTCGAGGAACACGAGATAAATAGCTTATAACCCACTAACATACATCGTTTTGTTTTCAGACCAGTTAGTCGATGAGTCGTGTTCAATCTAATTCCAGGCTAGATTCGGCTCGGTTTCGATCAGGTTTCAATAGAAGCTGGAAACTCTGGATCGAAGTCTTAGTTACCATGACATAGAGTTGACAAAGTCCATCCTAAATTAAACTGATGCTTTATAGATTAACTTCACTTGGACTAAAACTCACGAAATACTCAACAAGACTACTGAGTCTCATGGCGAAGCGAGCACATTTTTCTGACTAAAAATGCTTATGGTTAATCAGTCAACATTTTACAATAAAAATATTTTTTATCGTAGTGTTAGTTGAGTATACACTTGTATTAAAATATCTAATTTAGATTACAGACGAACACAGAAAATGAAGCGGGATGGGATGGGGCGGAACGACTTTTTGATTGTTCTAAGGACTGTGGTTCAGAGTTTGGATTTTTTAGAGTAACGGTATCTTTTGCTTTATTGGACACACAATAGAAAACAGAGATGTAGTTGCACATATGAACAATATAGGTCAATAATCATGGCACCATCGTTGTCTTCAAACAGTACCAATGTACATTATGATCGACGAAGAACGAAAATTCTGTACGGAATGTTTTCGATACTAAGACATTGGTATAAAAGCCAATTGTACTATCAATAAAATGCCAAAAGTAAGATATTTGACTATTTTGTGTAATTTGTTGATAAATCACTAAGATTGTCACGGGAAATTTAAAAATAACAAAAGCAATTATATCCACAAGTAAAATTCGAATAAATTGTTTATCTTTCGATTGAATGTGGTATGGTCTACCAATATCTACATGCTTCCTATTCATTTCGTGAGAAATCGGTATCCGACGACGAGTATTTTTCACAGTCCACAATTCAAATATGACCATTAATAAAGGCGGAATAAAACCATTGACAACCAGTGCATGATAACCCATAAAAGTTGTATACGCGCCCGGTTGGTAAAAGCAAACAAAATAGTCCGGACCGTGCTGCAAGATTTCCATAAATAATAAACCATGAATTTCAACAACGGCATAAAACAAAAGTAAAATTATTAGAGTTATAATAATCATACGAGGTGTACTGCGTTTCCGTGTTGCAACGTTTGACGAAGTGATCAATGTACGATCAATCGATGCTAAGATGAGACAGGAGTATCATAACCAGCTGCGAGGATTGTCAAGAGAAAACCCAAATAAAAATATAAAATATTAACGATATTCACGGCTATTAAACAGATTTGACATGGGTTTTTTCGTACCGTCTTTTTCGTGAATACCATTCAATTCAACATGCAGCCAATAGTTCCAAGAGATACAGCGATTGGGCCGCCTATTCTCAATATGTTTCGCTGAAGGGAGTGGATCTCTGATGGTAAAGACATATTAACTGCGACCGACTGATGTCCAATATGTGTTGTGAAATGCGTCATATATATTGAGTTAGAAAATTGCAATGTCGGATTAAAAATTAGCAGTTTAATAGGCGTTTTGACACATGAGTTCATTTATTGGAAGCTTGTAGAATTAGGTTAATTGCTTGTTGTTTCGATGGGCTGTCTTGCTCTTTAATACTTATTGATATCCTCGAGAAAACTTAATATTACCGTTCTTCATGGAAATGCTTATTATTCTGTTTATGATCAATATCATTCAAGATTAGTTAGATCAGTATTGAGATAGTCATCCATTGAAGTTAAATCTCCAACATCATTGTATCTTTGTAGTGCACACTTTGAGACCGAAATTAGAAAAGTGTAAACACAACTTTCATTCTAAAACGGAGAAAATGCATACTGAAAAAGTTTATTAGGATCTGAATTCTACTCGTTTTAAAACATCCAAACGTACTCGATTGGTCCTTGTTAAACATTGTGAAAGTCAATAAAAACTATGAACAATTCAAATCCAGACTATTGTTGTATTAATATTGACAGAGAAAATGTCCGGCCGATAAATACCAATAGTAAATGGAATAACTTGTAACCTTGAAACAAGCTCCTTGCGCCCATCTGGTTTGCCAAGATCATTCTTCCGCAAAGGCACGTGGACAATGTCTTGTTAGTCAGCACCGTTTATTATTTGTTCATTACACATATTTTAGGTATCGAATATATAATAATTCATTTTCGCGACTGATCGGGGAAACCAAATAATACCTGTCTTACGGCAATCTGGATATAGTCAATAATTCATTGTTTAGCATATCGAAAAATACTTCCGGTGCCGTTGTCTTTTCAAATAGTGCGATGAACACCCGTTGTTTTGTGTGTTTTTCGTATAGAGATAACAATTCCTTCCTGAAAATAGTGATTAATTCATACATACACAGTAATCATCAAGACCATTCGGGAAATCCGGTTTGCTATTTCTTGGTTGTCAAATAGCGACTCTATTATTGGATACCAATAGATCCGGTTCCCATATAACTTTAGAAGTATTTTATTCTATATTTTCCGCTAATGTTTTGAGGTAATGATACGATAATTATCGCTAACGTAAATAGAAGAAAAATTCAACAATTTTCTCTCAACAAATTAAATAAGATTAAAATTAATAAAGCATCAATAAGGTTTCTACCAAACATGTTCTCTTTCAATTTTTGTCCTTCTCTAGGTACAATCTTTGAACTTATGCTTGATCATTACATTTTTGCTTGTCATTGAAATTAATCTTCATTTCTTTTGTATCTGCACCACTTATGTGAGAAGAAAAGTGAAATATGTATTTTCACTAAGGTCATTGTCTGTTGTTGTTTTGGATAAAATTATAACTTGATATTGCATCAATAGATTCTTTTGGATGAGTTTTCGAGTGTGTGATTGAGTTAATATCTTATCGCTAATTCAGTATTACACAAATGGTATATTTTTGCTAATCGCAAAGTTCATATAGAATTTCGTCATTGACGATAGGGCGTATTATATTCAGAAAAAGCAAAACTCATTCACTACTCTATCACAACGTATTGTTAGATTCAGCTGTAAACCGTTAATATTATGTTCTTAGTGCATTATCGATGATATGTGCAAGTAAAGAATATGCTGTATGACAGAAGAAAAGTACAAAAAGTGGATCAATTGCTGTCAAACTATCATTATGGAGTGTTCACTTTGTCAATCATTTTTAGCAAGTAGTAGATAATATAACGCCAACATTGTTTCCATTATAATTCGGAATGACAATGTCCATTTTACCATCTGAGTTAAGATCAGCAATACCTACTGCATAATCGGTATAACTGGTTGAATAATTCAGTTGAGGAGCAAATGTGCCATTGCCATAGTTAAGAAAAATACCGATAGTTTTCGAGCCGGAGTTTGCTACAACAATATCGATTGTATTATCTCCGTTCATGTCGCCAGTTACAAGATAATAAGGTCCCGAACTAACGCCAGTTGAATATATGGTTTGTGCACCGAACGTGCCATTACCTTTATTAAGTAAAACACCGACATTGTTTGTACCGTAGTTTGCGACAATAATATCTAATTGCCCATCGCCGTCAACATCATTCAATGATACGGATTGTGGATATGAGCCGCTACCCGTTGAATAGGTAATTTCTGCAGCAAACGTTCCATTGCCTGCATTAAAGAAAACGCCAACCCTGTTTGCATCCCTGTCTGCAGTTACGATATCGGGTTTCCCGTCCGAATTAAGATCAACTGCTGTCACAGAATGCGGTCCACCGTTATCTGGATAGGTTACTTGAGGATCAAACGTACCATTTCCTCTGTTGAAGAGAACACCAATCGTGTCTGACTGGTAGTTGGCGGCAATAATATCAGGTGAGTTGTCTCCATTAACGTCAACTACTTCTACTGAATGCGGTTCAGTGGCATTGCCTGTTGGATAGGTGGTTTGCGGAGTGAATGTGCCGTTACCTATATTGAGTAAAACACCGATGTTGCCGGCATTGGAGTTTGCGATAACAAGATCGAGTTTGTTATCTGCGTTTACATCAACGGCTTTTATGGACCACGTATAGCCAGGGCCAGCCGTGTAGTTGGCTTGAACGAAAAGCGTGCCGTTACCTCTGTTGAAAAGGACAGTGGTAGTGTTCGAACCATACGTTCCAGTGATCACATCAGGCATTCCGTCTCCATTTAAATCGCCAGATGCAATCGGAAATGGCTTAGATCCAGAACCAGTTGGATAAGTGGTTTGTGGAACAAAACTGACGCATGGAGCTAGATAAAAAAGAATTACTATTACCCATTGTCGCCAGACTATTCATTAGCCGGAAACAAATCCAGCTGAAAATCACTATAAACGTTCGCAACTACAAATAATCCTATCTCGCCGTTTTTCTCTTCAACTTTTCAGTCGTATATCTGTCTTATACTAATCAGCGTAGCCTTCTCACTATCTCAGATGTCTGAATGCATATAATTATGTGTACACTATAACACAATTGTAGGCGATTTTACCTGATGTCGTTGTCGTTGAAGCGGTTGTGGACATCGTTGTAGATGCTGTTGTGGACGCCGTCGTGGAAGCCGTTGTGGACGCCGTCGTGGATGCCGTCGTAGATGCCGTTGTGGAAGCCGTTGTGGATTCCGTTGTGGATGCCGTTGTGGAAGCCGTTGTGGATTCCGTCGTGGACGCCGTCGTGGAAGCTGTTGTGGACGCCGTCGTGGATGCCGTTGTGGAAGCCGTTGTGGATGCCGTCGTGGATGCCGTCGTAGATGCCGTTGTGGAAGCCGTTGTGGACGCCGTCGTGGATGCCGTTGTGGAAGCCGTTGTGGATTCCGTCGTGGACGCCGTCATGGATGCCGTTGTGGAAGCTGTTGTGGACGCCGTCGTGGATGCCGTTGTGGAAGCCGTTGTGGACGCCGTCGTGGATGCTGTTGTGGAAGCCGTTGTAGACACCGTGGTCAAGCCTGGCGATACGCTTGTTGCTACTGTTGTATTTTTAGATTTGTTAAGCAAGGAAATAACGATAATAGCAATGATGGTTCCGATAAGAATTAAAGCAACCAGAGACAAAAAGCAGCAGCACGGTGACCATCCACAACACATGTGATAAAAGAACCTACGTAAAGAATTTTCGAAATATAACAAAACACAGAATATTTACTCACCCTGCTTTTCTATTTCTTCTGGACTTGCGTTCTTCTTTCACTCTATAATCTGTATAGTTTGCCCATTTATCAGTTATCTGTATTGTTGGAAAAGATAAATATTAGCGCATGTGTACAGCAAGAAACTTCATATTATAATATTTTGCAAAAACAAAAAATCCTATCATTAAAGGGCAACTCATACGTTAAATTGCTGATCAAAAGTGAAATTCGAAGGAAATCTGGTGTCTCAATAGATTAACATGCAGTAATTTGTCAAATCTCTATTCAATTGAGATCAAGTTCAGTACTGTTACCTTTGCATGGCTGTTGAATGTTGACGATCTATCCCGATTGTATTCATAGAGATTCTTAGCTTCATCAGCCATTATAGGCGGTTGCCTAATCTGTTCTGGTGGCTTTTTCTCCAAGTTCTGGTTTTTATCTTGACTGTTAGACGTCTATGTAGTGAGTCAACGATAACAAAGACTAATTCAACATGCAAAGAGTCTTACTGATATCAATATACTTTCACTCCTGACAGACTTATTGATCACTGAGTTCGTGTGTATTGATGGTGACCGAATGGTTGTGTGAATGACAAAGCTACTTCGCTTGTTCTCTGTCCGTAAACGTAGATCCTACGGTCAAATAATTTACACGGATAAAGATACAAGATTTAGAAAAATAACTACTTGATCTTGAGATAATGAACGATGAGATTTGCGATGGACTTTGCGAATGGTTGGTTGAGGTTTTGAATGACGAACCGTGACATTATGCTTGTCTATCGATGACGAGACTGGTGCTCGATAACGATCAGCTCGTGTTGCTTGTATATTCTTTTGACTTATAGCCATTCCGTTGTATAACGATTTGAGTTTATTGCTTTATAATAAATAAAGAAGTGAGATTTTTCTTTTCAATTCATTAGAAGATTGAGTGCTTCGTTATTCTACAAAAAGGACAATGCCAGCATATAATTAAGATTCTTGCTTTTTTTGTTTTTTATATGAAGAAATTTCATATTCAGCTGTACAGCACATATATAACTTCATCATAATACATTTTTTGTCATCAAAGGACATTTTACGGCTGCGCAATAAAAAATCACGAATTGCTCTGAAGTCGATCCAGTAAACATCGAGAAAGGTATTTTCTATTGAGATATCGAACATCTAGGTTTATAACACATATTCATTTATTGATGTTGAACTCGTCAGACTGATTGTTGTTATCGTTTTCTGGTCTCGTAACGGTGACCTAAGAAAGCAACGGAATATACAGGAGCCTAGCCATGTCGTTCGAATAGGATATTTTGGTCTATATAGGATTATATACAACAACGATTTGTAGATAGATTAGTTTTTTAAACCGAATAAACCTTGCAAATTGCGGAGATAATGCAATTCATGTAAAAAACAACTATAATCGTGTTGAAACACGTATCTTCTAACGAAACGTCACCCAATATTCGATTTCAATTTATTAATATTGATGAAAAAGGAACGAATCGATCCTTTCAATATCTCAATAACTCGTCAACCTACATTGGACATGTATTCGCGTACTTTCCATTTAGTTTTCAATCGATGCTAGCGCATGCATTAATTCTTCAGGTACTGAAGTGTTGACGTCTAGATTCTGTATGATACTTTACTCAAAGAACATGTGAGTTCTTCAAAGGGGAACGTAGAAAATAAAGTCTAACTACAATGTCAACAAAGCATCTTAAACCGTGATGAACGAGAAGTACTTGTGTAAACTTTAAGTTTGACTTAATATACCGCTTATATCAGTTAAATCTGCACATTTTCATCGCCAAAGCTGTGATATTGACTATAACTGTCATCTGTATGACATTTGAATATGAGCGTGTGTGTTGTGTCTTCGCTAATTTTCTCTTACTCTACAATTTCAAATAATATTTTTTGAACAAACAGATCACTCGATATTTTAGAAATACCTAGTTTCTTTCCTTACAGTCATCCTGCCATCAAAGGATTACATATCCTTTTCAAGATGTCAACTTTGAAATTAATTCGAGTGAATTGAACAATAATTTTATTTGATTAAATGTGAAGTTTTTCGTGCAGTTATTTTAGCTTCAGTAAAGCTCTTCGATGTGACTTCTTCGTGAGACTATTGTGTTCATTCTTTCTTTTGATTCCTACTTGATGCATTTGAATTTGACTGGCAGAATTGCATGAGCACACATACATGATGTACTATTCACATTCCGTTATTTGAATGGTTTCAATCATGAATCTCATCGTTCGAGATTTTAATTACACAGAACGAGCGGAATAAAAAATTGGTGAATGGCGTCGTTCGATAAGTATAGAACAAGAGATGACGCACAACTGCGTTCCGAAGAATCCTCAGCATGCATTATATTTATTATGAACGAACAGTGCATTATTTAGGTCAATATATAAATGAATATTATGTATTTTAAGCCGTAATCTCGCGAAATACGGTCTCATTTGTGCGTGTACCCGGAGCTGAAGCTGTAATAGAGATATCGTTGGCTAACAGATGTGTTCCATCAGCATTCCAAATATTCTCATTGGCCAATCGAACTGTATAGCGTACATCGCTTTGTAAACGTGTGCTACCATCGGGTAATGCTAAAAGTAGTCGCCAGACGCCTTGCTTAATGTTTGCTGGAATACGGAGCTTACGATCAATACTTATAACATTAGCTTCAGGTGTCCACGTTCGAGGATCGACACTGAGAGTCGCGTTGTATGTGACGCGTGTACTGCCTGTTTTGCCGTTGTCAAGCGTTAGTTTAACAGGTCGAGTCAGATGCATAGCTGCAAAGCCGATATTTCGTAGTTTCAGAGAAAAACTGAATAAACCACCCGGTGCCACTTCTTTCGAATGAGAAAGACTTTGCAGTTGAAAACAGTAACCAAGTTTACGTGTGAATTCTTGTTTTACGGTAGTGCCCCATGCATTATAAATCGGTGGATCATAATCTCGATTAAGATAAGTCATATGTTGTTGTTTTGACTCTACCAATGCATTTTGAGCTTTGTTATAGGGACCATTTGGAGTGCCGTATGTTTCTCCACCAAAAAATGTATACCGAGTCATTTGACCAACATAGGCGAGTTCTTGAGCTCGTGACCATCCATAATCGAAGGTGCCGCTATCAGTACTGCTGGAAAGATAGGCATCGTTATGATAACCGGTGCGTGCTTTCGGATTGCTGCTATAAGCTTCGGCTGGTGATAGAGGAGTATTACTATTGAAAACTTGACGGATATAGTACGGCGTACGAAGAATGACTGATCGTGCAGTTGGTAGTGCAGACATATAGGTGGCGTGTACTTCTCTGAGTGCACTAGTTTTAATGGGATAGAACAATCCCGTGTTAACAGTGCTATAATACGATGAATGCATTTCACCCCATGGACCAAACATGCCCATTTCGACAGCAACAATGATATCTTCGTATTCATAATAAATTGGTTTCATATCCATGATATGACCTTTGACAGTTTCCAGACTTTTTGGTTCTGGAGCAAGAACTAAATCCCACGAGTAGGCCGAACGCATGATGGCTTTTAAACCCTGCTGACGACAAGTCGCAAGTACTGAACGAATTTCATTGAGTTTACTTTGTCCAATATGTGAACTATTTCGGTAAGCTGATATATCGATTTTGATCAAGAGTAGTGACACTTTTTCCGCACTACTTCGTAGGCTATCAACGTCGTAAACATCATCCGAGAATCGATGTGTAATCCATCCTCGCTCAGGATTCGCAAACAGTGTTTGGGTAGACGCAAACGTTTTAGTAGCATTGGGAGGTTCAGCGGCTAATGCATTGTACCATGAGTTAATCATAAACACATAGAGTAAAATAAACATTTGATGATTCATCTTTATACTTCTGTACTTTTCGATTTAGAAATGAAACAGTATATATATACGAAAATCTGAATGTTATTTCACAAGCGCGTGACTTTTAATCAGATTCTGTTTCATCGCACAAAACAACAACAAAAAGAAAAGGGGTGAATGTTTTTCTTTCACCAAACGGAGGTGTGTTCTACAGTAATGCTCGGTATAGTTGTTGCTAATTGCTTCGAGGGCGCATTAACATAAGTAAACCGTTGAATAATAACTCGTTTTCGCTTTGCCAACAACTTCTCTCGACGAAGTTTTCGTCGTTCTGCAGCAACTGGATCAATTCCAAAACAATACTTTAAGATGTCCATGATAATAATAAACATAGCAACAACAATCAGAGCAATGATAGCAATATAAGAAAAAGTTTTGGAAACGAAGGTAAAAATCGTGATTTTTCTGGATGTTATTTCACAATGACGACCAGAATAATAATTATTACCGAGACATTCACATGTGTAATTGAGAAATAGTGGTCGACAAATACCGTTACTATGACATGTAATATTTTTTAAATCGCAGTAGTTAACCAATGATTCACAATGAATACCTTGCCAACCGTCGGCACATGTACAATTAAATGTTGTTGTTGAAGCTTCATTACATTTACCTATATGAGTATGATTTTCATGAGAAAAAAAGAAGTTTTATGCATACCGTGATTAAGGCAGGTATGTGGTTTACAAGGTTTCTGATCAATTTCACAATAAGTTCCATTGTAACCTGTTGAACAGAAACAGACAAAGCCGAGAGTATTGTTGTTTACATCGATACATGTGCCGCTATTTTTACATGGATTCGAAGAAATACAGATGCTACTCGAACTATTACAGGCGATACCGATATACGAAGTGTCATTGCATTGTTTAGGAATAAAAGTTATTAGTGACTGTCCGACTGAAATAGAAAATAAAGACAATCAACAAGTCGAAAGATACACTAACCTGTAGTTTCTTGCATTGCTGTGATCAGATGTGTCGTTGAATCTGACAAGTGTGAGTCTATTTTTTTATGCAATACATTCAAATAGGAAGAAATTATAATTACCAAGTAGTTGTACTGACGAGGTGGATGTAAATGTCGTTGTCATAATGTTGGTCGAAGTTTCAACTATTAATGCCGACGGATCGCAAGAGTTAGTGGCCAAATAGAACTTCTGAACACTTTGATTATAAGAGTCGACGACAAACATATTACCGTAACTGTCAAAGTTCATCATTGTTGGCTGATATAATTTATGAGAGTCTAAGCCTGATGTACCTGAACAGCCAACTAAACATCGAGATCCATTTGGACCCGATCTAATAATACGATGACCACCATAATCTACGACATACAAATCGCTATCAGCATCAAGTACGACACCCATCGGTTTCCACAGTGTGATGTTTTCAGATTCTCTCTTCATTACTATCGATGTTCCGTTTTTCTCTCCAGGTGGGAAGCATTGAATCCGGTGGTTTCCAGAATCTGCTACATACAAGTTGAGTTTGGCGTCAACAAATATTCCTCCAGGTGCACTAAGCATATGAGACTCTGGTCCAGGTAAGCTACCGCCTGCAACTATTGTCCAATTCTCATTACTGCTATTTAATGCTCTTCTCCAAACTTGATGCTGACCTTGAAGAGAACAGTAGATATTGTTGTTGATATCAATAAAAAGTCCCACGCAATATCCGCTGGTATTCATCTTGGAAATAGTAGTAACGGTATTCAGTGCCCATTTGACAATTTCTGAATTAGGCGTGTAACTAACAAACAGATCACCACCGATTGCAATAAAAAGACCGAAAGGTTTCTCTAGATTTGTTAAACTGATGTTTATGGAAGTGTTATATTCGTTTTGCCATATTGCAATCCGTTTATCCCACGGATATAATGCATAAACAGTGTTATTACTAGTGACGAAAACGTTGAAGGGGCGCTGAGTATATATGTTATCCGTCTTTAACGTAGTTGCATTGGGATTCCAAGCTGCATATGGACAGAGTTTGGGTCGATTGTACGGAAGACCTAATAGGAAGAGAAGTATTTGGTTATTTGCCGAACTGATATACTTACTGCACGAGTTTGTCGCTAAAATAAATTTCTGAACCCGATTATTGTTCACATCGGTGACGAAGATATTCCCATAACTATCAAAACCCATTGTCCAAGGACGACTCAGTTGATAGGGTGTTGAACCAGCACTACCAAAACATCCTACTACACATCGAAAACCATGAGGACCTGAACCGACAATTCGGTTGTTGCCTTGATCAACGATGAATATGTAACCATTGCCATCAAGTGTCACTGCAGTTGGCTGGTGGAGTAGAATCGTTCCTGGTGCTTCTTTACCAGCCACTCTTTTGAATTTCAGTGTATCCATCTGCAAGGAGACAACACTGTGATCGTTATGATTTGCCACATATAAGGTGTGCTTGTTATCAACATGTATTCCATTTGGATTATGAAGCACATCTGATAGCGATTGATTAGCAGCACCTTCGCCTATAATAGTTTCCCATTCACTTGAACTAGTATTAAGTGATTTTTTCACAATCTTATTCTGCTTCCCAATAGAGCAATATAGATTATTCTCAATATCGACGAATAAGCCATCACAATAGCCAGTCATATTTGATAACATGATCTTATCTGTTCCATTCAATGTCAGCACATCGATGCCGCTACCTCCACGATCACTAACATAAACATTACCATTGGAATCGACAAAGATACTTGTTGAGTTGCTAAAAGTGCTGTTGATGATCCTTATTGGCCTACTGCTGTTTTCTAACAATATTGTAACCATGTTTCTGGTTTCTGAAACAATATAAATCGTATTCTTCGTAGTTATAAAAATTCCATAAGACCATTGGCCAAATGTGGACACTGTTGCAAAAGTTATTGCGTCGGGATGCCATGACGGAAAATCACAAAATATCGGTTGATTATAACGAATATCTACGTAAACAATGAAATGAAACTTCATTAGTGTTCTCAAATGCATACCTGTCTCTTCCAAAGTATCTCGTGGATCTGTTGACAAAATAGTTGTTGTCATAGTATTTTGTGACGGTACGCTTTCATCTGGAGTAGAATTTGAAGGTATTCAAATATATAAAAAAGGTTGAAATACTTACTGCAAATATTGGATATTAAGGCGAATTTTTGAATACGTTTATTATTTTTATCGTTAACATAGATATTTCCTTCTATATCAAAAGCAAGAGAGTATGGCTTAATTAATTGATAGGCAGTTGAACCCTCCGACATATAGCATCCAAATAAACACCGAAAACCATGAGGTCCGAATGTGACAATGCGATTATTTTCATGGTCTGCGATGAATAGATTGTCATCTCCATCAAGAATGATTGCGGTTGGCTTATTTAGGCTAATATTTCCTGTCACCGTTGTGCCGCTCGTTTGGCCTGGTAAAAAATGCTGGATCCTACTATTCGCATAATCGGCCACGTACAAACTGAGATTAGTATGAACAAAGATTCCATGTGGACTATGAAGCTTATCCAATGTATTTCCAGGAGATCCACTTGTTCCTGCAACAATGCTTGATTGATTTTCGTTATGGTTAAGTGATACTTTTTCCACTATATGATGGTCATGAACAGAACAGTAAAGCATGTCAGTTACATCAATAAAAAGACCATAACATGGTTTACTGAATTTTGCAACTTTAGTACTGTTCTGCGGCTTTAATACCCACTTGTCGACTTTGCCATCGTTATTACCTGCGACATAAATATCACCATTTATAGTCACGAACAAACTATATGGATTATTTTGAACAGGCTTAATCTCAGTTATTTGCGTTTTGTTTTGAAACCACAAAAAAATACGATGTTCATTATAGTCTGTCGCATAAACTATATTGTAAACACTAATAAAAATACTATTGCGCCCATCGTGGAGCAGAGGTTCTTTTGCAAAAGTTGTAGCGTTCTCATCCCAAGTTGCATTCGTACAAAATTTTGGCAGATTGTAGGAAATAGCTGAAAAAGATATTGTTCAGAGTAAAATTTTGTTAAATCTTTTAAGATTATTTACTCGACTCTCCATTAACAATTAATGGAATAATCAAAGATAAAATCACCCAATTTATTATCGACATGTCAAAATACATTCATGTATCCAGAACTTTCTCAAATGTGATGAATACGAGAAAATCACATAATTAAAATAGGCCGAGAAAAAAATAATTGATATTTACATTCAGAATCGTGATAAAATATTTGTTTCAAAAACAACCCAGGCAGTATCAATTACCGTTTTCAAATGTAAATCTTGTTCATTAAATATTAACACATTTTGTAATTGAGAAGGAATTGATTGAATTGAAATTCTCTACGAGATATAATTGAAAAGAATCTTACGGCGAGGAAAAGAGCGAGACTTATCTTCGTACAGATAAGATCAATAGAGAATATTTATAAACTCGATAACGTCAATGTTCTATTTTGCGAGCAGATTGATTTATTTGATTTCATCAGTTCAATTTATCTGTTTCAAATAGATACTAGTCATGCTGTTTATGAGTACGACTGTCTATGGATAAAACAGGTTAAATTCTGTTGTCGATTGACAACAAGTGAACACATTTATCGAAGAAATCGTGTATTCACCTATCAAGAATTAGCAAAATGGAATGTATCTGGAGAAGATTTATTCCAATGGAGTGGTGATGTTGACGAAGCAGATGAATATGCTCGATGGTTATTTTACCAAGGTCAATCGACAATACTAATGTCATTATGTAATTGTTCGAAAGAACATACGTATGGACCATCATGTTTTTACCAATATGATGAATCTTGGAAACGAGAAAACTATCAATGGCATTTGACAAGTGCATTCAGTATAAAAGAACATTATCTCTTTGACAATGGAAATTATGGAGATATCCTGTGCTACAATAGCTTAATTAACCCTTTGTTGGCGGAGTTTTTTTGAACAAGTCAAGTTTTTTAAAATAGTGAAAACAGATATTTATTCAATCAAAAACCGTCATCAAAAGTGTTTTAAGGTGTGATAAGCTTTGAAACAGTCAATTACGCATAATCCAACATCACATTCTTCGCACTGATATCTTGTGTATTTGACTGATTTTTCTTTTTTTTTTCTGTATGAGAGCATACATAACATGTCCTCTGCGCAGCAGCTTTTGAGGCAGTAGGAGGAACAAGTGATGGAAAATGTCTAGCAGATAAACGTAGTGGTGAATCAATTGTTGGTCTTCCGATAGAAATTCGTCTTTGGTTACCATATTTTGATAAGAAATTTCCATTATACACTGTTGAAAATTACCAAATGCACTATGTTCGGTTTTTTCTGATATTTCGAAGTACTAACAGGATTACTTTCTCAATACAGGAAAAGTACTCTACAGGCTGTTTCTACTCACTTTTGATTGATTTGAAATATATACCACTCCTCAACTTTGAGAAAATAGTCTAGATGGTATATATACCATGCTCGCCAACAAAGGGTTAAATATCGCAGGTAAGAAAATATTTGATTCGCCATGCTTCGAAAATAATCTCAGATGAAGAATTTATGATTTGCGCTCGCTTATATAACTCTCTTTTTTGATTGACTAACTGTCATTTATAACTGTAATATGTTGAAGAATTTCCTTGCAGATTTATTCACGTGCATAGCATCGGGATTCATTTCTAATTTCAAAAACGTTTGCTCATCCATCTGATCTTTCTACCGAAATGTCATTTTTTTTCGATAAAACGTTGTTTATTCAAAGTTGAATTTGCATTTGCCATCAGAAGTATGAGTTGTATCAACAAAACTCCATTATACTTCTTTGTTCGTTCTGTTTGTATAAATCAAACTCAGATCGTCAGACGTTCTGTGATTGTCACATTTCATTTAATGGAGAAGTAATGTCGTTTATTTATCGACAGATTCTTTTCGGTCTTTTACTTTCATTTGCTTTTTTCAATATTTATCAACACCGAAAGATTTTTTTCCCGAAATTCGACGATGCTCTTGGAAACATTCATGAATATATAACAAATTTCCGATCTTACATTCGAGAGAAACCAATTTCACCTCGACAGCCATGCAAATCAGTGAAGAATGAGAATAATTACGATCTTTCTCAATACAAATATAAATGTCCTCATCATCGGTATGTTACTCGAATGATCGAGCGAAGTCCATTAATTATTTATATCGAAAACTTCCTGACTCCTAATGAAATCCAACATTTAATTGATTTAGTGTGAGTAAAAGCGTCGATAGTATGTTAGAGAAGTTCCCATATATTCTCTAGTGAACCGACATTTAAACCTTCAAAAGCCATCGAAGAGAATGGATCACCTTCCGTCGGTGATTTTCGAACATCGCACTCGGCTGTGATTAAAAGTCAACAAACACCTGTGGTAACATGTATTGAACAACGATTTGCTCAATTTCAAGGTGATGTCGAAATCGAAAATCTTGAACCATTGCAAGCAGTAAAGTATATATCTGATCAACATGTAAGTTTCATATACCCATGATGAGATAAATGACATGTTCTCGCATTTGTTTAGTACAAACCTCATTACGATTGGTTTCCATTTGAGGAATATACAAAGGTTAGTGGTCAACGAGTGACATCGTTTTTCACATATCTCCAAGCGAATTGTTCGATGGGCGAAACCGAATTTGTTAATATTACATTCAATGCCACATCTCATCGACAATTTTGTGATATTTTAACTTGTGACGAGAATTCTCCCAAAGCGGGCATACGATTTCGGCCATTGCCAGGAAACAGTATTTTTTGGTTTAATATAGATGAAGTGGGCGAAGAAGATTATATGACATATCATGCAGGTCGTGCGCCTGGAAAGAATGGACTGAAGATTGGATTAAATACTTGGACACGTGCAAAGAAATACTTTCCAATGCCTAAACAAAACTAGGAACATCTTATTTTACCAACGGACATTCTGCGTTAGGTATACCGATTTTTTTTATTACACTATTGTAGGAATCGCGCAGAACTAAAGTTTTACGGGTGAGGGTGGATGAAAATTTTTTTGTGATTGGAATACACTCGTGTGCGAATCTGTGTCCAAGATAACCTTCATTTTTTCCCTTCTTTGCACATTAAATGCAACGGTGTATGTTAATCTTTAGAAATCTTATGAACTATTTTGTAATCTCGATTTTGCGTCAAGACAAAGTATTTTAATCACTTCGCCGAGTTTATACCAGTTGAGATAATAAGAAAGAATAAAACAACGAAAAATCTTTCTCATCACTTAACAAAACGATGCTATAAGTTCATTCAGCAGAATCCCATGTTGTTGTTTTTTTTTAAATCTTTCTAGATCTATTGGCACAAGTCAATTATCGATGTTTGTCTTATGTTGTTGAATAACAAGAGTGATAAACGTTATTCATGAATGTTCGCAATGATTTCTCGTTAATTAAGATACATGATTTATGTTGGTGTATTCTTTGTTCACAGTGACCGTGTTATCGAATTAGGTGGTGGATATTTTATTAGTGTCGATGATATATTGTTTTGTTCGAAAGCGATTATTTATTTGGTATTGGGCCCTGGCTAGGTGTACAATTTCAATCAAATTCCAATGATGCGATGGAGTTTCAACCATTAATTTGGAGATTAAAGCCTGACTTGATAATTGATTTAGGAACAAACGTCGACGATTCAGCTGTGTTTTTCGTATCAATTAAGTCGTTTTATAGCGACACTGCTATTGTCGTTCACAAAGAAATGGCTGACCAATAAAGCAAGATTATGTAAAGATTGTGTTGATCCAACCGATAACAAATTATGGAGGAAATATGTACGCTTTATTCAGGGATCTACAGATGATTCTGACGTCCTAGATAAAGTGAAACAGTATGTATTCAACGCCACAAGAATATTTGTTAGTGATGATGTTGCTCACGACCGTAATCCAGTTTATCGAAATCTATCAAATTATGCTGAATCCATTAGTATTAATTCGTATATGGCAATACAAGATACAAAATTGGATTGACTAAGGCGTCCCCCCCCCCCAATGGTCTATTAGCTGCTGTTAGAAACTTTCTGGACTATCAAAACAAACTTACCGAAAGTTTGAAATGCAAATTTGAAGTGGACCGGTCAGCGGAAGCATTTTATTATTGACAGCATACGTATGGCTGGCTATAAAACGAATTAAATGAACGAGCGAAGCCGTTCCAAACAAACCCGTATGCAACCTTTCAAAGTCGAAAGAAGTTTCGATCACCTCGTGAATATATTTGAATCAATCATTATTGATTTCTTCTTTGCTTTACAAAAAAAAATATTTTTGATAGTCTCATATCCATATTCAGAACGATAACCAGGTTCATTAATCCTATTAAATAGAATCAACTAAACATATTCATTCAATCCAGTTAGACTTTATAATCACAAAGAAGTACTAGAGAATATACCTTGTTCGACAGAAAATCATGATTCTAGTGAACAAGTTCCTGTAGGTCTGATTAAAAGTACATCGAGCTGATTTGAACAACAAATATGAGATTGATTTTATTACTCGTCACAGTAATTTACACAGCTTCAGCTAATGTATGTGATAGCTTGACTTATTTCTTATTTGATTGCGTTAGTATAAAGTTTTAACATTGTTCATAAAAGCCGCCTCTATTTGCATGTCGGCAGAGATTTCATGAAAGAAAATAATGCGGTAAATGTAGACATAATTGGTTAGCAACAAATTGCATGGTGTTTTTCCAAGCGATTCGTAGTTATCATTTTAAGTCGATTACACACATCGACTCTTCAATTTAGTATCACACAAATCTGGATATATAAACAACCGGCCGAACATCTCACCGTTGTCTTCCGTATTAGGATATTATACTGGCTTTTTAGAAATGAATTTCTATCGCTCGTTACAGCTGTAGCAGAAGAAGTACAAGAAAGATAACGATCAGAAGATGTGCATAATCTTCTTTCTTATTGTTAAGAGATTCTGGATATATTTTATTGAACATTTGCTTTTCGATTGAGGGAAAATTACAATGGACAAAACGACATATACGAGAATATATACGAAGAGTAGTTTTCAAAGAAGCGCGTAAATTCCGAGAAGTTCTCTATCCACACCATTGTAATATTTTGGTACACAGACGACGAATCATCGACATACATTCTTTCCGAAATATTGACGATGCCAATGTGTATGTTAGAAATGTAAACTAAAAATTGAACTCGTTTTAAAATGCTAAAACTTCCATTTCGATCTTACCGAGGCAAATATATAGCAAAGATGGATACTAAACGCATAAATAAATCCTTCAATCGCTTGTCGATCCACACTTTTTCCTTGTGAACTCGTTGCAAAATCATAAGTGACATATGCTGCATAACTTGTGTTAAACAGCGTAAATGTCAAACTTTGTATTAATGCCAATCGAATAAATTTCATTTGAATTGATGGATTTGATTTTCTCGCTAATTGATAAGCACTGTTTACACTATCTGACACTACATTAATACGATGACGACTATGACGAATGTTCATTATAATAAGAATACTAAATAATATCATAAGTACAATAGGAATGACAATACTCAGAATATTGTAAACGTTAAAAAAGATGTTGTAAGCTGTACCGAAAAATACATAACATCGATTCGATTTGATTTCGTACCCGATCGCTGCATGAACGCTGAAAATTGCACAGGCAGCCGTACCACCAATAATTAAATAACGAGCAGTCTTTATCGAGCTTAATCGTCGAATGGATTCGTTGGATGATGTAACCATCCATCGATCAATAGCAATTAAACAGATGAAATAACGTCCAAGAAGTAAAGTAAAGTGCGCGAAATAGTAACGAATTTTACAAAATGCGAGCGATGACGATTCCAATGTGAATGTAGTGACAAATGGTAAAGTTCGTGTTGTTCCACTAATATCAATTAATAATAAATTAGCAATGGAAAAACTAATGAAATACCAAGAACAAGTATTGTTTAAATGAAGACCCGGCTGAAAAAATAGAAGAATATTCATTAGATTTCCGATATTTCCAAATATATAAACAGGTATCATGAAATAACGAGTAATATATGTTTGTGCTAAACTAAGTTGACTTGCTAAGGTAATTGTTGAAGAATTCATTATTTTGACTGAATGAAAACGTTCTAAGCGCGTTGAATCGGATATCTTTGGATGTGGGAAATGTAATTATAAAAAGTAGTCTTTTAATACCTTGTAACTCTTTCTTTACTTTCTTTCGGTTATTCATCAGAGAGGAAATGAGATGTTACGAACTATGATTAAATTTATCTATTCAATCTACTGTCTTTTGAATATTAGAATTAAAAATAAATAATGCTAATTTATGTTCGAAACGTTCAGATCAGACAGTAGCATCCCCTTGATATGTTCTAATTTGATGTTTTTATTTGTAATTTATAAATTGAGTTCAATAAGAACTATTTCACGACAGAGAGGAGAACAAAGATTTTGTGAATAACATACCCATCTGCGCATAAACTTTAATCACATGGAAAGATAGAAAAAAAGAAATGTCAACAGATACTCGAAGACAGATTTGTTATTTTAAAACTAAAGATACTTTGTCTTCTCCAAATTCGAGTATATTTATGATATGTCGGTGAGAATGGTTATGAGTAATGAATATTTTCAACCATCTTGAGGGTGAAGGTGTGACTATTCAGTCCGATCATCAGCATTTTGATCTATCTATTTGTTCGATGAATGGTGAATCGATGACGACATAAATCTTTGTATGTTCAAGAATCTAAATACATTAATATAGAAAATAAAAATAGGAAGGATGAGGAAATACCTTCGCTGATAGATTCACACGAAACAGTACATTACGTGTAATATAATCTTTCTCCTCGCTCAGTTTTATCTCGAATACTAAATAACAAACTTGAAGAACATGCTGAATGGGTTGGAATGATTGACATCCACATATTTGTTTTCCAAAAGAAACTAAACAATATCTTGACGATTCTTCATCGTGGCATGAATAAAAAGTGGATCAAATGGAGAATTATCTGTCGCGTGTTGCACGTTAGCATGACCAAGTTCTATTAGAGTTTCGGTCACGTTAAAATGCTGTTACACCATTGACACGCTTCGAATTATAAAGGATTACGTTGCTTTTTTAATTCGACCTGAAGTTCAGTATCGGAATGACTCGAACAATATCATCATACCATGTCAATGCTGTCAAGTACTCGAGCTTCTCATTGAGAACATAGATCATGCTGAGCAAGTTGGTAGAGCTTCTCAGAAACATGTTCATCACCAAACAGGAGATCGAGAGAAAAAATTTCATCATCCATCATGCATATAAGAGTAATAGAATATGCAATGGCTTCTTATCTATGTTATAGGTTGTAACGAGGCTATGTCGGTCGTCGAATCTGTATCTCCGTCAGCAAGTTCGACGGTTACGATGCTATCTGGTCACACAATTCTTGACAAAACATATAAACAAAAACAGAATGATGAAGTCAAGGGACACGATAACCAATCAGTCAGTTAGTTAGTTAGTTATTGTGAAGACAAGAATGCATATCATTGTTACCATATAGAAATTAATGTCTTTGCGAATGATTTCTTAATTACTAATCTTTTTTCCAAATTAATTATTTTTAGCCTCGACCGCATGTATTCGCATCCATAAAGAATTCACGAAAAGATCAATACGGTTCTCACTGCGACTGAGACCTTTTCAAAATATCTTTGTGCTGCTTTTTTTTATTCTGTTCTAGAAAAATACAATCATTGAATCATGATCCTTTTTAACGTTCTTATTTTCATACTTTTTCGATTTTTGATATCGAAGTATGTATTCTTTTCGTTGACGAGCCAATAGCATACTGGCACTAAATTCAATTACCTCTTGATCTTTCATGGATGCTAATAAACCACGATGTCGACCCATGAGCATAGTTAAGATCAGTAAGAATTTGCTTCCAGAGGAGAGAGCGGATGCGAAACTGGTTGTCTTATTTGGATAGCCCAATGACATACCAACACCACCAAATGCAGAGATAATTTCGAAGACAATTTTTAGAAGTGTTATGTCTGGATCGACTGGCGCCATTCGACGATATTCAATAGCACAAATAAGAAAAATAAAGACAAACAACCACGTTCGTGTCAATACAAAATAGTTAAATGTATGTTTAACTAAAGCTTGGATAAAATGAATGAGAAATAAACGTAAACGCAAAGCTTTGATACGTGTTGAGTGCGTTGAATTTCTTCTGTCATCGTTTAAATTTTGTGAGAGCTCTTTCTTTGCGAGTCGTTTCATAGCAGTGCTTTGTCGGTGTAAAAATTGTCGCATATGATTGAATAACGAGACATCAGTGTTTCCTCTCGCTATGGTTGACTTTGGACTTTGTAGCAATCCTGACATAGACGTCGGCACATTTGTTTCACTATCAACTTCTGCTTGAGCTTCAGATGCCAACCAATGAATTTCAAAGGGTGATTCGTCCAGTGCACACAACATTTGTGGTTTAGTAGCCATCAATAATAAATAGACGAGTAATGTTGCCGTTGTAAACAAACTTATATCGAAAGATTGGAAACCACAGAAACGAAGATTTATCGTTTGAAAGAGAAAGATAATGAAGCGTATACCGGGACTATATTGTTGTAAATCCTTGCTATCTATATCGAGTAGGAGAGAAATACCTATTGACATTGAGTATAATATGATAGTTACGAAAAAATAAATACGTGTCTGTAATGTAGGATACAAAAGAGTTGATAGATGATGATTGTTTAGAAGTATATATTCGAATATAACTTTGTGATGCCAAGGAGCAACGCGACGTAATAGAAAAAGGAAATTACGTAGAATAATTGGAAAGAAAGATGAACCACTCATGACTAACTAGAATTAAAAGCAAGTCTACCGTTAAAAGCATTTAATAATACATGCAAAACAAATGATACATTACCGAAACGATGACTATATTGAGAAAAACATCGTCAGCATAACGATATAGACTTGTTGAGAAAGGTGTCAAACCATTTTGATTGAAACTGAAAAGGGTTAACATGCCTGATACATACCATGGACTGAGAGTAACATTATTTTGTAGCAAATATTCCGGACTGCTATGTGTATCAAGCCATATTCCCATAGATAGGAAACCAGTCGTATAAATAATGAAATAGAGAGTTAATATCAGAGCAATGCACATAATGTATGCTTGATAACGTAATTTTTCCGGTGATGGTAATCGTGCCAGTTCAATACGAACATGTGGTGGTAGGTTTGGATCATATTGAAGATCGGAAGTTTCTGCTTCATCATACTTTTCACGTTCATCGTCAACATCGGTACTAAGGGTAGGTTTGTGAATGCTAGCGTTAATAGCTAGTGCTGGTAGTGTACTAATCGCAAAGCCTGATATGAATGCAAATCCCATCATAACAAGCTGTGACGCTTGAGAAAGTTGCGCAAAATCTATGGTAGTCAAGCCACAGCTACATATGGTTGAGACAGACGTAAACCAGGCATCAAGATACGTTAGAACCATGTATGGATTAGGTGATGATGAATAATTTTCGATCAAGAAGATGATGAGACCACCGAATAGACCATTGAAAATGTAAGCCATCAAGTGAATGTAGAAATAATAAGTCATTTTCCAGCGAAACTTACCAAATAGAGGTTTTCTCAAATCCTCGAGATCTGTATGCACTGCTTGTGGTTCGATTTTGCCCAATACGTTAGGTGGTGTCACTGTCGAAATTGTCGAGGGGCAAAAACTACGTCGTTCGCGGCATGGTACACTATTTAAACTAGTATTATTCGCGTTGAAGTAATCGAAGTTTTCGCGAATGGCAGCAAGAGTTTCGAGAGCCATGCGCGAAGCACGTCTCTCTCGTTGTAGATCCCGTGTTGACACTAGCATCGTTTGTACGGTTGAGTTCTATAAATACAAATATCGACGCATTTGCGTACTAATTCAAAATGAGAATGTACATATGTTACCTGCGTAGCTTATCTATTCGATGTTGTTTGAACGTTTTGAGATTAGAGTGATCTCGATCTAGACCTCAGAAAGCTGCATCGACTAATATTTTTTTGTGAATGCTGATAATATGATGCCGATCACTTGTGTTCTATTGTATGCAAAAAGGTCAGCTGTTTAGAAGAATACAAAATGTTGAAAAGGTGCTTATTGATTGTTAATCGAAACTTTATATATCACAGAAAACAAGTAACCAAATGCCAAACAAAATGAAATGTCGATGTGAAAATGTCATTATTACAGAATAGAACAAGAGCAGATTACGATTGCACTATATCTCACAATAAGCCGAGTTGTAATATATATAGATAAAGAATGATGGGATCAGCTCATGCTTTTGATTTGATTGAAAAGATATCATGTTTGTTTAATTTGAAAATGAATTTCCTTTCGTTCTGTTATCCATTTCTGGATATTGTCTTGGTTTAACCTGGAAAGAATGGATAATCTTACACAACGACAAATCATTCATTTTCGCAAACAACACGAGAGATTACGAATATGCTTTACACGAATGGAGGAAACTCTTTCTCCAAGAGCTGTATTTGAATTCGCTAGTGTTATAGAAGTCGATACTAGGCGGCAGCGATGAGTTCCATTTACGGCATTTATCTTTTGTTGTTTTTTATTGATAGTCATTGTAAATCATAATAGCGAATTATTAGTGCATTGAAGCTATAGAGAACATTTCGTTCTGTTATATAAAAAAACAGCATATTAATAAGTTTCTTTCCTACACAAAATATGAGTTTGGAAAGTGTTCTTTTGTAGAACTAGGATTCGATATACAATGAGAACAAGTTGAGCGTAATTTAGAGTATCAATCATAGCTGGAGCTAGCGCATGAAAATTATCGTGTACTCGTATTGTTGAAGCAACCGGAACTGCTTCGATCTTTTTCTCATTCCGAAATGGAATCAGATCTTGAGATTTGATGGTTTCTGTCAACAAAAATCTTATGAGGAGATAAGAATATGTTTTTATCATCAACCGAAAACTCTTTCTAAGGTTTCTTTTTCTTTTGTTTTCTAACTCTGAGGATGAATGAATGATCGATACAGTGTGTATTTCTATCTGTTGACCTCGAAGAAGGTTAGAACAAATCACGCACAGGTCACGGAATATTTTGTTGTTCATGCAATACAAAAGAGATACGAAGCGAAGAGCAGAAATAAACACATTTCATATAGTATAAGTAAACCGTGAGTGTTATTTCGATGGATTATCTTGTAAAATGTTCAGATAGAAAACGGAAATCAATAACCTAATTAGAAGACTTATCGAAATTTGTGAATATCTGAATGGATTCAATCTGTATTCTTCATTTTATAACTTGAATATTCGCTTTTAAACACATCCAACTTCGATTGTAAGTTTATTTTCCATGTGAAACTGAATTTCGTTCCAATAAATCTCAAATTGTTTCACTTGGCATTATTCTTCGGAAACTGAAACTTACAAATCTTCTACCAGTTCTTCAAAATTTAATTTCTCAATGTACGATTTCATTTCAACGATCAGAAGTTCTACTTCAGAAGATTCCGTCAAAACTACAAGTTTTGCGTTGGACAACTTCCGAACAGAGTAATTATTTTGATGGTAATCGATGGACACAACTCCTTGATGAGTCAATGAAAGCAAACTGGATTGTACAATTTCGCATGGAATTGACTCATTATCAGTGTTTACAGCTTACATTTACTGCTAATTCATCAAAGTAGATTTCTCTTTTCCAAAGCATGCCAGTAAAATTCTTCCATTTTGTATTTCAGAGAAACGAAGGAATTCTGACACAATCAATCATTTCTAATATTCAAGATCGTAGTTTTCATTCACAAATTTCGATTTCTCTTAACATATTCTCTTCATTTTGTGGTACTTTACTAATTACGCATTTAATTGTCGAATGTCAAAATATATCTCGTCGAAACTTGCGTGAGGTTTTACGTGTCTTACCTGAACCTCTGAAAGATGTGCAAAATATTCTCGATCAACCATCATTCGCTCTCAATTATAAAACTATTTGTAACCGTCCGAATATCTCGTGGACCGATCCAAGAGTGACTTACGATATGTACGTATATGTATGTAATAATAGTCTAACGGACAAAAAAAAATTTGATGAGCTATGCAGGTCATTAAATATTACGACGTTTGAAAAGTTTTATAAGCTCTTGACGAAAATAAGCGCTGGTTAATGTATAAATGAAAAATGCAAATGTCTTGTCAATAAATTGAATTAAGATAGCTATGTTGAGGATAATATTTTCGATTACGAGACGCTCATTACTCTTGATAACCGTTGCTGTCATTACTGCATAGAGTCTGAATGTAGAATAAGGGCAAGTGCACGCAATATAAACAAGAATCTGTGCAAAGAGCATACGCAACACAGCTCGATTCTTTCCACGAGTATGTTCATCACCAATGGCACCTGCTACATGAGTAGCTTCTACGGTCTTCGTGTGTGCATCTGTGGATCGAACTTTTTGTCCTTGACGAATATGAATGTATGTGCCAATACCAAAGACGATCATACACATAGGTGGCCCTATAATTTGAAAGATGAAGACATAGAATTGGTCAATGATGACGCATGTAGGACTTGTTGTATAACATGGTCCAGGCGCGTTGATTTGATTTGCATCAATGCAGAAAAATACTTCACTGGCGGCAACAATAACTATGACAATTATAGAGAAAATGACTCGATACGCAATACGCATGCTACTATAGCATCGGATATCTGCGTCACGCGATGATGCAATGAATCGATCGGCGCAACAAGCGGCCATTAACCAACTGGATATACAAACCAACGTGTAGGCCGAGTAATATTGAAGTTTACAAGGAGCCGAAAAGTAAAGCATAAACGTAAACTTAAATCCATAGAGTACACGAATTAGTACGGACGTATAGAGATTGAACATGTTGGCAACAGTGGTGGCAAACATATAAGGGATGCATGGTGACAGGTTCCACATACGTCGTCGTGCGAACAGTAGAATGTTGAGTAAACCACCTATTGTGCCAATGACCATGAAACTAATGCCTATTGTTGCTGTGAGTGTATTTCGAATCTCAAGAAGCGATAAAATGTTGGATGACATGTTGGTTTTGTTATTAATATTAAATTTCTAGACGTGAAACAAAACTGTCAATGAATTAGATGCAAAAATCTTGTCGAACATAGAAGAAAAATTTACAAGTATTTTAAGGCTAAATATATATGTGTGAGCAGTAACAGAAAAATAATAATCATGCTATCATTCTTACCGTGAAAAAAGTTCTGTTTTCACGCATGAAAGACTAGTTGTTTTTTTTATCTGTATATTACATCGCGAATCTTTGCTCATGGGAGACGACTATTCTTAGATTTTCAGACCGTTGCGGAAATAAAGTGATGCAAAAACCATTCATTCGATTGGTCCTTATCGCTGTGCAGTTATCTTATGAAAAACTGTTGATCTATGTTCTTCTTTCTACTAGTTTCAACGTGCGCGCATATACTGAATAAATAATATATAGAAAAAGTTACTCAAATACGCATGAAAAGTTTAATCTTTCGCGCTTTTTATGTTACCGATTCTGACGTCTTCAAATGATGGAGACTTATTTATAATTAAAAAAATGAGCCTTTGCTTTCGTTATGACGATTCTTCTTAGAAAATACTCGACAAGATGAGTAAAACGTCTTGCAACAATCTTCGATTCGTTTCATAGACTATGATCTTTTGATCGTGGGTAACAAACAGAATTGGGTGTTAACAATTAAATAAATACGGTCAAATCTGTTCTTGTACTAGAAGAAACTCCTAGCACATTTTAAAATGTCTTTATTCAAATAAAATGCTAACAAGGCCAACTATTCTGTGTCGATGACAACTTTTGCGGAATAATTTGTTTTGAAGAGTAAAATGAGCGTTCAATAATTCCATCGGTTTCATCTAATCTTGCAAGAATAAACAAATATACTTTCTTTGGGCTGTCAAGCGATACTTGTCGAAAATATTCAGTTTAGTCCGTTTTCACAAATCAGGTCAACATATCTTGGTTTCACGTTTCGATAGAGATAGTGAGTGCAGGTGTAGGTAAGATGAAAACATCTTCACCATCATCCTAACACATTCAACCCTTCGAATGGTAAACTATTAGTTACGTTTATTTAATAAGAAGATATATACTGATCTCAACTCAGAATACACGAACGGCCTCATTTCACTGGTACGTATTCATAGATAACTTGAAGTTGCCGACTCTCTAGTTCAGAAATTTTGTTTTGCAGCACTGCCATGTTCTTCTCCGCATTTTCTCTTTCTTGATTTTGTAGAGCTATTTCTTGTGTTGCCATTTGCTCTTTAATTGTTTGATATTCTTGATCCATACGTATTTTATCAGCTGCATATTGCCTTTGTTTCAAGAGACAAATCATTAAATATTAAAAATAATGATTCTGACTGGAAATGAAATGCTTTATGAATTGCATTGAATGCAACAAGATCTTCGTCTTTGACACGTCCACTACTTCCACCACTAAAAACAAATGCAACAACCGAATTTGGACATTGTTGAAATGCTTTATAAATCTCCTGTTTATTTTGGTCAACAGCTTCTTGATTATCTTCAATAAGACCGGGAATGTTAAAGATAATAAATGTTTTTCCCTTTTAACGTAAAAGTTCGAAATTCTGTCGCATGTGTAACCGATGATGGACTACATTCATGTTCAAATACATCATCACATAATAGAATATTAGCTAAGAATGATTTACCAACACCAGTATTACCGAGTAGAATAATACCGAAGGTTTCAGTCGAAACACTATTGTCGTTGCTTTCAACTAAATCTTGTGTGTCCATTTTTGTGTAATGTATGAGGACGGTTTATGGGTCTTATATAGCATTCGGAAAGATAAAGTAATCTGGAGGTTAAACGTCGTACAACCTTTTCAAAGTTGGCTTTCTCCAGATTGGCTTTATAGTTCGATTCTTTCTGAAAGATGAAAGATAACGACGGAAGTAGCTAACGTAAAATTCATTGAATTTTTTCACGATTCCAATGGATCATTCGATGTGTTTTCTTATCTTTTGTTTTGCTTTCTTATCAAAGTTGAGTTAGTTAAATAATTGGAAGAAACCAACGAGAATTTTATAGAGAAAATATGCTGAATCTCTCAATATAAAAGGACTTCATTGAAAAGTTTACAGAATTATATCGAAACATAGAAAACAATGAGTGTACAACCATCATCCAATGGTCTCATTTTAATTGGAAATACCGGTGTTGGTAAATCATTCTTAGGAAATATTCTGTCGAATAGTGACACATTTCAACATGGATGTAGCGCATCAAGTATTACACATCACATACAATTTCAAAATACAACCATTGGTCAAATGTTATACTCTATCTACGACACGCCTGGTCTTCTTGAAGATGATCAAAATGCTGTGAATCGAAATAAACAAGAAATTTCCAAAGCATTTCAGCAATGTCCTAACTGTGTAGTTATATTTGTTTTTACTGGTGGAAGTGGTGGACGCATACGTGACGAAGATGTAAGAACATTTCAAGCGTTAAAATGGGTGTTTAGTTTTCAACAACAATCTTTACTGGTAGTTGTTAATGATCTACCCAAAGGCCGCTCCGTTGGATATGAAAACGAAATAAATAATAAGTTACAAGGTTATTGCAAGATTCCCAATGTTAAGATCTGTTTATTGGATCATATTGATTCTAGTAAATCACAAGAACGTGAACAATTACGTACAAAGTTGATAAATCCTGTTCTACAATGTGTACCGAAGCTACATGTTCAAAATGGTTTGATTGACTTAGGAACAGTAGACGATCAACAAGAACGTCTTGCAGATTTGAGACGACAAAATCAAGCGCTTGATGATAAAGCAGAACAAGCTCGTGTAGCACATGAGAGACGAATGGCTGCCTTGCGGACATCAGGAAAAGGTGCTGATGTTACTTATGAATATTATAATCGTAATCAACCAGGAATTTTAGTTAAAGCTGAAAAAGATTGGATTCCTATTGAGAATGGTACTTTAAGGATATGTGGTCCTTCGAACGTGCCCCCACAATTCGAAGTTAAGATTATTTTGCACTCAATAAACTGGTGATGATTCGAGAATAAATGTAATAAAGAAACAATGTTCATCCTGAAGAAGATGCGCATCACTTTTCATTTAATGTAATATAGATTGTTTCAACGTTTTGGAATCTGTGCGATCTCGATCTGTTCTGTTACATAAAGCTTAGAGAAGACATGCATAAATTTGAAATATAGCAGTGAGGTAGAAGATGAAAACCACAGAGATTGATATGTTGCTAACAACGAAAGAGAGAAAAAACAATAAATAAAATAGAAGACAGAACAACGAAAAAGATTTTCATCTTCATAAAATTCTTTATTTCCACCTCAATTGTGCTATACAGAAAGCGATCTGTTTTTCTTCAGCTTTTTCGATGGTTGCAGATCGCTAAAATCTTTTCTATTCAAATTGTATTTGTTTATTACCTCGTTGTTTTCATATAACTCGCTCAGCATGATGGGAAATCTGGATCTTATCAACTCCACTAATTTGATCGTGTATTCTTTGAATTCTTCCGCATCTTTAACTGGCGATAGGAGTTTACCAGTAACTAATTCTGAAAATGGTGGATTTTGAATATGTGGTACATAATGAAACATGTTGTGAAACGGTATTAGCACGTCCTTAATTACTGAGTAGTTCATTATCACTTTTGTAATGAATAACACGTGAGCTTGTGCAATAAAATCAAGGGTGGGCATTGATGGGAGATTTTCAATAAGTCGTAGTACTTTTGTTATATTTATTTTTCGTTCATCCGGTGTGATAGTTACATCCTTATCCAAATCCGCAAGTATATCACAGCAAAGACGATACATTAAAGTCTCAACAGCATCAATTGCAATCCTATCAATAGCGTCAGTTGTGTATTTTCGAATGTTATTAAACATATAAGCCATTTATTGATAACTGGAGCACAAATATCTCAGACGAGTGTTTCGCTTCGCTGAAACAGATAAAAACTGAAAGGTGATGGTTCTTGTTCGAAAATTTTACTGTAATGCAACAACCTATTTACACCATGATTTAAATACAAATTCTGTTTAGAAAAATTTCTGTTCTGATGCAACGTGTGTAATTGGAGAACACCAACTTCTGTTTACCTCATTATGTAGCATTATTATAAATGCAGTGAATCATGCATAGTTCTTTTTATGTGAAAGACGAAGCAATAGAAGAAAGGCAATTGAGAAATCTTGAGTCAGAAAATAAATAAGATATACCTGTCAGTAATTGGCTGATCATTCTACAGCTGACTTTAACAAAATTAATTCCACGAATTGTAAATCTAAAATAGATCCACGATGCAAAATACGGAGTAACACATTTACAGTTTCTCAGATCCAACTGAACTGAGGATCATCGTAATAGAGATTTTTTATGAGAAAATTATCAACGTAGTATCATGTGGAATGGTTGGCTTTAGAAGATTTCATGTCGTATTAAAAGATCATTTTCATCGACGAAGGAAAAAAAGTTTCGATTGAAATTTTGAGAAAACGAAAAAAAAGTTTTCATTGTAGTTTGATTTTCACTCAAATTTTTGTCAGAATCCCAAATCATCAACAACGGTTCCTTTCTTTGCACAAGTGGCATATTCTCCTCTCTCTCTCTTCTGTCAATCTCTATTTCGTTTTTCTTGAAATAAAGATACTTCTTCCAAGATCTTTCATTTTTTATTACGCCGTAACATATCGAAAATAATAATAAAAAGCTATAAAATATTCAAGATTTTTTGTTTTGAGATAAGAAAAGACGTGTACGTTTGAAACGAATATCATTTGTAATGACAGATATCGAAAACGAAGAAAAACAACGAAGTTGATTGTTTTTTGTCTTACAAAATGTCGACATTTCGTTTAGCTACACTTAATGTACACGTATTCAATTCACCAAAAAACGGTAAAAATAATATCAACGATCTAATATCAGTTCTTGAACCGCTTAATCTTGATTTAATTGCTGTTCAAGAAATAAACAATAATGATAGATGGAGAACATTTTGTCAACGTCTATCTTTACCGAATTTTATCTATGGTCAAGGTGATCAACACCAGCTTGGAAATGGACTTGCATCTCGTTATCCAATTGACTTTTATTCAAATCAACAATCATATTTTCCATGTCGAGGTGGTACAAGAGGTTTACTGAAATGTCGTTTAAAGGGTGATCATCCATTTACTAAAGATAGAATATTTGCTGTGACACATTTAGATCATATCCATGAGGATAATCGTTTACAACAAATTAGAGACTTTAGTCCACATAGTGAAAATATTGATATATTGATGGGTGATATGAATGCATTAACAAAAGATGATTATTCAGATGGTTATTATCGGAAACAAGTTGTTGAAATGCGTGAAAGTTTTCAACGGGAAAAACCCCGGTTTGATTTAACTAAACTACTAACAGATGAATGGAAGTATCATGATGCATTTAAATTAAGAAATCCACAAGTAAAAGATGAACTAATAGCAACATGTCCATATGGAACACGTGTTGATTATATTTACATACGCCCTCGTGACAATGATCAATGGTTTTTGAGCGAATGTTCAATTATTGATACTAACGGAGAGACAGATCATAATGCTGTTTTTGCTGAATTTAAACTAAAATTAAAATAAATGAGATTTTTTATGTTTTCAGAAATACATTGAATGTTACCATTTCTCATAAGTAGCGTAATTCCACTTCTATTATAAGTCGACCCTCAACAGACTCATCTATCAGTCTCACAGGTGAATTATGAATGTACATTCACCGTTACAATCATATACTTTATTAACATTGATGTTCATACTTTCATTTACACCTCACCATTGCCATCCCTGTTCTCAACAATGATTTTCTTGACAATCAAATTGAACTGAGATTATCGAATTTATCATTTTATGAATGTGCAGTTTCAGTTCAACAATTAGAAGTTTTACGTTTGAGAACTCGCAAATATACCAGTCATTCTAATGGTAATCGACGAAGACAACTATTTGAAGATTATTCACCTTGTTTACGTAATAAAATTTATTCTCCGTCAATATTCACAACTTACATTTCACCGCTTCAAAATATTCCAATAAAATCCTGCACACTTTTGAGTGTCAAGGTATATCCTGACAAAAACTTGTTTGAAATTTTATGTCTCCTACCTCATCTTGATCTGTTGAACATTCGTTCACTTCAATCAATGCAAAGGAAAACTTTAATTCAATTTCCAAGCAAAATAATATCATCGAAGTTAACGTTGAACATGTACGTGGTGACATCAACTATGTAGAATTTTTCCTGAATTTATGTGCACATTTACATTACTTGCAAGTGAATTGCTTCATTTATTTTAACGAAAACGAATTAAGATCTAACTCAATTACGTTTTTTATTTATTAAAGTAGTGAATCCAAATGCTGAACCTCTGAAAGATGTGCAAAATATTCTCGATCAACAATCATTCGCTCTCAATTATAAAACTATTTGTAACCGTCCGAATATCTTGTAGACCAATCCAAGAGTGACTCCCCGTATGTACGTATATGTATGTAATAATAGTCTAACGGACAAAAACATTTGATGAGCTATGCAGGTCATTAAATATTACGACGTTTGAAAAGTTTTACAAGCTCTTGACGAAAATAAGCGCTGGTTAATGTATAAATGAAAAATGCAAATGTCTTGTCGCCAAACTGAACGAAGATGGTTACGTTGAAGATAATATTTTCAAGTATGGCTCGCTCATTACTCTTGAGAATCGTGATCGGCATCACTGCATAGAGTCTGAATGCAGTCAGCGGAATAGTGCACAAGAAATAAACAAGAATCTGTGCAAAGAGCATACGCAACACAGCTCGATTCTTTCCACGAGTCTGTTCATTACCAATGATACCTGCTACACGACTAGCTTCTATGGTCTTCGTGTGCGCGTCCGTGGGTCGGACTTTTCGTCCTTGACGAATATGAATGTATGTACCAATACCAAAGACGATCATACACATAGGTGGTCCTATAAGTTGAAACATAAAGAAATAGATCTGATCGATGATGGCGCATGTAGGACTTGTTGTATAACACGGTCCAGGTGTATTGACTTGATTTGCATCAAAGCAAAAGAATACTTGGCTAGCAGTCATAATAATTATGATAATTATAGAGAAAATGACTCGATACGCAATACGCATGCTACTATAGCATCGGATATCTGCGTCACGCGATGATGCAATGAATCGATCGGCACAACAAGCGGCCATTAACCAACTGGATATACAAACCGACGTGTAGGCCGAGTAATATTGAAGTTTACAAGGAGCCGAAAAGTAAAACATAAATGTAAATTTAAATCCATAGAGTACACGAATTACTACGCACGTATATAGATTGAACATGTTGGCAACGCTTGCGACAAACATATAAGGGATGCACGGTGATAGACTCCACATATGGCGGCGCGTGAACAGTAGAATGTTGAGTAGACCACCTAGTGTTCCAATGACCATGAAACTAATGCCTATTGTTGCTGTGAGTGTATTTCGAATCTCAAGAAGCGATAAAATGTTGGATGACATGTTGGTTTTGTTATTAATATTAACTTTCTAGACGTGAAACAAAACTGTCAATGAATTAGATGCAAAAATCTTGTCGAACATAGAAGAAAAATTTACAAGTATTCTAAGGCTAAATATATATGTGTGAGCAGTAACAGAAAAATAATAATCAAACTATGACTCTTACCATGAAAAAAGTTCTGTTTTCACGCATGAAAGACTAGTTGTTTTTTATCTGTCTATTACATCACCAATCTTTGCTCATGGGAGACGACTATTCTTAGATTTTCAGACCCTTGCGGAAATAAAGTGATGCAAAAACCATTCATTCGATTGATCGTTATCGCTGTGCAGTTATCTTATGAAAAACTGTTGATCTATGTTCTTCTTCCTATTTGTTTCAACGCGCATATACTGAATAAATAATATATAGAAAAAGTAACTCAAATACGCATGAAAAGTTTAATCTTTCGCGCTTTTTATGTTACCGATTCTGACGTCTTCAAATTATGGATACTTATTTATAATTAAAAAAAATGAGCCTTTGCTTTCGTTATGACGATTCTTCTTAGACCATATTCGACAAGATGAGTAAAACGTCTTGCAACAATCAGACAAAACAATCGTCGATTCTTTTCATAGACTATGATCTTTTGATCGTGGGTAACAAACAGAATTGGGTGTTAGCAATCAAATAAATACGGTAAAATCTGTTCTCGTACTAGAAGAAACTCCTAGTACATTTTAAAATATATTTATTCAAATAAAATGCGAACAATGTCAAATATTCTGTGTCGATGATAACTTTTGCGGAATAATTTGTTTTGAAGAGTAAAACGTGCGTTCAACGATCTTATCTGTGTCATGTAATTTTGCATGAATAAACAAAAAGAATTTATTATTGATCTACATTAGCCTGTCGAGAAATATTTCTCGATAGTGTTTGATATAGCCTATATCGATATAATCAGGTCGATGTAGTCTACTTCCATGTTTCGATACAAATATTCAGGTGTAGGCAGGACGAATATACCCTCACCCTCGTTTATTTAATTGAAATTTACATTGATTTCAACTCAGAATATACGAAGAGCCTCGTTTCACTGGTACGTATTTATAGATAATTTGAGGCTGCCGACTTTCCAGCTCAGAAATTTTGGTTTGCATCACTGCCATGTTGTTCTTCGCATTTTCTCTTTCTTGATTTTGTAGAGCTATTTCTTGTGTTGCCATTTGCTCTTTAATTGTTTGATATTCTTGATCCATACGTATTTTATCAGCTGCATATTGCCTTTGTTTCAAGAGA